CGCTTGCAGGCTTGAGTCCCAGGCGCCGCAGCGTTGATGAGAACTCCTTATACCAAAGGAGGGGAGCGTCTCGTAGCCCGTATAAGGCACGGCGGAGCTCGACGTACTTCCCGTTCTGTTTGAAGCCGTCTGGTAGGTAGCAGACGACAGGCGGGTCGTTCGGTCCTCTTGTTGCGTTTAGAAACGCATTGACTACGTCGAATTGGTCTACTTCAAGGTCGAATTCCGCCGCGAGCGCCATCGCTACTCTAAACGTCCTTGCTGCGAGGGTCGCTGCGTAGGTCTGTTCGAGAGGATGCTTCGCCTGGAGGTCGCCGCGGACGCAAATTCGTGCCTTGCAGCGGTCGAGGTAGCCGTCTTGATCAAGCTTGTAAGTGAACACCCACTTTAGAGGAATAGGTTTCGTAGACGCTTCGTGTTCGTCAATGATTTTCCAAGCGTCCATCTCCTCTAATTTACTTATCTCGGCTTGGGCCGCTTCGTAAAACAGGTTTCGGAGGTGGGTCGGCATTTTTTCAACACTTTTCCACGTTCGTGGGGGCTTTATAAGCTCATCTGTGTGTATTTTCACTCGCTGTGGAGTGACCGCTCTGGAGTGCTTCGCTTGGTGTATTGACGCGAAGACGAAGCAATGGAGCGTATAGTGGGCTTGGTTCGCTTCCTCCACAGCCTTCTGCTGATCAGGCATATAGGTATGGAAGAAAGTTTCCCAATTACGTTCCGTTTGTAGGAATGCGAAGTGTTGGGCGAAGCGAGGTGATCGTCTCGGTTTGCCCTGTTGTTGGCCGTAGTCCTTGCGGTTGTACACCCGCTTGGTCTTTATCTCGGGTTCGCGCCCGTTCCCATTATCCGAGTGTGGCCGCACCGGGTGAGTTGGGGAGTCACCCCCGAGATCATTACTCGAGTCGGCCTCCACGGCCGGTTCTCGTGGAGGTTCGTTGTTGGTCTTGACGTATATCACGTCTTCGACCGCCTCAGAGAGGGCTTCGTGCCCCGGGTCGGGAACGCCGGCGTCCATCGCTTCGGAGCTTTGTTGGCCGGTCGTTTGCCCGTCCGTCCCCTCCGGCGCTGCGGCCGGCTCAGGGGTCGGTTCCGGGGTGAGCAGGCCCTCTTCGCGTCGGCTGTTAACCGCGGAGCGTTTTACCGTTGTCTCTTCTGAGATTACGGTCGACGGCGCGAAGGCAGGTGGCAGGGGCTGCTCTTCAAGTGAAAATACGAGTTCGCTTGGTTTTGCGAGTCCGAGGAATTGGAGTCCTGGGTTCGCCGTAGCCGGAGGTTCCGAGATCTCCGTGGAGACTGTCTCGGCCACCTCCGCTTGTAAACTAGCTTTTGCATCGTCCTTCGAGTAGAACTTCGTCTCGTCAAAGGTAACGTTTCGCGTGATAATCACTTGATCAAGCGAGGGTATCCAGACTCTGTATAGGTTGTGAGCGTCCATAACGTAGCCCACCAGATATCCAATATGTCCTCGCGGTTCCACCTTGAAGTTACGTCTGTTCCTATCCGCTTCGCGGTCCTTTTTCAGGGGATAAGCCCTACACCCATACGCGTACGTCCAGCCCCAGTGGGGGCGAAGGTCGCGGGCGAGGCTCGCGCTGTATTGTGGTTGCCACCAGCGAAAATACTGTCGGAACCAGCTCTCTTCGACTTGAATTGGTGAGAGCCAAGCTCTTCGCTTCCGTGGTGACATATTGTACAGGTAGGCGGCTGCCATGACTGCTTCCACCCAGAGAGTAGTTGGCAGGCCCGCTGCGCTGAGCATCTTTATCGCTCGGGTTATTAATTCCTGGCCCGCTCGTTCGCCTCCGCCATTGGGTTCCTTGGTGTAGGGGGGTGTCTCTTCGATTTCAATCCCGTTATGCTGGGCCTAAAGTTGATACTCAGTCATTCCGTTTATCGCAATTACCGCGCGTTCTACGTCTTGTCTCAGCTTGCACAGGGTGACGCCTCGTTGGCGAGCGACCCATCGTTCGAAGTGCCTGAGAGCGTCGAAGACGAAGGTGTGCGATTTACTTACGCGCGGAAACGCGAAAAGACGACCGGTATATTCGTCTTTGATCACTAAGAGCCAGCGGTTCTTGTCAAAGCTTGTCGGGTAGTCGAAGAGATCCCATGAGACCCTATAGTACGGTCGAATTGCTTTCCGTTCAGAGGTTCGCCTCGAAATTAACTGTTTCGCGTGCGCTGTCGCGCAGTATTCGCATTCCAGACGCGTGGGTCCTTTTATCTTTACTCCTCTCACGTTTGACACCATTCGTTCTAGTGCGTCTGGTGCGAGGTGACCCGAACGAAGGTGCCATAACCAGGCGTCATCATACCTATCAGGTGGTTTACGAAGCGAGAGTCGAGCGGGATCCTGTACTGCAAGCACCAAATGGTTCACGATTCCTGCGTTACTCGAGGTAATTCGCTTCTGAGCAATATACTGGGAACCGGTCTTATATTCGAAGAAAGTAATGTTCATCTTCCTAACAAGATGCTTGACTACCACGCTGTTTTTGTACGTTCCCTGGCGAAGTGTGTTATCCAATCCGGAGTACCAGATGCCTGTCTTTCGGAGGAGTGCTTCCGAAACGATGTTAACGTGAAAGTTCTCTACGTATCCAACGTTATGGAGCGTAAGGTCTGCTGTGAGGTCTCCATCAGGGCCATTTAGTGCTTTTGGCAAGATCCACGTTCCCTTTGCTAGGATTGGGTACGAAGCAGTTCCTGAGTCGACTCTCTCGTCGCCGATGCACGTTTTAATAGAAGACGATTCAAGCAAGTCAAGGTTGTTAACAAGGTGCGTAGCTCCGCAGTTGTCGAGAACCGTGCTTCGTGACAGAACATGGGGTCCCGTCAGTGGGGTTGCAAATACGCTTGGTTGGTCGTAGTCCGAGTCGAAGTCGTCCGAAATTTCCCGGAGAAGTTCACGGCTGATCGTTACTGCGTGGATATTTCTCTTCAGTGTCACCTCTGACTCATTCTCCTCTTGCTGCGATTTCGCTTTAGAGCCGGTATTTCCTGACGACCTATTGCGAGGCGGCGCTGGGTTTCGGAAGCTGGGAGGTTCCGTCGCCCAGATCCAGCCTTTCCGAGCTAATTCGGCTCGGAGATCATAGTTCTCGGACTGATTGATACGCTTTCGAATCTCCTTGCACTCGTCCCTCGATAGTTTGTCCTGGGAAGGCTTGATTCGCCCGGTAAGGGCGTACTCCACGCGGGTGCACTCCAGGGGGTTTGCGTTGTGGGGTTTGTTGCAGGGGCACGCTTCGGATTTGCCTTTTCCTTTCGAACCGCGCTTGCTTTTACCCCGATTTTTGTCGTATAGGGTGTCCTCATACAGCAAGTCCTCCAGCATATCCCTGTATTCACTTACAGTAGGGATGCGGTCCCCCTTGCGCTCCATTTTGACAATTTCAGTGAGCTCGGAGGTCGCCCAGGAGGGGGCAAAACGGTGTCCCACCGCTCGAAGAAAAGTTTTCGAAGCGAGCGTTCCCTGGCTTTCCGGTATTCTGAATCGAAGCGCGCGGAGCAGTACTCGATGGAAGTCTCTTAGCCAGGTCTGGGGGTTTACGCTTGTGTTGGCCTTTTCCAGGAGGAGAAGGTACTCTTCGCGAACTGTAGTTTGACTGCTTGATTCGCTTGGAGCGTAGCGTTTCCGAAGGTACTGAATAAGAGCACGGAGTGAACGTTGGTTGTTCGCTAGGATCTCCGATCTCGCAGCGTAGAGGATGTCCTTGTCGACCGTTTCCTTAACCCAACGCTGAATAGAGTCGAAGTCCCGCTCCCGACGAGTTTTGAGGACGTCGCGGCCTGATTTTGAAGCGAGGTAGTTCGTATATCTTTCAAAGGTCCCGGGCGTGTTTTGCGTGAGAGTTGGTTGTGCTACAGGCTCCTGGAGTTCTTCCCCTGTATCGTCACTCGCTTCTGCCCTATGCTGGAGAATCGAATCGTAGGCTTTCCGCTTCCGATCATAGGTTCTACGCTGCTTTTCGTTCTGCTGCGTGATCCATGATTCGATCGAGAGTTCTTCATCGTCCTCTCTTGGGTCTGACGGAGACGTAGTGTCGTCTGGGTCTATGAGATCCCAGACGTCTGCTGCGTCGGCTTCGGCGTAGAGAGCGTCGTACCAAACGGGGAAGTCCCGGCGGCAGGTTAGCCTTGTCGTGCTCGTGAGAACAGATATCTGCGACGACATCTTCGTTGTAGAAGTTGCTGTTTGAAGCGAAATTTGTGAAGACCGTAAGGAGTTGATGGTGTTCCGCCACGAACCCTTCGTCTGGTTAACAGTAGAAAGGGGTGATGTGGTAAGCTGGGCTCATAACTGTGGTGACCGACGTCAGGCACGGGCGGCATCAACTAGGAACAAAACGGCTTGTATTCTCTAAGTGAGCGAGCGGAGCGAAGGACGCTTAAGAATACGGTCGCTGGAGCGAGGTCACGTGACCTCGCGGCCGAGACGCGGCAGAGTGGGTCCGGAGGCCCGGAGCCAGCACGACACTGCGGCAGTTTGGTGGCTTGGTCCGGTCGCAGTCGAACGACTCAGACGCGTTTTAAAACCAAACCAGGAACCAATTTTTCTTGCCAACACAAATTTCGTCTTTTCTCCTAACGCTGAACTATTCTCTATCAAAGAGACAACAGGAGTTTACAAACATGAGTGTACCAAACCACGACCGATCCACTACAACATTCGAACAGGATGCAATGACGCAACACAATGAGTTGATTGAAGCAGCCGATAACTGGAGTGGGGTATCTTCGAGTAAAGAGAGAAGAAGAATACAAAATCGCATCAATCAGCGCGCTCGTCGTCAGTTATTATGAGTGCCCAAGCCTGAGACCTCCGTTTCTAATGTGTCACTTTTCGATGAACAGGCAGAAGAAAACTTACAGAACTTTGCAGCGACTTGCGTGCTTCTGGAAACAACAATGAAGAGGATGGCGGTACCTCGAGTGCAATCGAGGACGCAGGGGCAGGTTACATACTTCTCCCTTGCGCCCGAAAAAGAGCGCAAATGATCAAATTTGCGCGCGAAGCTCAGATCAACTTTTCTTTGGGGACTCCTCAGCCTACACAGCTCGAAGCACTTGTCGGGCTGAACCTCCTAAATGCTCTGGCGCGCAACGCTCGTATTCTGGGTTTCATACCTCAGTCTCTTTGTGAGGACCACTTCATTTCGCCGTTTAACCTCGAGGGTCCTAGACTGCCGTGCGGCCCCCGGCAGGCATCTTCGTGGCCACCTTATTTGCGTCCGACAGAAGTCCAATATAAGATAACTCATCATCCGTTTCTCGACCTGTTCCCTATTCCTTCCCTCAGGGAAACTGCAATTCGTGCAGAAGATCTTGGGTTCTTTGACGAAGACGAGTTCTGCAACGATATATTTGGGCACGACCATGAGAACGACGAGGGTAACGGTGAACGGCCGCGCCTCATTGTTTGGGGCGAGTCTTGGGATCCGCGAGGATGGGAAGCGAATGCGGCATTTATCAAGAAATGGGCCTGGCTGATTCGTGGGTGCCCTGAACTTTTAGAAGGTACAAATCGCTGGCGGCAAAAGAGAGGGGAGAAAAGGATAACATTAGGCCGTGGACAGAAATAATCTGGTTATATTCAATGTGTTTTATTAGCGAGGATCTTAGTGGTATTCTGGAGTCTGCGGTAGGCTATTAATTGACAAGATGAGGAGATCCAAGCTGGTCAGTATAGACATATCTTTGCTTTCATGAATCCCAAAATCTACATGGAAATTGGTCCCACGTTCTTTTTCTTAGAAAGGCACAGAGGTTCCGTGCCAGAAGATGTCGCCCACAGCATATCTTTGAGTGAGAGGCTTGACATCCTCTTGAACGCACTTCTTCTCAACTGGAACACCTTCGAATCTTGCGGCGATCCAAGCTGCAATGTCGGCTCTGGCAGCTTCCAAAACCTGCCCATGCCCCATATCCGGATAGACACGAGCATCAACAGGACTTTCAGGGAAGGCAGTGCAAGTCTGATTGAAGTCATCCAAAGTCAAGTCTGCCGGGGTAATGGTGTCAGTTGAGCCCTGAATGACCAACATGGGAGCCGCAACGGCATGCGGCCCTTGACCATTGTAGCGGATAGCCCAGTCATTGGTCGCGGGGTGAGTGAGCCAACTGGTGTTCTTATATAGCTGTTCAGGTGTGAAAGTCCCAACTATGGCGAAACCTGACTGGAAGCAGGACTTGTCAAGAGCTCCAAGTCTCTGCAAGGGAACGTCTCCTAGGTAATCTTCGACCTTGATCTGGTCTGGGTACAGTTTCGAAAGAGACTGGAGGAAGTAGACGGAGAAAGGATCCCGAGCTGCTTGACCCTTAGCACGCTCAAGCGACGCCGGAATCAGTTTTTGGGGCCTCAATGCCGGAGCAGCAGCAACTGATCCGATGAATTCGCCGGCTTCCAAAAGAGACTCTTGATCAGGCATTGCCAAACGCTCATTGGTGCGCCAAGCAGTCATTCCGCCTTCACTATGCCCGTAGACCAGCCACTTCTGGCTCAGAATGTCACCGAGTCCTTTTCTCGCCGCAATGAGAGAGTAAGCCACATCGGCTACATGGAGGAAGCCTGATTCGTACATGAATCCCTGAGGGATATCAGAACCCTGACCGGCATAATCTGGAGCCACAACAGCGTAGCCTGACTCGGCGAGGATGAATGGTGCCTTCCAGTCATAATAAAGGCCCTTATTGTTGGTAGGTGCGCATAGCCTGCTACGGCCTGCAGTTCCGTGTGTCCAGACAATTGTACGCAGCTTGTTTTCTTCCGGGTCTCCATTAGGGTTTGCGAAGGGATTGGTGAACGGCAAAAGAACCCAAGCAGAGGCGGGAATTGGTTTCCGGTCGACATCCTCTGTTACGTACAGAACACGCGAAAGCGAAAGACTGGCAGGAATAGTCCAGTTCGCCGCAAGTTGTGTCGCGGGAACATTATCCCAGCGCAAGATATCCCCAGGTTTGGCACCAGTAAAATTTGCCGGGGTCGAATAAAAGGGGTCAGAAATGATATCTCCAACCCAGAGGGCCGCTTCGGCCTCATAAGTGGTTTGAATAGCGGCTTGGCATGCAGAATCACAGCCTTTCTGGCACTCGGAGTCGCAAATGGGGTCAAGAGCGCAGACGATGCCGGCTAGAACCGTGGAAATGAAAAGAAGAGAACGCATATCGAGTGGTTGAATCAATCACTCAAACTTTCTGTTGTAGTTCCGAGATGTCGTATCTTCCCGAGGTGAGAGCTATTCTAGGTTATATACTCGTTGGACGAGTGTAAGTGACAAGCCGTCAGCTGGAGTCTCCGAATCAAGGGGTGAAGCGCTAGGAACTACCGAGCCAATGATCTTGACAACTGAGGGGGGAGTGGGACGAACTTAGAATGAATAGTTGGCGACGAACCACTTGTAGATCCTAGCACTGGAATTTCGAGAAGTTGTAGATGCGGGTGCCATCACAGCGGCGCGAACAACTTCCTAATCTGGGAATGATCACCCGCACAAAGTTGTATTCAACAACCACAAATGGGGGGCCCAGATACTTCAATATGGGAGTCCAAGTTGAGATACCTATAACAAACAACCTCAATTGGAAAGTGACCAACTCTGAGATGGCAGTCGGAATGATTCCGAGCGTTCCGTTGGAGTCGGCATTTGTTTTTTGAAATGGTGAGCGGCTATCAACTCAAAATAGCCTTCGACGGACTGAACGAAGTTCCTATAGGGGCATGCTAGTCTTATCAGCTCCAGTTAGCTAGCTTCACTCGAGTAAGTTAAATAGCAAATCCTGCTTTCTATTGATGTTAGATCGCCCGGGCTGAATACAGCGCAGGGCTGCCTAAATGGCGATTCAGAGACAAGTAGTGTGTGATAACATGTGCTGTTTTAAGTCAATTACATGTGTTCCAGACATTTACTTACGCCCAGTTATGGAGTACGAGATGGCTCAGACGTTATCAACAGTTAGAAAGTACCAACTCTTTACGCGTTATAATCTTATTGTGATCGACAGAAGGCTTTACAGCATAAAATGAAGCAATCAAATCAATATCAGTCGTTTAAGCTGACGGGCATTAATGTATGTAGAAATTTACAGATTCATTGATTTGATTGTACAGAAACTTATGCACCTATTGATAGGTGATTTCTTCACTTAATTGGTCCTTTTTAAGTATTTTAATCATCAGGAAGATGAGGAATACCATCTGGAAAACTGCAACCGACGACAGCGTTTATCTCAGATGAAGCAGCGCCATCTTGTGCTTTTTCAAAACCTCGATCCTTCACTCATCTTTACCCACCTTTAATTAGTTAGCATCAGGTTATAGGTGTCTAGACCATCCCCAAATATACCTTTCCCCCTGCTAAGAATCAGATAATGGTTGCTAGAATACAGCGTATTGATGAAAGAGACGACCGTGGCCTGATAGGTCTAGGTATTTTTGCTCACGTATACGATAAACCAAAAGCATATTGAAGTAGAAGCCGAAGGCACAGAACAAACCTCTCGACGGCAGTTGCATCAGTACGCTCAGACCTGCAACAAGACTGCTGGCGGGATGCTAGTGTTGATGAGGTACTTCTACGTGGCCTAATAAGAAGTATTGCGACGATTCAGCAAGTTGTGGCGCTGCGCTTGGAAGCTGAAGATACACACAATCGCGGACATGCGTTCAAAGTTGATTACAACGGCATTCAAGAGGCCAGCGTTAAAGACGAACGTTGGGCGACATCTAAAGGGTAAGTTTCATGATAATAGCTTTCTCATTGTGGATAGACTTGGGCCATCAGATGATCCGGATGTACGACGCGGAGTTTTCGTTGGAGAAAATCTCCAGGTGAGCGAGCAAGGAGAACAAGTTGCCCTCATCACACATTTCACCAGTAATTGGCGGGACCGAAGCCATCCTATCAGCTTCAATAAGCCAATATGATGAGTCATTGTGGTGTTTGTTATCGGGACGGAGGCTTCTTGTTGAGGCTAAGGTAAAGAGCCAAGAACTCAACCTGGTGTCAATTTGGTAAAAGGGCAAAATGAGACGGGAACAGTAACTATACGCATTCCATCGTCGTTGGCCGACGCCATGAAGTCGCCAAAGTCTGGAAAAAGTTTTTAAAAAAAAAGAATATCGTTAGCAAGCATCAATCTGATCATGAAAATGTACCAAGTTCGAATATGACTCTTAGCAAATAGGTATGTTTAGGAATTCTCAACTATGGTCTGATTCTACTTAAAAGATTTGGACGGAACAAAATTCAGAACTCTGTAAATGAGGTTTTTCCTACATCTAGCGTTCAGGATCTGTTCTGCAATATTCCATCAGACTCATCTGGTTGCTTCCTGTTATGTCGACTTGGTCAGGTTCAAAATAGATAATTTCTCCATCAGACACGGGCTTGCCGTAGGACTTGCTCCTTCCTTTGTAGTGCTCAGCGCAACCTGTTCCCATTCATCGCAAAGCCGAAGCTGTTCATGGCACTTTTGCCTAATACCTGCCAAGGCATCCAGACCCAATGGCACTCGGATGGGGAAAGGCTTCCCGGAAGCCATGCCTTCTGATTTAACTACATCCCAAACAGCCGGGGGGACTTTCTCGACAGTTGAAGGACTGCTCTGGCTTATGATTTGCACAAATTGCCCCCAAACTTCGTTAAAGAAGGGTTGGTAATCTGGGATGCTCGGGGCGCCGCCAACCCCAACGTCTGCTGCAGTGCGTGCTTGCTCCATGCCGGTCACGAACGCACCAGACTCGAAGATGACAGCCTTGATACCTAGGTGAGCAGTTTCCTTTTGGAGGCACTCGACAAACACTTGTACTGTTAGAAGCTATGACTCAATGCGAATAAATAACCCTGTTGTACCAATACATACTTGAAAGTCCTGCTTTTGCGGTCGCGTAATGAGTGCGGAATGGATAAGATTCCCAACCGAGTCCAGCGCCAATGAAGGCAAATGTTCTTGCTTTTCTCTCTCTAAAGTGAGGAAGAACAGCCTGTACAAGTCGTATCGCACCAACTAGGTTGGTATCCAACAACTTGCTGGTAAAAGCATCGCTGTGAAAGTGTTATTTCAGCAGAAGCCCCCTACGTGATCGTTGTGTGCACTCACTCTGCTTCCTCGATCGATTGGGGAAATGATAAGCCGGCATTGTTGACGACGAAGTCATTATGGCCGAAAGCATTGATGGCTTTTTCTATCTGCTCCTTAACCACAGACAGCGGGGCCGTGGCATCGAGGTCAAGGGGGAAAATGTTCTCGGACTTTTTATCCGCTAGTCTGGTGGAAGCGCTGCGGCCTGTCGCAATAACCTTGTCCGCCCGAGCAGCGAATTGCTCCATCATGGCAGCACCCATGCCAGAGGTCGTTCCAGTGATCAGCCAGACCGAGGGATCAGCCATTTTCTTGCGTTTGGTCATAAAGTCCCTGGATGCGAGTGAGTTTGGGAAAAATAGCTTCGTTGGGGAAGGTAAGGTATTTCACGAGATTGATAAGTAATTGCAAATCGACTGTTTCAAAAAGGCGTATGAAAGGAAATGTACTTAGTTACTTGTGATTCGACTATTTTCAAGTTGTTCTTACATTTATACTCAGAAGAGGCCGCACGCAGCGGTTACATATCACTTAGGAAGTCTGATACTCGGGTCGGTAAGCCGCCCGAACGCCCGATGTTGACAAGCCGGGTCGGACTATGACATTTCCGGTTCATATCAGGCCCGAAGTCATAGGGACCGGGACCCGGGTCAAATCTCGACTGTATAGGGGATAATAGTGTGGGTAACGACGGAAGGACTCAAATGTTTCCTCTATCATATCAATTGGAGTCGATGAGATGTCAAGCGCTTGCTTAGCTAAAGTTACCCGTCATGACTCTTCGGCAAAGACGCATGCATTTGTACTTTGCTAACTTTTGAGTGATTGTATGGTTGTGACAGTTAGTGATGATGTGGTGGGATCTAGTGCCGCTTCAGTTCCACTTGCCAGGTGTAGATAGTAGCCGTCGGAGGGGAATATCCGTTTAGTTGACAGAGTCCATTTTGTTATTGTCCGATCTAGTCTAAGTAGATAAACAGTACCGCCACCACCACTATAGACGTTTTAAACTTACTAGTATTGGTACTTCAAGTACAAATCACCTGCTAGTATCCACAACGCTGCCTTTTCCTTAATGCTATGTGTAGTGAAGTTGAAAATAAACAATAACGCTATTGTATCAGGGTAAAGGTTTATCCCTTTGTCCTGCACCAGATCCTCCCACCCCCTACACCTGCTCTATCAATCTAGGCCTACACAGCACCATATTCAAATGCCTAGTTCATCACTTTTCAGTGCAATCGTCACTAAACGCCGCCTGAAAGACATTTACACACCAAATTGCAGGGGAACCGCCAGCACTTCCAAGCCGTCTATTTCAACCATGGTACTTTCAAGAAGCAAACCGGCTTTCTTCAAGCTAACTCCACATGATGAATACAGCTTACTTACCGACTAGTAATCTATAGAGTCGGTCCTGTGTATAGTAATGGAAGCGTGTGTACTCAAGAAGTTACTGCTAGTAGCTGTTAAAACAGTAGCAGATATTGGTGACTGTACATGTAAAATCATTTCCCAGCAGGACCCCAGGTGACAAAAGAAAAGACATAATTCAGTCATCTGTCTTTCAGAAGCGTCCGCACCTTTTCCATCAGAAACAGCATATCAACCCTCTTAAGCAAAGAAATGGTCAAGTTTCACATCCAACAAGCCTCGTTCGACTAAATTGGTGATTTGCAGAGATCTGAGAGGTATTTATGCTGTATCAACACACTCTTGTGCTATTATTTGTATCAAGTAAACCGTTACGGTGATGCGTATGGAAAATCTGTGGTGAATGTACAGCATAAAGGTAGAACCACAATTGCCGTACGAGATGATCAAATTGGTATGCCCAAACATTAAATTCTCCGGAATGGAGCAGGAGAGACAAAGCTCTCCCTCGTTTGTTTTTTAGACTCTCTATATTTAAGGGTGGTAAAGTGAGCAACAATCTATTGCTTGGACAGCAATAGTTTTCCGGCCGTGGATGAATATTAAAACAATGGCAAAGAAGTAAAAACCCAAGATCACATAAACGAACACAAAAGTCTAAATCCTCAGTTCTATCGGAAGCGACAGGCCTACCTGATCAATTGTTTTGCATCTAAGATCCATGTAGCGTCAGACTAGGCATTCAGACGGAAGCTATGGGATTATAAATATTCTCGTAGTAAGTCAACGTCTGAAATGTATTAAAAACATAAACAAGAAGTCTGAATCGCAGCATAGATCAACCACCACATCTAATGCTCGCATTGGAGAATATTATATGTTTTCGGCGTAACACCTAACTAACCTGAAATGAAGCAACTAGGTAGCGTCTGTTTTTACTAGCCCCAAAATTGCACGGCATAAGATATTGCATTGATCAGCATATCAAATCATCTCTCGACGCTTACCAGCTATCATGGTAGTGGATATTGATGCAGGTACATCGATCTCCCGCGCCTGTCATGAGCCTCGTTCTAGTGATACTACCATATCCTTTCAACAGCAAAATGCTTTAGGAATGCCTCACTTCCACTTCCTTCTTCCCGGCGACGCGTGATTGGATGGGTTGGCTCGAGTCATTCGATCATTACCGAGAATGGTGTGTGGATACTACTTCAATAAATATTTGAGCGTACAATCCGAAAATTCCGTAATCTTCCTTGAAAGTCATTGGCGCTTAAATCATCGCTTCCCTCCCACAGCATGTGACCATGAAGCCAAAGCGGGTGTATCCGGGGGCACAGGCCCCCCTGCGATTCCACCAAGAAAACAAGGTTGTCAACCTAATTCTCCAGATGTTCAACCCCACAAAGACATTGTGTTCCTGGGGTCAATACCGGAATTGGCACGTCTTCCCCATACGCTAGTATTGCAGACGGAGGCGATTATGCCGCGCGTGGAGTCACCCACCCCCGCATCCTTCCAAAGTTCGGCAGTACGCTACCCCGACTAAGCTTCCAATGTCTAGCCGCGCCATAGAAATGCTTCGCGCACATGAAGTTCCCAGCGGACTAGCAATTGCATCTTTCGCACGCCAGCCTTAGACCAGAATTAGTATCTGGGCGACGGGATTTACTGGTGACCTCATTGACCGTACCCTCTCTCTATATATCCCTCAGATCTCCAAGAGGGCCCGTCATGTTAAACTCCAGAATTCAAGAGAGCGGCGCCTCACCGAAACAACAGAGAGATCCCGTCAAGAACAAGCCAAGATGCGTGTACTTTCACTTTTAACTGCTGCGGCCTCAGCAGCCCTTGTGGCAGCCAACCCATTGCCTCGCCAGGCCTCCAACTTTGCCGGGTATCTCATCTCGACATTCAGTGATGCCAACCCCAAAGTTCAATTTCACCTATCAAATGGCAACAGCGCGTCGAGCTTCAAGTTCTTGAACAAGGGGCAGCCAGTACTTACATCCACTGTCGGTACAAGGGCGGTTCGTGATGTGTACCTTACAACCAACCCTTCGAGATCTGTATGGTATATTATTGCTACAGGCAAGTTAAGCTGCCAGCCTACAAATTGACCATTGGAGTTAACAGTAGATAAAAATAGATCTTGACATCAACGCCGCTGGGTTCAACTGGGACAAGGCTACAAGAACCGGTAGCAGAGGCATCGTCGTCTGGAAGTCAACCAACCTGGTGGACTGGTCTGCTCCTTCTTTGAGAATGTGAGTGCTTTGTGTCTTTGTGCTCTGACTGCAACTAACAAAAAAATGCAGCGTCGAAGCCGATACAGCAGGCATGGTCTGGGCTCCATCTGCTGTTTGGGATGACGAAAAAGGCCATTGGTACGTCTTTTGGGCCTCCAGACACTACCGGGCTACTGATACGGGCCACACCGGTACCGCAACGCTCGACCGGATCCGTTACACGGCGACCAAGGACTTTGTCACCTTCAGCCCAGCCCGGGACTATGTCGCTCTTTCCGGTACACCCCTCATCGACCAGGAGTTCCAGTATCTCGGCACCCCTGGTGCTTACGCTCGCTTCCTCAAGAACGAGACGACCAACCAGGTTTACCAAGAAGTCACTTCCAACGGGCTTTTTGGTACTTGGAGACGCATCCCTGGATATGTTAGAAACGAGAGCCCTCGCGAAGGGCCTGCATCCTTTGCTGATAACACCACTCCTGGATTGTACCACCTCCTGCTTGACGACTACACGCAATATGTGCCCTTCCAGACCAATAACATCCAGTCGCCAAACTGGCAGACCTCAAGCACATCCGGCTTTCCTCGTGGATTGAAGCATGGCAGTGTTACACCGTTAACGCAGAGCGAGTGGAACGCCCTTAACTCGAGGTTCCCGGCCTAGAGTTACTTGATGAACTATAACGACATTATGTATATATGGATATGCGGTACATAGTTTGTTCATATGAAGAGCATGGTATTTGACCCACTGACTGCATAGTAATTTGTGTGTGTGCGTGGGAAGTAAATGCTACCTAGCTTGTGTACTTGACGTGTGGATCTAGACATTATGACCACTCACAGGCTTGCTCAGTAATGTATTCCATAAACCTACGTCCCATACTCCTAACATTCAATTGCCAAGGGCTCAGTCAATAATAATAGTCGGTAGCTTGCTTGAACCTGTTTCAAGGTTACGAATAGCCTGTCCGCGTAGAATGCATCGTAAGTGAGGCCCTTCTAAGAGACTCAGATATAACTTTAGGCCCAAATCATAGCTGGATTAATGATTTCTCTCGGGGAATGATTATGCTAAGTAACGACTCATCTTGATTCCAGCCCATGCAACCTTGGGGGTTATTTCGTGGCCCCGCGCTTCCAGTGGTCTTACGCTTGAATCCTGGTTTCAGTTCTTCAAACCCTACAATCCAGTTCTAAGGCGTTTCCACTCACATCACCCCCGTTTCTGGCATCTTCATATTTGTAAAATTCCGGATTTTTCAATTACTGAACATCTTCTATTCCTGGTGCTAATGGCGTATATACAATGCTGGCAGAAGCTTCATGTTCTGCTGTCCGCCTTGAATTTTGACCTCAATCGCAAAGTTCTCTCATATTCTTGAAAGCAAAAAACCTCGATTTTCTGAGGTTGGTCGGTCAACGCGGTCCAGTTTCAACTTTTTGCGCTAGATAAAACAATTGGTAAGAGTCTTCGAGTCAAATTCCTCAGTTTACTTACACGAAACGTGCACCTCAAAGGCAGCACCAGGTCTTGTCGCTGCCAGCATGCATACGGCATTCACCGTTCTTGCAAGCGTTGGCGCAGGTAAAACGTCCCTGGTAGCAGTCGTAGTCAGCGGCAACGGTGGCGCTCAGGAGGCCGATAACGGCAATGATGGCGGTCTTGAACTGCATTTTGAAGTATTTGAAGGTTGGGAATAAAAGCAAGTTTTAGAATTGAGACAGTTTGGTAGGCTTGAGTTGAGAGGAAGATAGGGCAGCAAGAACGGATCGAGTTCAGTGATACCAGTCCTTTAAATACTGGTTATGGGGATACAACATCGTCATTCAAGACCTGAGCTGTTGGTGTTAAAGTGTTTGGTGGATATTTGCCCATTATTCCGAGAAAAGACAATTCAGTTGCTCCCGGTTAATTCATTCTATGCCTGCAGGTGGGTTGTTACCTTGGGTCAAGTTGGTGAGGGCCAATCATTGTCTCACAGTTGAGTCATTGAGTTGCCCCTTCTATTCAAAATAGGCAAGTCTACACAAATATGAGGCGACTATATTAAGTCTCAAGAGAGTGATCTTCCTATCTATATACCGTTACTTTGTACACAATAAAGTGAAAAGTTAAATTCAATTGATAGAGGATGCTTGTGTGAAGCTTTGTCAAATTGCTTTGGTGTGGGCTCAACAGGTGGCATCCGTTTCATAGCACTATTTCTGGAGGAATTCAGGCATCTAACTCCTCACCATTGCTTCTTGGGGCCAGTTTTCTAGGCTGCAAAGTTACTCCATTTGAGTGACTTAGATTGAATAGTGGAGGACTCGGCTGTCGCATCACTTCGAATAACTTTTTTGAGGCAAGTTTGACGCGGAAAAAGAAGCGCCAGGACACTGTGAAGCCCGGCTCCATCAGCCCACTCTATCATGCTACCTAGTCTTTCCTAAGGCAAAGCGTACGTAGTAGATCACCACACATGGGCGATAACTGGCCTTCACTACTACAATCTAACGGCTAGAAGGCGATAGAAACAAGTTCATGTACGCGTTTGTATTGTTGACCACGCAAGGATAATAGCTCTTTTTGTACACAATATAAGCAAAAACTTCAGATATCTCGAGAAGAAGAAAAAGAAACAAACATTTAAAATAATACCCCCTTCAAGTGAACATTGGCTTTGACGATGAATTCGTAACACAGATAACTTTCATGCGGCATGTGTTTCAGTCAGGCAGCCCTCATTCTATTCATTAAGAAACGAAAGTCAATTGAATTATGGCTATGTCAAAAAGAAGGGAACAAGGAAAGAAAAGGAAGAAGCTTCATCCACGCGAATCCACTGTCGGAAATTAAAAACGGTTAAACGAGCAGCCCCAGTTGCTGAATGGCTATAGTTTATGCTCCAACCCCGGAGCTTGAGTATTTAAAGCCACGCTGTTACTCTGGAGAGTGCACTAATTGAACAATTTAGCCAAGGTCCCCATAGTAAGGGTCTTTAAGCAGACTTCTCATTTTATCGGCGACAGTCGCAACTTTTAACGTCCGTTCTCGGTGTTCGCTACTTTACTAACTTCCGAAGTGAGCTCTGTGGTTTTGCTGGCCGTTCATCGTGAAGCGGTGGCAGCAGCCAAGTCAAGTTACCACATGCATGAAAGGAATGCATGGTTCTCAAAATCAATTTAGACATGAATCTGAGCCGTATCGAAGCGATATTCATTATCTGTAGGCTTTTTTGTGTAGGAGGTGGGAGACAAGTTGTGCAAGGTGGGTAAACCACTTCAACAGCATATGGTATGCTGCATAGGTCATTGACGACAAATTTAAATTTAGTAGTACAACTATCTATACTCTACCTTTACCTCAGGTCATTCTAATGCGATTTCAATTGAATAATTACACCTTTTTTTTTTTTTTTTTTTTGTGCTTTATAGTGTTTGTGTTGACAATAGCAGCGTTTTAACTTTAACAATGTTGAGGACAAGCAGCATTGATCGAGTTTGGAACTTACTTAAGGTATGTGCCTAATGCAAGGTTGGCGAACATGCTTAATCAATAAACATTCTTATTTCTTCTAGCGGAAAATAAAGTCATCCGTCACTAGTTCTAAAACCAATCCAACCTTGTTATTCCTATGGCTATAGAGCCACTCTTTGGGGAGGTGGCTTTCGGGCCTGGATCATATGTTAAAACACTAGAAAAGACTTCTCATTTAGCAGAGTACTTCCTACTAGTGAGGAAATGGCTGAGAGGTGACACAGGCCAGTGGCGTCAACATCCCCTTTGAGTAATTCTGTCGCAGAATCTAGGCATGATGGAACAATCCATCGGCCCGCGACTGTTACATGTCCATGTGATGGATTTCGATCCCATCTCATCTATTTTCACCGTTATCGAACATTTTACTTGAAATTCATTTAGAAACGTGGGACCTATACCTCAGGAACTCCTGTTAATGCCCGGTTGGAATGGCCTAGCGCAAATTCATCTTCCGGTGGCATTGTATATACTTCCTGTTCCGTTCAACTGGATCCAAGTGCCTCTACAAGTCAACCAGACACTAACCAATTGTGTCGGTCGGTTGGGTCTCGCGACATTGTCCGGTTGGTTGACTGGCCTACGAGGAAGCTTGTTGCTCTGATGCCGAGACACTAGGCCACTGTTAATATATCAACCATCCGAAGGGGCATCACCCGAAAATTTCTGAAAGAGTGCTTAGGGGTCAAGTGTTCAGTCAGTTTCTGTACATGGAGGTGGCTCAGGATGTTGGTGGCGCTACCGCATCCGGCATGACTTTGGATAGTAGCCGTCAAGATCGAAGAACGACACCGGATACAGTCAAGCTCCTGAGAATAGGTTTGAGCTAAAATAGGTTCCAGATCACCCTCATTCTCGGATTCAGGGGGCACACAGACCATTTAACACTCCAGGCTCGACCATTCGCGTGCTCCTCCGATTCCACGTCGGTTTTGCGACCTTGCATCTGACAGTGTCGTTGTCATTGATTGTCTTTGCGCGATAGCTCCGGCAATACGATCAGAGCGCCCAGCGGACCGGCAATCGCGCGGTGAGACTTACTGCGACGATGCGAAATGACACAATGTCGTCGGCGCAACCAATGCAGTCATACACGGACGAAAGTCGTGTGTGTCTGCTGATTAGTACGACAGTAGCATTCCTGTCATTCACATTCATATTTGTGGCATTGCGAGTTTACGTCCGAGCAGTGGCATTGAAGAAATGGGGTGTCGACGATACCTTTCTTGTCATATCATACGTAAGATTTCAAGCTCTCAATGAAAAAAAAGCACATCTAACCTGACAGTTAGGTTCTTACGTTTCTCACTGGGGCGGTATTTACAATATGTAAGTGATTCCACTGATATCGTAAAAAAGAAGTAACGACTAAGTCTGTTTTATCAAGGCACCAGATATGGCCTTGGACAGCACATATGGATGGTGCCGGTTGATATTCAACAGACGGGCCGCAAGGTGAGTGCAGGCATGCGTGTAATAAGAGAGGAATCATGTTTCTGAAATACCACAACAGGTCATCACAGGAGCCACGCTGGGATATCATATCAGCTTTATCGTAATCAAGATGGCTATCCTCCTTCAGCTCCGCAGGGTGTTCCCGTTGCCAAATTTCTGTCTGATATGCGACATCATGTTCGGCTTCATATGCTGCTTTGGCATCGCCGTTGTTGTTTCTTCTATCGTCATGGCAGCTCCGACTTGGCAGGGCGATACATTCGCAGGGGAAAGATACGATCAGGGTACCTGGTGGCTTGGTACGGCAATTGTTCACTTGATCACCGATATTGTCATCTTCTTCATGCCTATTCCGTTGTTGCGAGGGTTGAGGCTGAAGAAGATGCAAAAGTTTGCGTTGATGGTTACCTTTGGGTTTGGGCTCATGTGAGTTGAAGACCGCTGTCAGTCGCCATCAAACCATTCCTACCTTACTAACACAGAGCAGAACAACCGCCATTTCACTGATCAGAATCGCGGCCATCAAACTTGCGTTTTCACGGGATACCACATGGTCCGTTATTCCATCCTTGGTTTGGTCTATGGCTGAGCTGTGTTGTGCGGTCATTTGCGCTTGTATACCGACTCTCCGGCCCCTATTGAGAGTTATGCGCAGAAACAGCGACGATCAGAAAGTTTGGTCTCGCCCTTATTCGAACGAAAGCGATATTGCGCAGTTTGCTCGGAAACCTCTTAAGGCGACAGCAGTCTCTAGCGAGCAGAGCCTCACAAACCCGAGATGTTTGGACGTCGAACTTGGGACACATACGAAAGAGCAGTTTACTAGTGGCGACATTCTGACCAGAATAGCTAGCAGTCCTGCACTTACAGCGACTGTAGGAGAGTCAGATGATGGGTCAGAAGGACTTGGCCCAGTAGATGAGGAGGTTGCAACACCACTGAGCCCTCCGCCAAAGGTTTTTGCCAGGGTATGATGAGAAGTGAGCTCAACTTAGGATAGTCTGATGCTGAAGTTGCAGTATCAAGAAAAAGGCATTCTTGTCTTTTTTTCATTTTTTTATATAGCGCTGTTAACTTGGCGATGACAAGGACAAGCGCCTATCAGCTGAGCCTGCATGTCCATGATTACGTTGGGCGAAGAATTGAAAACGAGGAATAAAAATTAAATTTGATGAATATAACTTCGTGATGCCTATATCAGGTCTTAATAGTTCCGACATTCGGCTTTACACATGGTTGAAATGGACGGGATATGATAGTAGATTGCCAGACATGGAAGAACTGATAGGACGAGTCAGGAACCACGGTGCTCTTACGATTTTCGGGGTCCTTCGCCGCTAAGCCAAGTAAGACATCTTCACGTGCCACACTATTCCCCATATGGAAGGCGGTAACAGCTTAACTCGGCAAAATGGCAATGGTGGCGTCCGCCGCACGTCCCCCCCGCCATCGCCGTCTCCGAGAGGACACCGATGCCTTCCGTCTTATTCTTTGCCGAGGCCACCGACAACCCATATCTCGACTCTTTCTCCCCTCTGCCTCCCGCCGTAATATCGAAAAAGGTACCGAACAAATCCTTGTCATACCTATAATGATTCACGCCCAAAGCGAGCACGCCTCAAGTGCCGCCACTGCTGCCAATGGCTACCCCGCGAAACCCTACCTTTCCGAGTCACCTCCCCGCTCCCTTCACGATGTTTGCCTCGAGCTCCGAGGAAAGGTCGATGCTTTCCTAGCCGAAGAACCGAAGTCGAATCTGTTACGGAATGTTCAGGATCAGCTGCGTGTGTCAATGGGGGTTGTGGACGAGGCGTTAGGGAAATACAGGTGTGTTTGCTACGTCTACCTCGGTATAACGCTACCGGATTGCTGATGCGCCAGCCTGTGGTAGCTTGGAACAAATCTCTCTTTCTTATAATGGAGGCAAAGACTGTAAGTTAATATCACCTATATCTATTCACTCGTCACCAGCGTTTCTCTTGTAGCGGAGCACCACGGCGCATCACGGCGCATCGCCTTGGGCCCTTCCCGGACAAATGCTTACAGTCTTCTTGCCGCCAGGTCTCGTACTCCTAATTATGCTCCTGGCCTGCCTCGCGCGACGTTTTCCCTCGTCTTCCCAAGCCTCCAACACGAACGGCTCGAACGGTTCTAACGGTTCCGACAACGATACAAACTTCCCCAAAGAGTTCCAAGCCGTCTACATCGTATCAAAGCACCCATTTGCCGAGGTGGACGATTTTGTTGCCTCGTCCAGCACGTTATACCATCTCGATGTGAAGCGCTACGCAATGTCCATGAAGCAAGGGTTGGAAGCGTACCTAGGAGACCGACCGAGTGTGAAGGCGATTTTCGTAGGGACGAGGAGGACAGACCCGCATGGCGAAAAGTTGACTCACTTCGATCCTACGGACTCTGGATGGCCAGAATTTATGCGGGTGCATCCAGTAATTGATTGGCACTATGGTATGTCTTTCTCCTCTCCTCCACCTGTGTCTTTCGGATATGCCAGACCTGTTCGTGGCGGCCTTCACCGTTTAGACTGCACTGGCGAGTGACAAAACATGAGCTGACATCGATACTCGCAGCCGAAATTTGGGCCGTAAGTGTCCCCTCGAGCTTGTGGAAGGAGTAAACTAGAAATATGCTAGAGCCTTTTAATGTTACAGCTCTTGAGGAGACGGAAGCTGACGATGCGCTAGTTTATCCGACATTTGAACATCCCTTATTGCCCTCTATATGACCAAGTAAGTCCTCCACTTCAATACCGGCTCGGACTGATCGGCTGACGTATCGAAGGGTTACACAAGTTTAGGCGGAACGCAAGATACCCTTCCGAACCCTCAATTGAAGAAAGAAGGAGAGAACGGCGCGGTTTTCCGACCCGCTTACGAGTTGATGGACGACGACGAAGAAAGATTAGGCCGGGATAGGTAATGAGTGAAATATAGCGAAATGTTTTGCTTGTTAGGTTGAGTTCAAGGACATATCTCTCACATATACGTCATGAAGCGGCGATCTGTATAGACTTGGGGGGGCATGCACATGCGGCGTTACTTATTCAGCACCTCACAACTCTCTTAGATTTGTTTTTGATCAATGCGCGGACCAGAAATCGCTCAAATATACTTGAATGTGGGGCGTGCCACCGGATTCGAGGAGTGATTGACATTGAGCTACACCTCAGGGCCTGGGCTGCCATGGCCTTTGACGAGGAATTATCGGTTTGTGCGACTTTGACCTCTTGGCAGAAAATGGGCTGCTGCGTGGGTTGTTTATCAGTTTCTGCGCGCATTTCAGCGCTCGGGCTTCGACCCGGGTGATTTGATCTCCCGCTTAAAGGTAAATCTTTTGTTATTGGTAGAACCTTGACATATTGAATTACAGGGCCAATGTCTTGGGATTAGCCAAACATTAAACATGGTCAACAAAATTGAATGGTGCGTTGGGAACGGTCGCTCATGGTGTTCACGATAACACTAGAACACAGCGTTTTTCTTTCATCAGAAATGCGTAATCTATCAAGTTCATAACTCATAACAAGTTGACAGATGAGTTTTCTAAACTATTAATGTTGTTCTATCATCATCTTTTTATTTCTCTTCCTTCTCAATGCTCTTGCTCTCCGCAGAGGTGACGCTCTGGAAGTCTTCCTTGTACGTCATGAAAACATCGTCATTCAGGTGGCGATGTCTGACCCAGAAAATGACCGTCTGAACGGCGAGAGCAATTCCGGGAGCAGCCCAGGCCCACACCAGGGTAGGATCAGCGATGGATGGAAGCAGTATCTGGCCCATTGCACTGCTCAGCGCTGTCATGAAGAGGAAGAGTGCGACAACGGTCGACCGCATGTGCTCTGGTGCGCGAGCGTACGCAAGCTCGTAAGCAGTTACGTTGACGAAGATTTCCGACATGGCACCGAGAGCGACGTTGGGAATCTGCCACCAGATCGATAGAGGGGAAACACCGTCACAGTCGCTGGCGTTGTAACCGCTGGAGTGAAGCATATTAGTATTTTGTCAATAAAGTTATGGAAAGACTCAAAACTTACCAAGGGCTGGTTTCGTACACACGCCATTGGACAAGTGCACCGATAACAGAAGAGATGGTGGCAAGAATGAAACCAGTCGTCATGCGGCTGATACGTCCATACTTGATTCCCCTGCGCTTCAGGAAAGGGTAGACAACCTGTGCCATAAATGGCGAAAAGATGATGATGGCAAGGGGGTTAAAGTGACTGAGCAAGTCATTCGGGGCACCGTCCGAGGTCATGGCGGCTCCTTGGTTGCTCTGGACGTTGCCAACTCCTCCGTCGTTCATGTACCAGATGGGGATGTATAGGAAAATCTGGACAGCCTGCCAGGTACGCCGCGCATCATCGACGTCCTTTTCGGAATAGCTCACGCGAACGCCTCGCTCGCTGTAGAGGGTGCTAGGCTCAACGTTATGCCAAAAGTTCTTGGCGAAGATGTTTCCCTTGCTGGCCTTGATCCCATCGACGGTGATCTTGACGAATCGGTTGAGATCAGATCCCTGAGGTGGAAGCTTGATGGTGCGCTTGTATGTGGCAGCCAGCAGAATTGGGAGCAAGAAGTAGACGATGCCAGGGACAAGGTATGCCAGCCAGAAGCTGTGGTACTTCTCAATGTAGACCACCGCAATCGAGAAGAATGCACCGACGTTGATGAAGGCGTAGAAGATCAACATGATATGGCTAATGGTAGTCTCGGGGTCAACAATAACCTTCTCCCCAGACTTGAGCACCTTGGTGTACTGCTTCTGGTGCTTGTATTGATCGATGACCGTCGGTGCGACATTGGGCTTAAAGATACCAGCACCGATAGCAAGAAGGAAGTAACTGACAAGGAACGGAGCGACACCCTTTCCAGCCTGTAACAGGGCTGGTGCAGCGCCGCCAACCATGATAACGTGTGCTACACCGCCGATGAAGACACCCCATCCGATGGCCTGATACCGACCGATTTTGACATCTGCAATCCAGGCACCGAAGATGGGAATAACATATGCCAGGAAGGTGAACAGAAGACCCAGTGCCGAGGCAGTGCGGAGGCCAAGGCCCAGAGCACCTGCGTGAGAGTTGGGCTTGTCAGGGTTGATGGCTCCGGTACCAGGACCGCCCTCGGGGAGTGGAAACTGGAGATAGTTGTTGAACGCGGCCTTGACACCGTAGAAGGATGCTCGCTCGGCCATCTCTACAACGCAAAGCGACCATGCTGTTAGAGGGATCGAATCGTGGACCTTGCGCAGCGTCGAGCGCTCCTCGACAGTTGGAGGCGGGTAGGCTTCATCATCGACAACACGGCTTGGTTCATCGAGTGAGTTTGTCTGAGACTCAGCATCGATCTGAACTTGCTCTTTCTCGGTGCGGCCGGCCTGGTCAACATCAGGCTCGACGACCTTCTGGACGTTGAGTCCAACAACGTTCTCAGCTGCACATCACATGAATTAGTATTGGTTTTTAAATCGCGATCATGCCCAGCTTACACATGGTGCCAGTTCGCTCTCCTTGGAGTATCGGCTGTCAGAGTTGAGAGAAAGATCAGAAGCTGAACGGCAGAACAGACAGATAGGACCGTGGCTCTCCTTCCATGCTCCTATATATCACTCAGACGATAATGGGGGGAATACGGCAGCAATCCACCCCCACGGGTTGATTAATGAACCCCCAGACGACTCGAGATGAACACCGCGTACAACAGTGTAACTCTGGGAAGGGCTCCCTGGCATAATCGGCCAAGGCGGGGCCAAGGCGGGTCCAAGAGGCATCGCGAGCTTGGGAAAGCTTGTTGCGCCATTGCAATTGAATGTTGTCCCCCAGCCCCTGGTCCCAATACCCCGACTTCAACGAACAGAACCCGGGTGGAGTTGTTATCATTGTCGTCGTCAATTTGGTTCAATGACACGAGCACGATTGCGTGATTCGGAAGGTGGGAACACATTTGCCTATCACTCATCCAAAACAGACATACCCCAAAAGTCTGCATGTTGGAACTAGGCTCCTTTTCCATATACGGTTATCCTAGTGAAGTTTAATTCAATTCTTTTTACAAAGCCAAGAGGTTATATTCGGACCGGTTGCTGAACAAGTTTAGAACTGGCCATGACGATCCATTCCATGCTGATTTCGCCATACCAGAACCCACATTTATTTCGGACGAGGAAGACGTCCAGCTAGTAGCGGCCGAGGTATTTCAAAAAAAGAGTCGCAACCGCTAACATGTTCCAGATCGCAAGCGAGTGTCGGAAGTGTTCATCGGTCCCCGCTGCCGCGCGAATTGCTCCATTTCAGCAGTATTTAATGCATTCATAATGCATCGGGATGTGGCTCGAAGCTCCACGTCTCGGTGGCAACGATGCGTCCACCCTTCCGCTCTTCCAAAAAAGAAGACGCTAGTATAGATAAAGCGTTCACAAACCCATTCTGCCCGTTGCCCGGTTTTGGTGCATGGCTCCGAATGAAAGTCGACGCTTTGACTAATTGGTGCTCTTGTGCCATCGACTGGCATAAGCAGGTTTTTTTTTTCAAATTTACCTATAAGTAAACATTTCCGAAAGCAGCTTCAAGTTGGTGTTCGGCCAGAACTGGAAGGTGTTGGGCGGTAGGATTCAGTACATGCGAATGGCTCGGATTGGCTCTCTTTTGAGCATTCATGAATCTGGCCATACTTAGCCAAGGCGAAAAATTGGAGGCCCATGACAAGTCTGTGGCAGGCATTCATGATAGTTTGCCTCCTAAGCCGAGATTCATCCGTCCAACGGCCACACTGCCCCTTTCGTAACTCAACGGCCGACAACCCGAGTCTCTGAATATCTTGTGGCGTTCGGCAAATCTCACATGGTTATCTAGTGTTTGATGCCATCTCTTAGTAACGTGCCTTATCTCATCATATTGTGGCTTTTTTCTTTCCTGATCCACGTGCCAAGTTACATGATCACGAAAGGAACACTCTGCACTGAAATAAGCACGAGTATAAGATGGAGTTGAATGCACGTGATACCAAGACACAAATCCCAGCCTCGAGCATCAAAGTTGATGCCAAGATGCGGTTTAAGGCTGTCCGCCAAGCGTGTGTATCCCGTACCAAGCTACGCTAGTGGCATGTCATCGCCACCAATGTCTTGGCACCAGCTTAGCTTGATGGTGTTCAGAACTTAATCAGAGTTGCATGGTGCACTAGAGACCGAAGATAAGTTTTAGAACGGGAAAACAAAGTCTTACAGCAGCATGTTGTGACATATTTAAGACAGTTTTCCATTTGCAAGCTCTCGACAGTTACTGTTATAAGCATCAGTCCGTGATTGCCAGCCTTTTATAGCATACTCCAATCTCCTCTATGTCATCGGATGCTACAAGCTCCAGGTAAATATCGACTAGGGGTGGGGGGGATTTCTTGATGTCATTGGCTTCCTTGCTGAAGTCGCCAGCTCACAGGAGTAGCCAACTTCCCTCGAGTCCTTGACAAGAGCCTGTGTAGTTTGTGGGGTCGAAGTCGGTTATATCGAGCAATTTGAGGACATGTCAAAGCCACTGAGTATCAATACATCAATCCTCTTCTTGAAGACGTTCAGCCTCCGCCGAGAGAGTTAAAGCAGGCATGCAGGATTGGAACAAAGAGTACTTTGGAAAGGCCGTGATATGGAGCATCTAGAAACGTGGCCACGATCGCCGCCAGTAAGCCCAACGATTGGGTGTCTCCAATACTTGGCCATAAACGTTTACTATGCCTCAAAGTTTGTACGGCGTGATTAACGCGTGCCGGTTTTGGGTTTGTTATCCATAGAACCCCTTTCTCCAAGCCATCTCCGAGAAGCCTCCAAATAGTGGGTCCCTGAGATAGCGTCTGGAACATCTGCTTTTGTTTTTCTTTTTGGTTCTGTCTCCAAGTTGCTATCTCGCACCTAGAATATCCTCAAGCACTCCAAAGCTGCGTCTAATCAAGTAGTCCACCATTAGTTTATCTAGCGTCTTCTCGACAGGTTGACAGAGCATAACTGGTGCCTCAACAGGCAACTCACATATGGCTTTCCTGACATCCCTCTTTGTTAACCAATTGATTAATCTCTTCCACGTTTGTCAAATCCACACTGGCAAACGCAGGAATTCAATAATGAAATTCTAAGAGATTTACACGAAATTTCTTTTTAGTATTTACTTTGTAGGAATGGTTATTTGACTAAGGGTCTCACGAGACTAATAAACTAAGTACAGGATAAGCTTGATACTCGTGGATCAGGGCCTCTTGACTACCGCCGCGAGTTTACAAGTAGGAAGCCTCAACCAAGAAGCCAACTGTGAGCTTAGAGTGGCGCAGGACAGCGTTCCACTGAATGCTTTCATAAGTCTATAACGGGCTCATGTTAGTTGATTGTGTCACATGCTGAAACAAATTCCCACTTACGTCTCTGGAGGTGTGAATGTTGGGGTTTGAGGTGCTAAAAGGCTCTTCGTTGACAAAGGCAGAGGCTTCGGATTTAATTAGCACATGTAACCTGATGAATTTTAGAGTAGATTACTTACGGAAACCATTGGACCTGGCGCTGGCATGGTCGGAGCAACCATAGCCGCACGACGAGCTGGAGGGAGTAGCACCGGTGTACTGAGTAGCGATAAGGCGGACGTACGCGGTGAAAGCGGAGTCGACGTAGTCAGTGTACACAGTGGCGCGGCCGCCAGGGGAGTATCCGGTCATGTCCTGGTTCAGCATACCCAGGACGCGCTTGCCAGTAGTGCGGTAGTTGGAAAAGACGGCTTGGGAGCCGAGAAGACCGCCCTCCTCGCCGGCGTAAAAGTGGAACTCGAGAGTGTTCTTGGGCTTGAAACCAGCGGCAACAAGAACGCGAAGAGCTTCAAGCAGGTTAACGGTACCGGTGCCGTTGTCGTCAGCGCCGGGGGAACGGGCAGTGCTAGATCCGGCGGTGGAGTCGAAGTGAGCACCGACAATGACTACACCAAAACAGTTAGATGACACGGGTTCTATGAAAACAAACTGTAGAGCAGCATAGAACGGGTGGAGTGGTGAAGGAAAAGATGGCCAAACGAGTTGTGAGAGGGATTTCAAGGTACAAGAGAAACAACCAAACCTATCTCTGAGGCTATAAAATAGGAAACGCCTCAACAGCAGGTGGTAGATTTGTGATAATTGCGAGAACTTACCAAGGTTAGTGCTAGTACCGGGGTACTTGACAATGATGGAAGGCTGGTTGAAGGCCGAGTGGGTGAATCGAGTCACCGTGATAGCCGAATTGCCAGAAGCAATGCTGACGGCCTGATTGTATAACCAGGTGGAGGCCTGGGTGCCGTATGTGGACCGATAGTGGCGGTTGTGGAAACTGAGGACGTGTGAGTATTATGTATTATGTTTGTGACCGTGCTGGTAGTGGGAGCTTACTCGGTCAAGGTCTTCAACCATGACTGCGGGCCAGTGTTGGTCACCCGTGTGATGAGGGAGTTGGCCTCGGTGACGTGGGTCAAAGTCGTCGGGTAAGTGACAGCCTGGCGGGCGGCAACCTTGGAAACTTGAACATCATTGGACGGAGACGACAGGACAGACAAGACTCCCTCGTCCTTTGGTATGGTTAATGGGTAATTTTGATGTAGAGAATTTGTTGAATGGCAAACTTACGGTAATGTCGGTAATATCAATGAAGCCAATACCCTTGGAGGTGTACTTCTCGAACTTCTCGTCCTCGGTGACCCATGTACCGGGGTCTTCCTCGGAAGTCTTGATGAGCCGCAGAAGGGGATCGACCTTTACATCCTCGGAAGCAGGAGCAGCAGACGCGAGGCCAAATGAGGCCGCGGCGACGGCAAGGGTTGTAATGAAGCGCATATTGTGCCGCTTGTACGAATGCTGTTGTTGTACGAAGAGTGGATTGGCAGGATCTTCAAGGACGGCTTGCGAGGATCAACGGGCTAGGGAAGAAGGAACATTGAAGTGGATTCTTGTCTATTTTATATCTCTATGGCCTATTCTTTCCTAGAGCTACCCTCGCTTTGGGCGGTGTCGTCAGTGATAGTTCAGTGATATTCACTGGGACTACAATACTAGTGCGGGGAATCACTGGCAGCCCCCATTGCAGGGCGGTTCGTCAGTGATTCCGGTCCGCCAGCTGCCGGAACAGGAATCTCGATTGTCATTGAGGTTGCAGTGCTTAGGTAGATGAAACACAATTTTTATTGTAGTGCGCCGTGAGTGCTCATTTGCATGGTGCATCCATCGGAGCGAGGGGAAACATGGGGCAGGAGGAGCTGAGGCTTTAAGCTTATCTGGGGCGCCAAGTCAATAAGCCAATTGCAGCTGCCAAATGTAGAATAGTTTCGGCTGTTGGGGTTCGGAATCACAAGCGACAGCGCCTGAATGGAACCTGATGTGGCTTCATTCTGGAGACCTGCCAACAAATACTAATCACGCAATATACTCAAGACATATATGTAAGTAATAGAAACAACTGGTCGTAAAAGGGCCCCATCTCAATTTAGGAAGTTCCCTTGATTTCGCTTGAATAAGTTTACTTGGCATCCCGCCCGAACCAGCAGCTCCGCATCAACTTGTCAACAATATCTCGCTTCATATGTGTGTGTAACGACCTACTTCCTAAATCGCTCATCGTATGCTTCACAGCTAAACCAATTCCCTATAATGTGAAATGACGCGATTACTGTCAATCCTGCAATTATTAATATCGATTTAAGGTCGTATGCTTCTTATTTCACATGCTCCATGAAAGTTCTTCATTTTTGATGAGCGACTAATCTGCCTTTCGTCTTTCCATCATGTTGCAACACAAGCATGGAAGTTAATTGAAATCTGTCGTTCATTTTCTTCATATGCTTATAAGCATCTTTAACCAAGGTCTAGCTACAACTGTTTTGAGCTCTTGGACAAAGACAACATGAGCAGTAAAATGATAGGGCATCAACAGTAGGGCTCCTGCGTATTCCAGCTTAGAAGCCCTGCTTTTCAGCCTGAGCCTTGGCAGCAGCAATCGTTGCAGCCGCATTAGGGTCATCGAAACCACATCCATTCTTGCCGTTCTGAAACTGCGCGGCCTCAGCGGAGCAAACGCCAACACCGCTAGCATTGGCACAGCATGCCGAGGAGCAGTCTTGATTGTTGACGCAACCGCCCGTGATGAACTGGGAGCCGTCTCCCTTGCCAACGTTACTAGCGCCGGCCTTGTTGGGCGTGATCTGCGCGAAGGCCGTCAAGGCAACTATTCTTCGTGTCAGTTTGTTATCGAATGATTCTCAGGTGGGCGGCACCTACAAGCGAGAGTGGCGAGGAGAGTGGCGCGGACCATTTTTATGGTAATCAGAGGCAAGTTTTAATTATGAAAAGTTTGATAAAAAATTTAAAGGCGACGCCAGGTCGATGAAGCGAATGAGTTTGCACAGCAAAGTGACTGGTGGATGTAGTTGCGATGGTGTCGTCGGAACGAAGAATCACAACATCCAAAGTCAGACGAAACGGCCACTTATATATAGTTGAAGATGGAAAAAAACCTTTCTTGACCGCAGTTGCGAGTTACCTCGACTCCTCTTCGGCGCGTTCTTTGCCGGCTCCAAGAGACTTGATACAAAGTCCATACAAAAGTGTACCATTAATACTCGAGGCAACACCAGGTTGGCTGAAACTCAGCTCAGAAAAAAAAAGTCAAAGCTCAGATCAAATCATGATCGGTTTTCCGATATTTTTCTCCACGATAAATCTCCTTCGGGTCATGACAGGTGTCATCCGAACGGGTCGGTCGGGCGGCTGCAGTTTGATCGTCGTCTGAACCATGTTTGGCCCTCGCCTATCAATGCAGATACCACCAACAACCAAAATGTTGGATCTTTGTCCGAGTTCAATTCTATGCTCCAAGGTTCTCGAAGAGAATCAAATATCTTCAGTCACTTCTCGTTCAGTGTTTAAATCTTAAGTTCTATTTTGATGGTTGATGTTCTGGAGCTCTCTGCTTCCCTAGCCCGCAGCAACGCTTACTGCACTGCTTGCTGGACCACCAGAACTTTCTCGCTCATGACTTCCCTCCAACAGCTTGGAGTACTCATGTAGGCTTTGGCCGATTATTCTCATGATCGGCCATGCACTGTTGCATTTTTCGAACATCTGGGCGAACAGTTTGATTACCATTCTCCCAAGGAATCGTAACGAATCCACCGTGATGGGGCTATCGGGGTTTTGGAACTCGTCTTCATGTACGCCATCTACTGAAGTAATAGCTTCGTTGACGACAAATCCCATCCACCTTATTATTTGTCGTTCTTTGACTAAGGCTAATGTCAGATTCTCAAGAAAAAAACCAGCAATTGCGTGATCAAAACTTACAGTGAAGACTATTAGTACTATGACCGTCGGCAAGCACAAACAGCCACTTGCTGAGAAAGATGGCCGCTTCGAAGGAACAGAAACTGTGCTGCAAGCTCCAGAAGAATGCCTGACAATTGGATAGATACTCAATACCGAGCTGGACTGGGATGTTCAACGCATGGACTGCGTGCAGGAGGGCAAATACAAGCCTCGGCCCCCGCTCCGGAGGCCGGGCCTTGAATGCGGCGAGGGCGATGGAGTGAGGGTTCCCAGAATATATTTGTCTCTGACTCCCAAGGTCGAAGTACAACCGAATATGAGCCAGTCCCAACAGGGATGTAGCTGTCCAAGACAAAGACCCCTTGGTGTTTTTGATGTCCAAGACAGACTCTGGAGCCCTGCACCATTGCTCCCGCCACCGATGCAGCGACTGCTCAAATTTTGCAACTTCATGGGATGACAGCCCTGGTCCCTGGGGATCCAGGCAAAGCTGTCTGGAAACAACGAGGCGTTGTAAAAGCGCATGCATAAGTACAAAATTGCCGAACGGAGAAGTAGCTAAGATCTTCCCAGGATCCGGTTGAATCAACGCGACAAAGGCTTCCTGGAAAGACGTTACTGGTACCGCTTGGGAACGTGCTTGGCGCCATTTGGCAGAACCAGGTGCCAGCCACTCATTGCAAGTCACTGGCAACCGCAGCTGTATCTCATTGCCCAACAAGACCGGCGGGACGTTGAAGACAAGGCTTTGGAGATTTAAGAAGCAAAACGCTGACAGTTTTACGCGGCGGTCGGATTCGATTCTTGCCCACTCATGCCAGTCGTCACCATCGTTAGGTTGCTTCTCTGTCAATCCACTTTCTCGGACGCATCTCGCCAGCAGGCCTTGATACTCAAGAGATTCCCGAACAAAGCATCGGTCTTCCTGCCAAGCCGCAAATGTAGCGAGCAACAAAATAGCCTTGATGCTATCCATACGCGCAGAGGACGATTGATGGGCTATGGCCGAAGAAGGATTTTCTGTATCCGAGACTCCAGGATCGCCGAGAGCTGCTGGCTGATGGGAAAATTGGCCGGATTTAAGACGGTGGTGAATGATTGCCCTAGCCGCCCGGTAGAGTGCAATGCCGTTTCGCGATTCATAGCGAAACTGTGCGCCGACGGCCATCAATGCCAGAACGAGCTCGGGTGATTCGCGGTACCTCGTAATGCAAAACGTGGACATGTGGATGAAAGGGTGGTGGTTGCTGTAGCCGTCAACGTAGCCGGCGATGTATCGTGACAATGAGAGCCGTGAAGGCAACTTGAAGGATTCAAGTTGACCAGAGTATGGGGAAAGACAGTCGAGGAAATATTTCCGCTGCGATTCAATCACTTTCCAAGGCTGAGATATGGGTTTCAGCTCACTGAAGTCGTCTGAGAATACCCATTAGCATGGCATTTCAACATTTGGCTGACAACGTGCTTACCTTCTCCAGTTTCTGTATCGGGAATGCATTTGCACAGCTCCTCTGGGAGGAGGCTGCCAGTGCTTGAAGTTACACCATGTTCTTCGTGGCTCGCTTGGCTTGTTGTCTCGGTTGGAACGTCATCCGACGTAGACATAAACCCGGTTGAACCGCTATGTGTTGCAGGATCAGTAGTGCTAGGGCCGAAGAAATCAAATCCGTATTCGAAGTCAAGCCCCACAGAGTCGAAAAAGTCGGATATATCAAGCATAGCTTCCATAGGCGAAGGAGGATCTAGTAAATCTGTGTCGCATGGCTCCCCGGGCTTCTGCGCCTCATTGGTGAGCAAAGAACTCTGCTGACCAGAGGTATCCTGTACGGTCTGAGCAACGTCAAAAATTCCACTATCCGTGCCATCTTTACTGAGAGGCCAAGAACTTAATGGGCTCGAATCGAGATTTGTGTTTAGCGTTAATGCTGGAGTTGCTATCAACGTGTTGGTAGCGGCGGGGTGGTAGAGCCGCTCATGTCTGGTGAGTAGATCTCGCCTAGCAAAGGATTGACCGCAGTGGCACCTGTAGGGCTTCTCTTTGGTATCTATATCATATTAAAATTTCACTCTAAGTGATATTGATTCGACATAAAAGGGATGCTTACGAGTTCTCAGGTGGCGCCGTAAATGCTCGCCCCGCACAAAGGAACGATTGCAGATGTGACATATCTTAGTCGCATAAGGACGCCCATTATCAGGAGGCATGGTGTCTTCTGTTCTAATGCTATTATATCATAAAAACGAACCAGTGTTTGAGGCGTCTAGGCGACCAGCGAGATTGATGCAAATGTGTAGGGAGGAAAAACTCCCCCCAGGCTTGCACAATGAGCCTGTGAGTTGAGCGCCATATTACTAATCGATGCTAAAATGATTCAGGCGGCCAGTGCTTGACCTGAGAAACGACACCCGGGTATCCCAGGCAACTGAATCATGCTGACGGTCTGACATTCCCGCAGCATCGTAAATTGACTACCAAAGACCTTGAAGTTCTTCAACCTCAGCATACCTATTAAGTTCATATCTTGACTGATGCTGCTAGTTCTTTCATGTTTGACTAATGATAATGTGCCTTTAGTTGGCTATCGTTGGAGGTGACTAGAAGACCTTGAAAACCAGCAAAGCTCGAACAGACGAGTGACAGACACCGTTAATTCCAGGATCACCGTGGGTATTTATTTGAATCAAAATATGAATTTCGAGATTTCCCGAGAGAAAAGAGCTTTAGAGTTAGACTGGCTAATTCGTGTGTGAAGTGCATCAGGACGGGGTAACCTGGAATGTCCTCAGACTCCACTTGTATTGGGGCACTTGGAGACTCCCCACAGTGGAGGTTGGAGTACTCCAACTCTTGCATGACACTATCCGTAAGTCATGACTTAAACCTTGTCGAGCTTGTCGCTGGGCTGGAGCACAATGTAAGGCTAAGCAATCGATCAGCTGTAACTTTTAAATTATCAAGACATATCATGAATTATTGTGTTTCTAGAATGAATACTAAACTACGAAGCTGACAAATACATGTCCAGCCGCCTAGTAAACCAGGCCTTCATGTCCAATTCCTGAGAGGCAAAACACTGCATTCACAGTATCAGCCTAAGATTCCCAGTATACGGCAACATCTATTCTGTAATGGCCGTAATGGAAATTTTATGTCTGGAAGCACTCCTGGTATCCCATCATTTTTTGGGGTTTCCCTGAGAGACTATCTCGAGGGATCTCTTATTCTTGTGAAACTCGTGGTTCTTGAGTTCCGTACTCCTGCCCTGCAGAAGATAAGAGTCTTTGTCTCTCCTCTATCGCATCCAAAACAGGTTTTTCCTCTTCAACAAATGTGCGGCCCTTGACAGCCACAAAGACGGTTAATGCCAATCCGATTATGGCGCCTGCAGCTCCGAGAGTAATGTTTACGGGTGTCGGGTCCCCATGCAGAGGACCGTGTGTCAGAGCGTCAAGGCCGGACTGGGAAAAGTTGATCAACCCCGAGACACACACTATGGTTCCGTATATGCGACCAAAAGTGGCAAACCCGAATACCTTTGTAGCATAATCCCTAAGATCTCGGTTAGTCATCGGCCCAGGAACATTTGCTTTGGCATATTGCTCGGTACTTACGAGATGGCTGAGTAGTAAAGCGGGCGGAAAATAACAAAGAATACAACTGTTGCGTAACCTGCCCAAACGAAGGGCAGGCAGTTGAGGACTCCAATAGCCACTATGAGGACACTCAAAACGCCAAAGGTGGTAGGCACGCTGAGGTTATTCAGAAGAAATCCGATAAAAGGAGTCGATGCCAGTCCTCCAATGGGCAAAGCGATATCGAAAAAGTGGTTGATGGCGTCGGCAGCAGCTTCAGATCCCAGCATGAAACGATACTGGGCTCTAATAGTCGCGATGAAGTAGTTCATTCTCAGCATCTGCACAATAGTCAGAAGCAGGATGAGAATGAACCAAGGACTCTGGATCTGTTGATGGGCTGGAACGCCATGGAGAACACCCCACACGCCACTCGTTTCTTGTCGCTCCTCGTTGAGTTTCACGCGCTCCTCGCGCTGCTGAGCATCACCGGCAACTTCCTCAATCTGGTCCAATTTGGATAACCGACGATCGGCTCGGGCGCTGCGAACCTTTCTCAGAGTTCTATCGTCGGAGATCTCATCATCAGATGTGTGCGCATCACGACTCTCGTCTTGGGCTTCCTCAATCTTTTCCTCCAGCTGCGGAATGGTGTGGTACGACCGGACTGGCATGTAAGCGAATTCGGCAATCAGAATGAGCGCTGGAATGGCGATATAGGCATAAAAGAACTTGTCCAGTGAAAGTCGGCCATCCGTTGCATCGTACACCGTCTGATAAATGAGGAAAACAGCAGCGGAAGCGTCGAAAGCGCCAGTAACGAGGGCAATAATCAGTCCGCTATACTTCGGGAACGCATTGGCGAGCTGGAAGCTGGAAACGAATACGAAAGTGCCACCGAGTGCTAAAAAGATGTTGCCGAGGAGGTAACCGTCAAAGGCGTGGAAGTTACGAGATGTGGCCATCAAAATGCAGCCGATCGTGATACCAATGGACGATAGGATCCAGCAAGTCCGTCTGCCATAACGATCGAGAACCGAACCGGCCGTCAACGAAGACACATTGGCAGTGACAGATGCGACAACAAAGAAAAGGTTCAGACGCAGATCCTGTTCAACGCAAGGGATGTAGTCGCCATTGTCAATCGTGGTGGGATCATTAGCATCGCACAGGTCACCATAGACGCCTTCGTCAACAAGCACGGGCTTGAGAGCAGCAAAACCAAAGACAATGCCCGAAGCCAGCCAGCATGCCACAATACCGGTTGCTACTTGTACTGCGATACGTCAGCTCTGTAGTGTAGAGAAAATTTGAGCTCAAACATAGAACATACCCCATCTCTTCGCATTGGAGACCTTGTAAGCCGCGATGGGCTTTTCGACGTGATCTGGCTCAATGGGTGCGAAGCTCAATCGCCTCCACTGAGGATCATTATGGTTATTGAAGCTTTCGGTCGATAAAGGCTGCAAGGTACCAAACAGTGCCTCGCCGTTATCAGGCTGTTCGGTCTGCTCTGCAGGACGCTCGTAATCGAAGCCTTCGGCCTGGGTGACATGCTGAGCGAGCGACATTGGCACAGCCTACAACCTAAATGACAAGAATTTCTGCTCTGAAAAGAACGAGCACACGTAGGTGGTATGTCCTGCAAACGTGAGAGCACTCGTTGCTAATGCAGAAAGGGGATGAAGTCAACCCTGGTGATGGAATATTTATTTATTATCGAGAGAAATCTCTAAGATTCGAAAGATTCGAAGGATCATACGGTTGTTAGGTTCCCCCTGTCGCACAATATGCACATTGCCAGCGGGATGCCGTGTCTGTGACGTAACCTAGAAAGAAAGTCCAGGAGGGGCTGGCAAGTTCCATCTTTCCACCAATTTCCAAACTCCGGAGCACTCGGACCCACACCCGGCAATCAATTCTGGGGATCTTTGAAAAAGTTCCGACCCCCCGGTCCGATACGGGGACGGGGGCGGATCGGGTTATCGTGTTTTGCCCTATTGATTCAGCTTGCTAGCGAATCGGCTCTTCGCTCGGATTGCCTCTCCAAATATAACCAGCACCCACGGGCCTGCGGTCAGCAACAGGCCAATGCCGCCGAGTAAGCTGGATGCCGGTCCATATCCGAGATTCGTGTACATCTGCAGTGTCACTAGCGGGAAAATGCCGCCAATGAAGTTCCGGCAAAATGACTGTGCTGCTAAGGCCGAACTCGCGTAGCTGCGGTAGCTATCCGCGAGATAGTTGAAAACTGCCAGATAAATGGAGAAGACGCCGAGTGTTGAGATGCCGAGGCCAATGGCTGGAACAATCCAGTGGACTTGCTCGCGGGCCGTCCAACCAAGAACAAAAAGGCCGATTGGTAATAGAATGCTTTCGACACAACTGAAATATAGTCGCCGCTCAGGACGATCTAACGGAATCAGTGGGTTCGAAACACCGTCAAGCCAACGATCCTGGTAGATACTGGTTGGGATTGCGATGACGGATGCCACGCAGGAACTTGCGAAAACGGCATTGGCGGACGAAAGATCAAAACCGTAGACCTGGGTGAAAATAAGCGGAACAGCGGTGAATCCAAGATATAGAATCGACCAACTGAAGGCTGCCCAGAGAGAAAAGAAGAAAACGACTGGCTCTGTGAAGAGGAGCACAAAGGGCAGTGTTACCGAAGAGAGGATCATTTTGCCGAGTGGCCCTTGCTCCTGGTCTTCTTGGCACTTCCACCTGACTTGCCGAGATATGATGGTTTGTTTCTCTTTCGTAACCTTTACTTGAAATCCCAAGACGTTATCGGCATGCTGACTGTACCAATGATTTAACGCCTCTGCCTTCCGTCGAAGCACGACATTCTGACGCGTTTCCGGCAGAAAAAAGACAAATGCCAACGTCGTAAGAGCGTTGACTATAACCTGTACCCAGAACACCCATCTCCAGTTCAAATACTGGACGATGAAACCGCAGATCAAGGGACCGAGCCCAGTGCCGAATAGGGCACCGCCAGAGAATATTGCCATCGGAGTATTGCGCTCATGGGACCCGTATATATCTGAGATCGTGCCGCCGATCATACTTGAATAGGTAGAGCTGCCCACTCCCGCAAAAAAGCGAGCGACCAGCATGCTGATCAAATGTCTGGTTAGTCGTGGTGTTGTGAAAAACACGCGCTGGGCCAATATTACTTACCCCGGGTAAGACCTAGTGACGGCGCTGCAAATCTGGCAAATGACAAACAAAGTGCCCGTGGCGGTAAACACCATCTTCCGCCCCCAAACCTCCGATATGGGCGCCAGGAGCATGGGCGTAAGGGCGAAGCCAATTGTGAAGGTCGTGATACCAACGAGCACAGCTAGCTGACTCACTCCCCACTCGGTAGCCATTGCTTCTTTCGCAGGGGCATAAGAACTAGCTGCAACAGACGCGAACGCGGTGGTTGTGCATAACAAAAAGAGCGAAAGTAGCTTCCGTTGTTGGCTCCAAGCTTGTGGGCATTGGAACTTCGCATTTAGGTGAAAAGGGGGTTGGAGTTTTCCAGGCCCTTGAGCACCGTCGCAACTTGTAAGAGGAATCGGTAGGTCTGCTTCAAAGGTCGCGTTGATTTCGTAAACGTCTAGGTGGTGGATTGAACCTGGTGGGGAAACAGGAGTGTTCTCTTTTGGTATCATTTTGCTGATGATGGGAGCTGCTTAATGCCACTTTTGTAATCTACCATAAGCGTACAACGAGAAGATGAAAAAGGAGGCAGACAACCGACATGTAAAGATTCAGCTCGAGGAGACGAAATGGGCGTTGGCAAATTTCAGCACGAATCCAAGCCTTGCTCTTGATCGTTATCTTTCTTAATGGGCTTGCTACAGAGAAATACTTGCAATCAATGCTCCAACACAGGGATCTCAAATCACATCATCGACTATGTTGACAAATGTCTTTCGCCATGACTGGACTTGCAATGTCTGACTTGCGATAACTATGTTTGTGAAGGTGCAGTTGGGTCCATGTGGTCCACTCGGCGTGAACCCTCGGATTCGGTTTGTTGATAAAGACAGTGAAAGGGTCGGAGGGGTACTGTAAATAAAAACTCTTGCGATTGAAACTGGAGAAAAGGTGTCATTTTTCTCCTGAGAATAAGCTACACCCGTCTTGTCAATTCCAATGTGCCAAGCAGAGTTGAGATCAACACGGGCTTCAAGTCTCCATAACCCCTAACCCCAAGCCCCAAGTCCCAAGCCCCGAGCCCCAACTCCAGGTCTCCAAGTCTCCAACTGCTAATGTGGGCCCTTGTTGGGCACTCCACTATCAATCAGCTCCTTTAAATGTTTTGATGCAACCACTCGGGCAAAGATTCGAGCCGAATTGCGTCCCAAAACTTCAGCTACCTGGGCGAGTATATGGTGGGCATTTGTCATCAGATTATGGACGTGCCATCACGGCAGTCCCTGGCATCCTGGAGCGACGATGAACCGGCGTCGTGACAGGTTCCGAGGGCCTTGGCAATGACTTTGGGTTTTCCACGGAAGCCACACTTACATCCGCAGTTTGAATGCGTTAGAGAAAGCTTAGAAAGCAACGGATGTCTCTCTCAATGACTGGTGTTTGTATAAATACGACCTTTCCGATCAGATTCAAGTGTAGTTGGGATCACAGAAACAATCTCATCACCATAATCCAGCACCCGATTCACCATCTACCCAATCCACTCTTCAAAATGAAGGAAGCAATCATCGACAACACTCTCCACGTTGAGATTCATGACGTCCCCCTACCGACCCCGGGCCCTGGGCAAATCCTTATCCGGACGGTGGTTTCGGGGACCAACCCAAAGGATTGGAAAATGCCCAAACTTTGGGCTCCGAATAACGAACCGATGAACCACGGAGACGACATTGCCGGCTACGTGGAGCTTGTAGGCGAAGGCGTGACGGGCTTCCAGAAGGGAGATCGTGTTGCGGCGTTCCACGAGATGGGCATGCCGCACGGAAGTTTCGCCGAGTACTCCGTTGCGTGGGCTCGCTCATCGTTCCACTTGCCGGGGCATGTTACCTTTGAAGGTGTGTAAATGAAGAAAGAGACGTTCCGCATTGTGAAGTGAGAAAGCATTAACAGCAATACAGAGGCGGCAACGGTTCCGCTCGCTGCGATGACGGCCGCCCTTGGACTTTACCAAAACCTTCAACTGCCTCTGCCCTGGAAGCCAGCCGCCGAAGCCTTGCCATTGATCGTCTATGGGGGTGCTACAGCTGTTGGCTCTTTTGCTATAAAGCTTGCGTCTCTCTCAAACATCCATCCCATTATCGCCATCGCAGGCAACGGGATTCCCTATGTTGAGACATTGCTTGACAAAGAGAAGGGCGACGTGGTCATTGACTATCGCAAGGGGGAGGAATTTATCCTCGAGCAGGTTCAGAAGGCCAGCGGAGGCTCCCCAATCGCCTACGCACTCGACGCGGTCTCTGAGGAAAAAACTATCAGGACAATCGACAAGGCCCTAGCCCCCGGCAAGGGCAAGATTACCAACTTCCTTCCAGTATTTCCTGAGGGCGTTTCCGCGGAGATACGTAACACTATGGTGGGCAGCATACACTCGCAGAGAGCCACCTCGTCGGGCTCTGTGCCTACGCTTGGAGACAGAGAATTCGGTGCCGTCTTCTTTGCATTCCTGGGTCGCGGCCTTGAAGAAGGCTGGTTTCGTGGGCACCCGTACGAAGTACTTGCGGGAGGGTTGGATGCCGTGGAGACGGCTCTCAAGAATCTTGAGGCGGGGAAAAACTCTGCGAAAAAGTACGTGTTGAGAGTATCCGAGACAAAGGGTGTCAAGAGTGTTACCAAGTAAGTTTCTTGCCCTTTTTGAGGTGGCTGAATGCACGAAGTTACGCTGGTATATTAGCGTCCCGTTTCACAATGACAGTTATGTGCTCTGATCTTCTTGAATAAATGAGTGCATCGCGTCTTGGTATTCGTACTCCTCAAAACTTGACCACTGGAAATATAATAAAACAAGATATTGGACTTGTATTGTGCCACCTTTTCCCAAAATGTTATCATGATTTTTAAGACGCAGATACAACCTTGTTGCTACCATATTTTGTGGTCCATTCATCGTTGACTTCGCGGTAATCCTCAGGTGCGTAGGGGCTGTAGATCTCCGCCATGAACCCCTTCTTGCGCCAGGGCACCAGGCCCAGGTCACGTTGGAGCAGGTCAAGATACGGGACAGCATCAAAGACAAAGCTCGGGCACTTGTTGTTGCCCCAGTCCGTAGGATAACGCCAGTGGCCGAAGCGGTTCAGGAGAACAGTGTCGTATTGCAACTTCTTCATCGCCGACTCGTCGCCGACCGCTGCCGCAGGGTCGTTAACAAGCAAGCCGGAGAAATAAGCGCTGATCCAGAGGCCCTGGAGGTGCGCTGTGATGACGTTGCTGAAATTGCTGACCATTCCTACGAAGGCAGTGTCGCGAGTGCGCAAGAAGCGCTCCGCGGGTGGGACGATGAAGTTGTGGAGCATGTACGGCGTAAGTGTCTTGTAAGGGGTGACCTCGTCCTTGCTGTCGATTCCCTTGCGGTCTGTCATGGGTATGTATTGCTTGTTAAAGACTGGCTGGTCCTTGAGCCTGGGGAAGCGATCAAGAATCTCTTTATCGGCCAGATCAACAAGATCTTTTTGGCCGGCAAGGTCTTCCCTCGGTGCATTCTCAATGGGTGCATGGGGAAGACCCATGTCTTTCTCGATGCCCTCGGGGAGGAACTTGATCGGCGGTACATGCTTCCAGCCGGTGTGGGCCAACATGGCGTCGGCTTCGAATTCAGTCCCATCAACTAAGTGTACTTTTCCAGCACTAAGGTGATCTATTTCACCAACGTGAACTTGGACCGTACCATTCCTGATGAGATCGAAGAAGTTGGTGTCGTAGTTGAGAATGCTGAAGCTGGTGGACGTAAACATAGCATTGGTCCATGGCTTAAGCTTGGCAGTATCGGGATGAGAGTCATATTCCATCAAAGTCTTGGCGTCGTCACCTAGTACTTTCCAAAAGCCGTCGACAAGTGTTCGTCCGACGGCGGTGCCATGGAAAAAGTTGCGAATGCCGGAATAGCCATCCGCATCACCCCAAACACAAGGGCTCAGCCAGCTCAACATCCTCGTATCTAAAAAGGTGTCAGACTGAGGCTCAGATGGAAACAACATGGCACTTACTAGCCAGTTTCTCGAGCCACTTCTTAAGCGGAGTGACGTATGGAGGAGCCATCCAGCACGGCCCATGGCCAGTGGCTAATCTCTGACGTTAGCTTTACACATCGAGAAGAGAAGTGTTCAACCAACAGCGGATGATCCAGTTTACTTTAACGCCAGCTTTCCCATAAGCGTACGCGGCATCCCAGGCAAACTTGGTAGCACCGAAAATGACTACTGACTTGGAAGTGTTCAAAGTCTCAGCGTTCTTCCGGAAGTCCTTTCCGTGGAAAATAGGTCCACCGAAGGATTCCTGACCCTCAAAGTGAGGTAGCCACGGCTCGGATGTGAGCCCTGTCGCGATAATGAGGCGGCGGGCGAAGACTGTGGATTCTTCCCCGTTCTGGTTAGAGACGGTGAGGACCCATCCACCCTCGACTGTTTCCTGGTGTTCGGCCGTGAGAACCTTATGGCTCGACCGAATCTTGTCGGCGATGCCGAATTTATTCGCATACGCCGTCATATACTGATATACTGTGGTTCCAGGAACGTGCTGGCCTGGCAGGATATCGAAGGTCTCGCTATCCATTGGAAAATCAGGATACTCAAACATCCCAACGAGGTTATTGCTCTTCAATCCCGGGTACAGGCGGCTTTCTGACCACGTGCCACCAAGACTGGGCTGGGAGTCGAAGACTGCCAGCGACATGTCCGGCTGTGTGCAGTGATACTGCTTCGCGGCGCCCAAGCCGTACCATCCTGCGATATCTCGTCAGCTCAATGCGCTCCCATAACCTTCATCTGCATCATTTAAAAAATGCAGATCGTCTCAGGGTGTCTGGTTGAAAGAGTCAAGGGATAATAAAACTCACCGGCACCGACAACGACACAGTCAAGTTTCTCCATATTCTTGACCATCTATCAGCTCTATGGGAAAAGGGTAGATGAATTCCGAATGATAGTGAGAGACGGAGATAGGGCCGGAAAAAGGAATATCGAGAAATATTATGAAATCTCAGTCTGCTTGTTGGTATAGGGCGTGGTGAAGGACTTCAAGGTGAAGCTGGCCAGATTAAACTACGACATGCGGGGGTGCCGCTCCTGGGGGTTCCTTGGAACGCTGATCAGCTTCCCCTAGTGTAAGAAAAGTCGCCGAGCTTACTGTGAAATACACGAAAGTAGCATTTCCCATTCGGTCTTTTACGCAGGGTACGAAGCCCCCTGATCGTGACATCTTATGTGTCTGTTCCATCGCGCCAATTTATTAAACTTTGAGTACACCAGCCGCGGCCCCACCCCCAACAGACGACATGTTCATCCCACATGCTATGCTAAATCTTGTTACTGTTGCATTGGCTCGTCAGCACTTGTATCGTTATCAAAGGCCAGTCGGAAACATCCGCGTGTCCGTTTCTAAAAGTTGCTCACGACTGCATCTGTAATTGGGTGTTGGAGCTAGGGTTACTTGCTGATGGGGGGGGTCCAATAATTGTATGCAACCAATAAATGACAATGCAGTAAATGCTACTATGGCCAAGGGAATGCATATGCAGGCTCTGTACGATTGTATCGTTTTGAGCAGCTAAATGCGACGCTTCGGTTTACACGACAGGCACTGCGAGTCATTCCGTAGCATGGGCAGTTATTCGGGCAACAGAACCCGCCGTGGCCGACCGTTTGGACTGGGGCAACAATAGCCAGGAATTGCCACGCCAAGTGCTGATTTCAGAAACGGTTTGATTTATTTCCCACATCGCTGCCCCCCTTGATATTTGGCCTATTTCGTATTTTTCGCCTTCAGTTCGACTTGGGTTACATTTCCCTTTTCGGTTGAAAATTCATTAGATCTTTTCCATCCTTACAAACTCTATCCAAAGCAGGAATGTGATAAGCACCAGCCAGATCAGTCGCCGCTGGGTTTAATGATATGTTAATTTGTTTGCGAATTTCTGTAAGGCTAAGTAGAGATTTGGTGATGTTGTTTCTTCAACCTCGGGGAAAGGGAAAGCCAAGCAAATGCAGTCCTTCAGAGGGGGTGGTATCCGAAATCGAACGAACCTCATCCGGCGCCATGGCGCCGCGGGTCTCCCGCCCCTCCCGGACTTACCATCTGCGATTCAGACACCCGGATCCTAAAACGCCATTCAAGGGGTAGTTATGCTCGGCCAGCCGTAGGGTGTCAGTCATGATGGGCCTTGACCGATCCATAGCCATGGATCGACGTAGTTGTGTCTGTTTGGAGTTCAGAGCTGGTGATCGAGCAAGAGTCGGCATTTTGACAGAAATCCGGCTTTTCTCAAAGTGAGATACAAAACCGAAGCACCCCGGAAGCCCGCGTGAACTTCGTGTCGCGCCTTTCTGGTTTCTCTCTGTGATTTTTTTTTCTTTCTATACCCAACTTAATACTCTCGTTTAGCTTGTGCAAAAGCAGGCCTTTAATCAAGCCCCCCCCCCAGCAACATGTCAGACGCAGCGTCCGACCCGACAGCGATGGACCCAGCCGCTGCTGCAGCTGCTGCCGCGGCCGCTGCCGCCGCTATGAAGTCGTTCACGATCGAGGCGTGGACACTTCTGGCGGTGGGTATCTTGTTTACTGTTCTCAGGACTTATGCTCGAGTTCGGACTGTTGGCTTCAAGGGCCTGCAGGCTGACGACTACTTGGTCTGGGTCGGAGTGGTCAGTCTTCTATTACTTTAGACTTTCGCTTATTCTCTAACTCAAACGGAGCAGGTATTCTATGCGATCGAAACTGCCCTTGCTCACTCGGTTGGGGCTGTCGCAAGGGGTATGGCCAACAATGGCATGACAGACGAGCAACGAGCCGCTCTGTCTCCGGACAGTGAGGAGTATCGTTTGAGGTAAGTTACGCCGACTTTTTCTTTTCCCGTTAGGCCGCTATCTAATGCAAGTATCAAAGGGTCATTGGCTCCATCATTCAAATCTGCGGCTGGTCAAGTTACTCGGTCCTGCTTTGGGCGCTCAAGGCGTCATTGCTGGTATTCTACCTGAGGTTGACTGTATGTCTCTCCCCCCAATCCTTTCAACTTATTTTTCTCATTTATAATAGGCGGGGCTGGGTAGAAGCTACAGACTTCGCATCTGGATTGGCTTTGGTTTCCTTGCTGTTAGTTGGATCGTCGTCGTTTCAAACCTTTTCCTTGCTTGCCGACCATTTCACAAGAATTGGCAGATCTATCCCGACCCAGGCAGTAAGTCACCACGAGGCACGAGTCATATGTGACCATGATCGCTGACCCGTTTCATTCAGATGTTTGTCAACCAGCCGTCTCCAACCAAGTCGTCTGGGTTTACCTTTCCTTCAATGTCTCCACCGACCTCTACTTACTGTCGATCCCTCTTCCCATGCTATGGCAAGCCAAGTTGAAGCCGCTGAAGAAGTGGGGCTTGCTATTCCTCTTCAGCGGAGGGCTCTTCGTCGTCGTCTGCGCTACCCTCCGCTGCATTCTCATCGTCACGGTAAGCCGCAACTGTCCAGCACGTGTTAGCTCCAGCTAAAGGTGGACTTTGTTCAGGACCCTAAAAACGGCGCGCAACTTGCCGGATCATGGGCAATTCGTGAGACTTTCATCGCCGTCATTACGGCCAATCTGCCCATGGTCTTCTCCATTGTCAAAATCTGGCTCACTCCCCTCTTCGGCTCTCTCATAACGTCGATGCGATCTTCACAAAAGCTCACCGAGAACACACCGAGGGATATCAAGACATTTGGCGCCGGCAGCAACCAGAGCTGGCGTGGTCGCGGTCCCCCATCGGCATATCCAATCACAAACGTGACCTTTAACGAGAGCGAAGAGCGCATAGTCAACGAGATAAAAATGCAGGACCTCAATGCTTGGGGCGATCCGTTTGCCGAGCCAGCTACATTCAGCAGGTCCAACAGCACCCGAAGCACTAGCAGCACCAGGCGGAAGAACCAGCATAACATCAGAAAGGACGTTGAGGTTGCCGTTACAACCGAAGTTCGTCTGCCGACTCCCAATGCGGATGGGAAGCCCAAAGCCTTGTCACCACGAAGCTTTGCCTTTGCCAGAGGGCCGAAGAGGGGCTCGAAAAGAGCCTCTTCTCAATTACCTCCTCCTAGTACAGGCTTCGATTCCAATAACAGGATATAAATGGGGTTTTGGCCCTTCGAGGTCTATGCATGGGAAACTGGCGCAAGTTGGGGCGGGGGTTTGTTTTTAAGGGAAGATGTGTTATGAACTGTAAATTAATGTACATTCTGATCATTCACTGACGCTGGGTCGCACGGTGAACTATTATAAAATATCCATGGTTTCTTCACCAGGTTACAATACTGGTCGTTTCAATATTGTCCTTCCGCTAAGCTGCAAGACCCCTTATCAAGTTCGATCAGGGTCTTTGACACTGCAAGTTGTCAATCAACAATCAGAAATAAAGACCTACTTGCCCTCACGTCTAAAGAGGTCGAAATTATAACCTACTGAATTGAAAAAAAAAAAAAAATAATGGGACTATTCCTGCGGGGATTAAATTGTATATGCTGCGAACCAGACTCTTTGAAGTGATGAGGGCCTGTGAGCTGGCTTAGAATCATGTGGGCCACCCAGATACCCATTCCCCAGAAGCGGGGCTGTCGATGCTGGCGATGCTTGTTTGTAGGAGGCCCGAATGGGCTTCAATCAACAACAAAAAAAGAAAGAAATCCGTCAAAAATGTGCTGATTCCGGTAATCGAAACCGGGGCCTAAGCATGGGAAGCTTAGATGTTACCACTACACCAAATCAGCGTCGTTCTTTCCCAATTTCTGGGCTGTCAGATGCGAGTTTGTGTGTTGTTCCTGCTTATGAAGCGGGGTTAAGGCGGGGTTATCCTTTGGGAAGCACATTCGGCATGCAGCGGAGTTAAGCACAGGCAACAGGACATCGAATGAATAAAACTTAATGCTCTTCAGTTGATCAAAATGTCTCTTCTTGGGTTAATTCATTGGGAAGTCGATTATGGACATTCATATCCGAGTACTGAATGTCGTTATTGACATCTGATTCAATGGAAGGGTGACCTCACGCTGTGCCGTGATTTGACAATATGTGACGGCAAAGACATCAAAACATGCATTTCAAGAATGAAAGAAAAAAAAAACAAGTGGTTTTAGAGCAGTTTCTTGCTACCTAGTAGGCAGCCGAGTTCCGAAAGGAACCTCTGTGTCCCGTGCGAAGATCTATGAGCAAGGTCCGCTGACAATAGGTCTGTGCCGATACCTTATCGGTATCCTTGTTAGTTTCTTGCAGATTCTAGGCATCTGTCAAATGGCTACTTCACTTAACAAATCTGTAAGGGGGGCCCACATCATCCAATCGTGAGCTTCAAAGGGGAATTACTGCCGTTGTTGTTTCACCACGAAGTCAGAATAATGAACAAGTAGCAAGGTACCTAAGATATGTATTTGACTGCCTGGTTGCCTGGTTGACCACAGTTAGGCACCCAAATAATGACACCTGCGGCGTCCGACACTTTCCCCTACGTGGAAGATGAAAGCTAGGAGCTAGGGAAAGGACTGCCCAAAAGACCCCACATTTAGCCGTATTCCACCAACACGGCTGGAGCACCAAAGTGGGTCCCTATCATACCAGCATCGAGCAGTGTGTTGGAATGACCTCAATTAATTATTATAAGATGCTCTTGACAATCACTGTGAAGTTTTCCATTTGGTTCTGAATCTTATCAACTCAGACTGTATCGTTCGGAAGAACTGAATCAACATGGACGAGTATCAAATCAAGCATACCCCTTGGTATCAATCCTCCGTTGAGGCCTTCGCAGCCAAAGCTGCCAGGGAGGACCTGGGCCGCCCTGAGGATCCAAATGCCACCCCGAATCCCGACATGATTGTTGCTGCTCGACTTCGACCCATTCTGGAAGATGAGGTAGCTGCCGGGCTTATTCGTGGTGTTTATACCCGATCCAGCGCGAACGGCGCCGTCGATGTACACCAGATCCGGAAACACATCAAACCATTGGGCCCTCCTACTTTGGTTGTAAGTCGTAGATTTTTTCTTCTTTTCATTGGCTATTGAAGCCAATCTTACAATTAACAGTCTACCTCGGTTCGCCTTGACCGAGTATACGGGCCGGAGGATACTTCCGAGCAGATTTACCAAGATTTGGTGCAGCCCCTGGTTCCCTGGGCATGGAGCGGTGGTGTCAGCACAATGTTTGCCTATGGTCAGACTGGCTCTGGAAAGACTTTCACCGTCAGCGCCATTGAGAAGCTGGCTGCCGAGTCTCTGATGCGAGGGGATCTGGAAGGCAAACGCAATGTTCATGCGTGCATCATTGAACTAGCGGGCAATCGAGCCTTTGGTGAGAACTCTGACCTTGATCCCGCTGAGTGATTCTCACACAGTTTTTAACAGATCTTCTCAACTCGCGCAAGCCGATCTCTGTTCTTGAGGATTCTTTTGGCGTCACCCAGCTCGCCGGAGCTATGGAATTCGAAGTGACTGAGGCAGGCACTCTACTTGACTTGATCGAGAAAGCAGCAACGTATCGCAGAACAGCATCAACAGAAAAAAACGATGCTTCATCCCGTTCTCATGCAATTTGTCGCATACGAATCGAGAACCCCACCATGCCCGCTGCCGAAGACGGTCTCCTCTATCTTATCGACTTAGCTGGCTCCGAGGCTGCTCGAGATAGGGCCAATCACACAGCCGATCGAATGAAGGAGGCACGTGAGATCAACACCAGTCTGTCGGTCCTTAAAGATTGCATCAGGGGTAGGGCTACCGTTGATGCGGCATCTTTGACGGGAAAACCAAAGAAACCAACCCACATTCCCTTCCGACAGAGCTCGCTCACCAAAATCTTGAAGCACGTCTTCGACCCTAACAGCCGTCGCACGTGCAAAACTGTGGTGATGGCCTGCGTCAACCCAAGTCTTCCGGATACCCCGGCCGGCAAAAACACACTCAAGTATGCCGAAATGTTGAGAGTCCTCTTGCCCAAAGCGAAGCCTTGGCCATATGATCCCGACGTACCCTTCACCTGGACCAATGAGCAATTGAGACAGTGGGTCGAGGCCAATGTAAGTTGACATTTCCACACTTTTATGAAGTAATCTGACACCACATAGTCCGGCACGCCTATTATTTCAGGCGGTTTACTTGCACCTTCTGAGTCTGGCGCTCAGCTCCTCCGGCTGCCAACGCCAGAGTTTCTCACCAGATGCCTTAAATCACCAGGTGTGACTGAGGATCAAGCTCGTGCCTTTGAGGCAAAGTTCTGGCGTTTGCATATCGATTCACAAAAAGCATCTTCAAAAACGGTAGAACCAAAGACGGAAGAGGAGCCGCAGAGTAAGGCCGTGGCAACAATGTCACGAAACCAGCTACTGGCCTCAAGTATCGACCTTGATCCAAATGCCGCACAGGTGCCTTTCAAGGAGCGTATTCGCCCAGGCATGGTCGTTCGGTGGAATCCGCCTGCTGGCTTTTCAGGAACCTTGCCGGGGCTGAACATGGTGGCAATTCTATGCCCTCAATCAGCCGCTGGAACTCATGCACGAGATCTCGACGGCAACTTAGTCCTGAGGGCTGGATCAGAGCCCGAGGGCAAGAAGTATCTCTGTGCCATGGTACTCCCTGGGTTCATGGCTGATTCGTACGAGCTTAGCATGTGGCGTCAAGTCGTGGTGGACGTTGAGCAAATGGAGGCCGAGGTGTTTCTTGAGTACGATTCGGCAACGAGGTATTGTCATGTCACACTCTAGATAAAAAAATGCTTAGTGAAGAATTATACAAAGTGGAACAGTACCTGAGGCAATGTGTGACGCGGTTTTGGCGCTATTCCATCTGAAAAAGAAAAGCGGTATTCGATACGCATCAGTTGTCGTATTGAATACGAGAATTCGTATACACAGAGATTAGCATCTCCTTACTCATCCTAAAATAGATTGGTATTGTTTCTCATACCAACGCAATGGCAAAAATACATTAACTGATGGAAATTATTTAGGATATATATGCGCATTGATTCGGCCAGTGCAGCCTTGAGCTTCAATAACGCGACCCTGATCCAATACGCACCGTGAGCACAAGATCGTCGTCCATCATAAGATTAGGCATCTCGCGTTGTTTCGATCAACATATAATTATGGGGATGTCAGCTGTCCCAAAGACTTCTACGCTCGTGACTCCAGAGTCAATTGACGCTGTCTACAAGTATCCCATCATCGACGCCGAATCTGACCAATCCTCACCAGCCAAACACCACCGCGTCTCGGGACATTTCGAGAACACCCCAATCCGATTCAACTTTTACTTTCCTCCGAGAGACAGATGGGACGGCAGGTTCTTTCAGCTGACCTTTCCGACGCAGCATGAAAACGCCACCGACGAAGTCATCGGCTTTGCCTTGGACAGCCATGCCTATGCCGTCCAAGCTACTGGCAGTCGTGGGTTCCAAGCCGAAGCCGCTGCGGCCCAATTTTCGAGAGTGGTCGCTAGGCGGTATTACGGCAGTTGTTCGAGGCGCATCTATGGGTATCTCTATGGTGGCAGCGGCGGCTCGCTGCAAGTCATCGGTGCTGTGGAGAACTCGATCGGCATCTGGGATGGTGCCGTCCCTTCCGTCCAAGCAATACCGATATCTGCCCCCAACAACCCTTCAATAAGAGCCATGGCAAGCCTTGTTCTCCGAAATAGTGCTGAACAGATTCAGGATGCGTTAAGGCCCGGCGGCACAGGGGATCCTTTTTCGATACTGAACCCAGTAGAGAGGGAGATGCTCCAGGAGGCAACGAATCTTGGCGTTCCAATTCAGGCCTGGGAAGACTTTTCTGAAGTTTCAGACGCTTCAACGCTGTCATTGCTGTCTAACGTGGCCGTCAAGATCCTGGATCCGACCTATGTTGACGACTTTTGGTTCAAGAAAGGGTATCTCGGAACTGATCCGAGTCCACTTGGGGAGGTACTGAGAACTGCCGTGGTTAGTTTTGTATCTACTGTTCGGCATGTAAAGGTGGACTCAAGAGAGGTTCCTTTTTCTGTCGAATTGGATGTTGCCCTGTCACCAGGCACTTTCATGGACGAGTATTGGTACGATTTCACAGTGTCCACCGCAGATGGTGTAGAACTCGGCGTTCTCGTAGGCACGTTCAACTACATGACGAAAGTCGCGGTATTCAATAATAAAAGAGTGGGGAAAAACGACATTCTTCTTCTAAGGAAATTAGCCCAAGGAATCAAACTACGGGTCGAAAATAGGCGCTCCATCGCAATGCGCGCCTACTACCGGTATCAGGTCCCGGAACGCCGCGGATTTTATGGCTTTGATCACCTTCGCAATCCAGACGGGTCCTCTCGCTTTCCGAGACGACTGGTCGACGTCTCGAAATGTCTCTCTGAGGGCGCTTTGGGCGGTGCGACTCATACTGGCGACATCAAGGTGAAAATCATTGTTGTCCAGAACTTAATGGATAGTGGCGCGTTTCCTTGGCACGCCGACTGGTATAAGAAGCAAGTGAAGCAAGCACTGGGCTGCAGATTCGAAGACAACTACCGGCTATGGTTCAACGAGAACACGGAACATGAGTGGGAAGGTCCCAGTAAGAAACGTGCCTCCCTCATCGTGCCTTACCGCGGCATCGTCCAGCAGGCACTGCGCGATATGAGTGCGTGGGTTGAAAGAGGCGTGCCACCACCAGCATCGACATCTTACAGCGTTGCTGAAGATTCATCAATCATCCTACCTCCGGCAGCAGACGATCGCAGAGGTATCCAGCCAACGGTACATTTAACAGTGGAAGGCGGGAAGAAGTTTGAGGCAAAAATAGGACAAACTATTACCTTTCACGCTACGATAACAGCACCTCCAGGCGCCGGAGCAATAGTCTACGTGGAGTGGGACTTCTTTGGCAAGGGGCGATACACATACGGCCATCTCAGCACGCCGAAACAAACAGTTGAAGTTCAGACTACATTCACTTACAACACCCCAGGCAACTTTATCGTTGGTATCCGCGCGACTTTGCAGCGGGAGGGTAATGTGGTTAGCAAATACGCAGGAGTCATGAATCTGGCACGCGTTTCGGTAACAGTTGGGAAGTCAACAGACTTGGGAAAAGAATTTCGGTTGTAGACCTTGTTTCTCGCAAGAGATGGCGAGTATATGTTTTGCGCTTATAAAATGATTGTGTTTTTTTAGAGTTGTAACATGCCTTGACGCAACAAAAGCTGTAAGCCGTTACCGTCCATATAGATTTCCACTATATATCCACCAGACAATCGGAAGAAAGGAGTTGCACATGGGTTGTTTCTTTAGAGTTTTAGGGTTCCTGCTTAGTACATCACGCTTTCCTCTTGCGAGTCTTTGTAAACTCAAACCAATTCGTAATTAGAACAGACGACCTTATGCGCCTGATAGCGAGCGTCATTTTGCGACTCAAGTTTGCAAGATCTCCGTCTTACGCTGAAGTGATGTTTAGGTGGAAAACTTCAGCGAAACTACCGGGGTGTGCCCCCTCCCCTAAACAGCCCCTGTAAGTCGGTGGCCCAGCATAGCCAGCGTAACCCATCGAAGGCACCATTAACTAAAGAAGTCAGAGTAGCTATACAAACTTACCGTAGTAGTCCATGCCGCATCTTTACTTGACCGCCAGTCAGTCCCAGTGGGCAAACAAGAGTCCTAACCCTTTTTTTGTCGCTTGTTTGAAGGATAATTAACAGTTTCATTGAGGTAGGCAGTCTCCATACGTCACGACATAATTCAGAGGTACTCGATTCCACATGTTTGGTCAATCCTAGTAAACTGACACACGTCTGTTAAATTCTTTCTATTTCGAGTACTGCCTCTAGCAGATTGTGCCAATATGTTTGAATAGTCCAGCAGTGCTTTGAAGTCGCCTCCAGCCGTGAGTTGTTGAATGTGCCAAATCCTCTTGTCATTCTGAACCCTCTGGTGATTTCAGAGTACCTAAATCATCTTGTGGCTCCGTTAAGATTATATAGCCTATTTTGATAAAGGTAACGTTTTACCCTTTTGACTCCGGCAAGTGCTTCTTTATCCATCATTTCACCGCGACGTCTTTCCTGGGGTGCTCAAAACTCAACAACACCACTATACATTCCCTTCAGCCAACGCATAGTTCGGTCAAGCCCGATTTGTGCAAGGAAGTCGCAGATCTAAGAGACATGTACACATTTCAGATTGAGCAAACTTAATTGAGCAGCAGCTATGTCAGCTTGACTTTAACGAGCATGGGGTCTTCCAAAGAATTACCGTGGAAAAACAATCGGTCACTAAGTTTGGATTTCTTAGACCGTGACTTCCGTGACCACTTTGGTGATTCCATCAGGCTCTGATAAGGGGACCACAGGCCAGTTGTGAGGCTCAGCCTGGTCGGCGCTGAAGACCTTGAAAATGATGTCTGGTGACGCCTCTACCGGGGCGGCTTGCACCATGGCTGCGGCAAGTGTTGCGGCAAGGAAAAGAAGGCGGGCGAACGGGGGCATGTTTGGAGTTTGCAAGAAAATGTCTGATGGATTGATGCTTTTTGCAGAGGTCAAGAAAATGATGGGGGAAATGATGCGCTTGTGTTGGGCTAACACTGGGGACCACTGAGGAAATAAAGGCTTTATAACTAGGAGGAAAAAAGAATATCGGATAAGGGATATTTTCGGCTTGCTTTGCTGTCGAGTTAGTTGTCGTCATATCTTTATCGTAACTACCTACTTGGGAAGCTCGGCTCGGTCTATAATGCAGATCAGTTGGCAATCTTCTTTCCATCAACCAATAGCCCAAAGAAAACTTACTCAGCTCTGCACTGCATATACCTATAGAAAGTGCTCACTCAGCAACATACAGCGAAAGCCTTCACAGCAACTCATTTAGTCGAATGACAACTTACTTTCGAAGGTAAGATTTTAGCACGGGTTGTCTACTCCCTAGTAATCGTTTGCTTCTCTTGACGTCAGTTGTAAAACCAGACTCAATGATCGCTTACTCAGAGCCATGACCTTGGCAGCAGTGCGTCGGCTTTGCAGCGGATAAATTCAAGGAACGACAGTTATGAACAGTTCACGGTGATGCTCAGTTACGTGACAAGGACGTCTTTTCAAATGCTTAAAAGCAGAAGAGTTTTCCTTTGTTGCCGTTTCATTCAGAACGCAACTGCCACCGAAGAAGCTACTATATTAAACATCCTCGTCGACAATCAGCCATCTCTGTTTTCGCTCGACACGGCATTACACGCATTTGCCCAAATTTACGCGGTATAATTCTGGGAAAGAAGCAACACCTCCATACCTACCACCACAAATATCAAACACAAAGATGCATTTCCCAACCATTGTCGCGGCTCTGGGGCACGTCAGCCTCATCTCGGCCTACACGGCCCGTTACAGCAAAAATTACTGCGAGCAAACTCGCCCCGTGGTTACATCCTACAGCAATGCCTTAAACTATTGCTACAACATCGATGGCGCAGCTTCATTGCAATTCACCGACGTCGGGGTCCCCTCTAGGTGGAAGTGCATTGTCTACGCTGGATCCGGCTGCACAGGCTCACACTTGGAAGTTGTGAGCACTAATTCAGGCACGAATTGCTTCAACAGCCCAGTTGGCTGGATATATTCTTACGCGTGTATTGATGCGTAGAGGAGAGAAATGGGCACAGAGATTCGGGCAGTGACTTGGTGTCGTGAGCGGAAGAGGGAGCAATGATATGGCTAGGATGAGGAAAGAGAAATGTTTGTGATGTACTTAAGATTCAATTGTGCAGAATACATATACGGTCAGTTTCTCAACTGGTATTGAGCGCCAGGTGGCTCACCCGAACATAGCAACGCCTTAGGTCTTAGTTATGCGGTAGCTAACCCCTGAACATGGGAGATGGACTGAAACATATAAACACGAATCTGCAAAATACTGCTTAGTCCGTTCTTTAACTTTGTTCTTCTGCTATGTCCCATTTCAATTTAGACCTCTACCATAACAATCTCTAAGTACGAACACTTGAGTTGCCAAGACAGGCCCCCACACTACGCTCGTCGTTGTTCCTGGTAGAATCCCTTTGACGCAGCACGTAATCTTTGAGCTGGGTGTTACGTTATAGACTTCAATTTTAGTGGTAATATCCAATGTCTCCCCCGCTGAGGCTGCGTCAGTGGCTCTTATATTGCAGACGTAAAACCCTAAGCCTCCATATAATCAATCTTGAGCTTACTTTTGTTGAGGATTTGTGTATTGACCCCTATCTCTATTCATAAGTCGGATTAGGTTTTAATCCGAGACAGCTGTGTTTATTTACGTCCTGCTTTATTTGCCCACCAGGATAGTAATCGTAAAGGAGCATTGTAAAGAGTCCTCTTGCTGAGTGTTACATGACACCAATAGAAGTGGCAGGCTTGGGGAGAGAACTGAGGAACAGCCAGAACAGATCGCAATGGAGACCATCATGAAGTTATGGAAAGCCTTTCTGATTCATCTGTACTGTCACTCAACAGAGTCTAACCCAGCTTCACGTTGGACTTAGTTGCTGTTAATGTCGAAGTACCCAGCAACAGGAGCTCGGATGAAAAACAAGCTAGGGCTGACAACTGCGGCATAAAGGTTTGTGGAATTTGTGACACCATTGACATAACGGCTTGATTAGAGTTAAAACAAAACCAGAGCTTCTAAACGTTTTAATTGTAGTTGCAAAGCTATGTAAGGAAGAGTATGAAGGTGAAGTAGCACTATCTGAAGCAGAGGTTGAAGCTAGGCTAATGGTCTGGGGGCTTTCAGTCAAAAAGCTGAGGTGGTGCTGCACAACGGAGATCCAATAGCCAAGTTTGCGCCCTGGTGCGTCATGGTTAGATTTAGTTCTTCGCAAATGGTGATTTTGGTAGTCGCAATAATGGTTATCAAAAGCATTCTTATCTCAACCTTCTCTCGTGGTGTTCTCTTAGCTCAAAAGCAAGCCGTATAGGGTTGCCTTATCCAGGTGCCTAAGGTCGTAGTCTCAGTTACACTTTCGAGCCTGTTGTCAAACAAAGGTTGCAAACGATGGATTAGCAGAAGCTTGTGACAGATATTGTTAATGGTGTAGGGTTCTCGTCGGCCACCGTCCTCTTGTTAGGTATGGACTTAGTTGACTTTCGCTTACACCTGTAACGTTGTCCTGCGCTACAGCACACATCTCGTTCATGAGAAAAAAAAAACAAGTTAAGGTGGCTTACCAGTTCTTCTACATTCTGCATTTGTGCCAGAGCGCCACCAAAAAGCAACATCGTGATCTTTTACAAGTATGTAAACGGGCGTAAGGTATCAATCCAATCATGCGTTGTTTTGCACACCATGCATCTTCCGCGCATGTTTCCGCACTATTGCCGTCTCGCTTATGTCGCGTCTGTCCAATAAAAGCTAGAGACCATGTTCAACAGCACCTTCCTCGCCATTTCAAAGCATGGTGATTACTGCTCGTTTTTGGCCTTTCCTTATGTGTGTTCCGTATCGACAGTGGATGTTGGGGAGTTTAAACCACTTTGAGCAATTCGACAGCAGATAGATAGGGGTCTGGCGCTATTTGATTTCAGCCAATGTAGCATCCCCTCCCCTATGTTATACCTGAAGAAGCAGGTCAACAGCACACGGCGACCCACACTTAAAGGATGAAGGATTCATGTGCCGCAAGACTGCATGACGCGAATGCTTGAAGGCAGCCAAGGATCATATTATTTAAAGGTTCCGATACCATGCACACTCCCCTGTAGTTCTTAACTTCGCGTTTCATCAAACTTCCCCCACTGACTGGAACTCTCGCGATGCGGTCTACCAAGCCATATGCGCTCCTCGCTTTGGCAGGCCTGGGGAGCAGTCAGCTCATTGAACTCAGCAACTGTCCTATTCTCGGGCCGGCTTATCCTGCCTTGAAAGACCTCCGGAAATCACGAGTAATAAGAGATACCGGGGATTCCTTTACCAAAATCATCGAAGAAGCCGTTGCAACGGGGGAAACGGAATGGGGCTTAATTGGCACTGCCAACACATCCTTCTCACTCAGTGTTTTCTCGGCTGATTCTGATGACTACCTCTTTGAGTATCACCATCGAGGTACGGAACTCGATGGCTCGCTGACTGGAGATGTTCTCAACGCGGACACCTTATACCGTATTGGGAGCGTCTCGAAGTTGTTTACAGTGTACACGTTACTGATCAAATTGGATCCATCGTACTGGAGTCAGCCTATAACAAACTTCATTCCAGAATTGGCAGATGCACCGACAAACAATGGGGCGCGCCAAGTGCAGTGGTCAGATGTCACTCTCGGGGCTTTAATGAGCCATATGGGCGGACTGGCTCGGAACAGTATGTTTGAGTTTACCCACCTCCCATGGGCAAGTTGGAATGCCTACGTTGCTAACGAATTTTAGATGGATTCACCGATATTTCTGGTGTCCCCGGGGTCGAGTCTATCGGGCTTCCTCGTTTAGATGACTCTAGCATCACCAAATGCGGTCTCCCTGGGAAGCCTGCATGCACAAGAGAAGGCATGTCCATCCGGTTTTCATGCAAAGATGCTACAAGTTACTAATCCATCACAGAGTCCATTCGTCTCTTGTTGCAACAGAACCCTGCGACTGGTACCTGGACCACTCCTGTCTACTCCAACGAAGCCTTCCAGCTTCTTGGCTGGGCGTACGAAAACATCACAGGAGAGACCATGGAACAAGGTTTTAACTCTGCCATTGTCAAGCCTTTGGGCCTATCTCGAACTTTCTGGAACCCGCCAGAGAACGACCCGAATGCCAATGTAGTGGATCCCGAACCTTCACTGGAAAGCCTCCTTGTTGGATACAAGTTTGAAGAGGGTCTAGGTTCCTACACGCCGTAAGTGGAGACTTCCTGTGTCTCTCATGGATTAAGCATGATATTAATATTGCCCCAGGACTGGCGGTATCTACGCATCACCTGGTGATCTCTCCACCATCGGCCGCTCTATTCTCCGCTCATCCCTTTTATCAGAGGCGCAAACTCGCGAGTGGCTTAAACCCGTCACATTCACGGCTTCCACACATACGGCCATTGGTAAAGCTTGGGAGATAAGCCGTATGGAAGTTCCCGTCACTCCAGGTTCGGATCGTACCCGCCTCGTAGATTTATACGCCAAAAGCGGTGGCATATCATCGTATCTCACTTACCTCATACTGTCTCCCGATCACAGATTGGGTGTGACCATCAACATCGCCTCCAAGAACGCTTTCGGCGGCGCTGCTTCAGATCCCTCCTTCGGCACTCTCACCAACTTGCTTCTTGACAAGTGGATCCCTGCCGCCGAGGATGCTTCGCGAGAGGCAGCGGGGAACAATCTTGCGGGCACCTATATTTCCGATGATGGTACAGATTCCGTGATTGAGCTCGCGCTGGTTCCTGGAAGACTAGGGCTGGCTGTTCAAAAGTTGTTGTACAACGGAACCGACTTCTTGACGAACGTGGGTGGTACCCTGGGATTTCAGGGTGCAGACTTGCAGTACGTAGGACTGAGGGACGACAAGGACGTTGTTTTCCAGGCTATATTCTCCTCCCCTCTTCCCAAGGTGCCAAGGCGGCCGTCTCCTTTAAACCCAGAATGCTCTGGTGTCTGGTCAGCCCGTGGCTTTTTTACCTATGGCAACGTCATGCTTGACGAGGTCATTATCAGTGTCGACAAAGAAGACAAAGGCATCGCCGTTGAGTTACCGGCCTTAAGAACGAAGTTTGTCAAGAAGGTGGAGTCTGATGACCGGCAGCAGTTTGTTTTTGGTCCGCATTGATGTTACAAATGGTGCCATAATATGAAGAAAGGAAAGTCGCTGTGTGATCTTGTTTTACCTTATTTTGTACGTAGAAACAGATGTCGTTGTCGGTCAAGGAGCCAACTGCGCGTCATTTTTGTGCTTCCCTCAGCTGTGTGAGAAAATGTTTATGGAGACATGTTGCATAACTGTAAGTCCAAAGAGCACGAAAAATTGAGATAAGTTTTGTTAAAACCGAATCAAAGAGTGGTCTCCAGGAAAGCTGGGATTTCATCTTTAGATCAAGGCAGTAGCCTACAACTTCCGACTAGTGGCAGGGCGTCAATATCAGTCGTTGACAGACATAGGCTAACACATATCCAACAAATGTTAGGTAATCAAAGTATATTATGAGCGTTTTCGAGGACTAGCAGCCTTTGTGCTCAGAAGACTGACCTGGCTTGCTGCCATTCAGGTTTACTGAAACACACCTTATTGTATGGGGGCGCTGTAGTGCACCTAGGAAGTCAAGATCAAGCACCTAATACGAGTGGGACGAATCTAGTAATTCCCTTGGTTTTCTTTTTACCCTCCCACGCAAGATCTTCTTAGGTTCAAATTCGTAGTACAGCTTGCCATCTTCATGCCGAAGGTGAGGTCGTAAGGCAAGCAGGTCCACCACCTGAGTGAGGCACCAGTTGAAGCTATGGCGCACAGACCACCAAGCTTCTATCCACGTGATTGCGGGTTGCAGCTCCAGGGGGGTCGCGTTTCTGCCTGCTGCCCGCGGCGCGGTGTGCGCGACTGCCACTTAAACCACCGATGAGCGCAGCCAATTGCTGCTGAACGCAACAACTACGTCGTGTCGTAGCCCCTCCGACAATCTCCAGAAGCTACCTTTTACTTCAGAAGCTTCAGAAGCTCCTGGGCTGCCTGACACCATGCCCGATTTCACAGGTATGCTCTCTCTGGAGTTAATTGCAATCGCCTGCTGACTCTACGTACAGAGGCGGACACCATCCGCATTCTGGTTGCGACGGACAATCATGTGGGCTATGAAGAGCGCGACCCGATTCGCAAAGATGACAGCTGGAGGACGTTCGACGAGATTCTGAACATCGCAAAGGCTCAAGATGTATGCAACCCTGCCGTCCGGTGATGTTCAATCGCTAACATGACGCACAGGTCGACATGGTCCTCCTCGGAGGCGACCTCTTCCACGACAACAAGCCTTCTAGAAAGTCCATGTACCAGGTCATGCGAAGTTTACGAAAGAACTGTCTTGGCATGAAGCCTTGCGAGCTTGAGTTCCTGAGCGATGCGAACGAAGTCTTCGAGGGTGCATTCCCCCATGTCAACTACGAAGACCCCGATATCAATATCTCAATTCCTGTGTTTTCTATTCATGGAAACCATGACGACCCTAGTGGCGAGGGTCACTTCTGCTCTCTCGACCTGCTTCAGGTTGCTGGACTGGTCAACTACTTTGGCCGCATTGCTGAGGCAGACAACATCGAGGCGAAGCCTGTTCTTTTGCAAAAGGGACAAACGAAGCTTGCACTTTATGGACTGAGCAACGTGCGGGACGAGCGCATGTTCCGAACCTTTAGAGACCACAAAGTCAAGTGGTTCCGGCCAGGTGTCCAGCAGACTGACTGGTTCAACCTTCTTACGGTCCATCAGAACCACCACGCCCACACGGCAACATCATACCTCCCTGAAAACGTACTGCCTGATTGGATGGACCTGATCGTTTGGGGACACGAACACGAGTGTCTTATTGATCCCCAGCAAAACCCAGAAACTGGATTTCACGTCATGCAACCTGGATCATCGGTAGCCACATCACTGGTACCGGGTGAAGCCGTGCCAAAGCATGTCGCCATCTTGAACGTGACTGGAAAGGAGTTCAAGGTTGAGAAGATTCCTCTCAAGACCGTTCGACCGTTTATCACCAAGGAAATTGTTCTGTCAAGCGACCCGCGCTTCAAAGATCTACACACCAAGAAGGACAATCGACAGGAGCTAACAAAGAGACTCATGGTCGTTGTCGAGGAGATGATTCAAGAGGCGAACGAGGATTGGTACGCCATTCAGGATAATGAAGATGAGGAAGCTCCCCTACCCCTGATCCGCCTCAAGGTAGAATACACAGCTCCTGAGGGCGGCCAATATGACTGTGAGAATCCTCAGCGGTTCTCGAACAGATTTATCGGCAAAGTGGCCAACACCAATGACGTCGTCTACTTCCACCGGAAGAAGGCTGGCACTTCTAGTATGTGTTTCCCTCCTAGTGGCCTAATTCTCATGCTAATATAGTTCAGGACGCAACAACGCCGATACAGACATCCCTGAGATGCTCGAGGAAGCCCTGGGCCTTGACACTGTGAAGGTAGAAGCTCTCGTGCAGGAATTCTTGGCTGCACAGTCCTTGAAGATTTTGCCTCAGGCGCCTTTCGGTGATGCCGTCAATCAGTTCGTCAACAAGGACGATAAACACGCCATGGAAGAGTTCGTCAGCGAGTCTCTGGCCGGGCAAGTTAAGCAGATGCTCAGCCTCGACTCGGACGAAGACGACCTGGACAATGCCATGGAGACGTACCGGTCGAGACTAGAGGAGCAGTTCGTCAAGGGAGTATTGAAGAAGGCCTCGAAGCGCAAGGTCAAGCCTAAGCCTGAGGAGTGGGACTCCGACTTGGACGGACATTGGGAGGATCAGCCTGGCGTTGTAGAGACTGAAACCGTCTCACAACCCTCAGCCAGGTCAAGACGCGCGCAAACCCAAGACGCCGAAGATGATATGATGGACCTCGAAGATGAACCTGTGGCTCGTCAACCCGCGAAGCGTGCAACAACGGCGCGGACTACCAAGGCCGCTGCGACAAAGAAAGCTCCAGCGAAGAAGGCGCCGGCCAAGAAGGCCCCCGCTCGGGGCCGGAAAAAGCCCCTGTTCGAGGAAGAGGATGAAGAGGAAGAGGACGTGGTAATGGACGATGACTTTGAGGAACCTCCTCCACCTACACGTGCAAGAAGATCCCAACCCGCCCGCGCGGCTCCTAAGACGCGCCAGACAACCCTCAACTTCTCCCAGGCAGCTGCCTCGCAGAAGGCGGTGGAAATTAGTGATGACGAGATCTCCGAGGATGACGCCTTTGAGCCTGCCCCGGTCACGACGCGCTCCAAACGGAGATGAGGGTACGGAGAGATATCGCCCGCCTCTATTTGAGTTGTACAAACATGTAAATAAGAGAGACGTTGGGCCTTGAAAAGCTCATGTTGTTAGCTGATCACAGGGAGTTGGGGTGGAGTTTTTCTTTAACTAGATCGATGATGAGCCAAGATACCACGCCGCTAATGAGAAAAGTCAATTGCTCTTACCTTGGCCTGCTCAAAATGCTTGATCTGACTTGCTGTAATGATTTGTTACTGAATTAACAAGCTTGTCAGGGGTTGAGTAAACCTCTGTTGTGCTGTTTAGTCGTTGGCGTGATACCGAATGTGCCATTAGACAAGATGAATGGATCCACCAGTTTCCTTCCCAATTTCATTCGATAAACTAAACAACATGGAAGATGGCAACGCGGATTGAGTGGGAGGTTCAAAACATAGCTTCTTGCCGTCCGACTCTCCGTGAACAAATGCATCACGGCGGTCTCAAGGGCAGTGCCCTAAGAACGAAGCTCGACTCTGCCTGCTCCTCCTTCGTCTTGCCTGCAGCCTGAAGACTTGGTGATCTTGCAATGCCAAAAGCGCCGCGAAAACCTCTACTTCGAGGCAGACGCGTCCAATGGCGGTGGGTACGCCGTGGTCCGCCGTCAAATAAGCATCTGCAGGCTGACGATATGAATACGAGGCGCCTCTTCAGTAGGTTCAAGACAGGTGGTAAAGTTCCTTGGCCGACAATCAGTGCTGAAATGAGCCCCTGCTCGTGTTTTTGAAGCGTAGTCTCGTTTGAAACCTTCTTCCTCCGAGATCTTCCATGAGGTCGTGCCAGTTGAGATACTGGAAGAGCTGAGTCTTGGACGATGATGTAACAATCTTGTATCTAGAACCTCGGTGCTACTCGTGCTTTTCATTTGAGATACTGAGCCCTGCGGCGGTATCGCCTGAGTAAACGACTTGACACTTTGATAAGACTGCACTCCGGCGTATCCGAGCATTCACCGCCAGCGATTCCGACGACATCCCGTTCACGAAGAAGGCCTTGTGACGATGTGACGACTGCCGCTCGTCTGCTCTTGTTCCAAATGCCAAATATCAGTACTCGCCACCCCATTCTTTTTATTAAATGAATTCTTGTAAACTGTAGGAATGATCCCCTGGTATAAAACTTTCCGGTGGTTCGGGCTAGGCGACGTCTCATCGTCAGATGAAACCATATCGGAGCAAGTATAGGGGAAGTAATGATCGATGTGCTCATGGTATTCAGATCCTCGCACTACCGCTTCTCTGACAGCTCTACCAGAGATGAAGAGCCTCAAAGTAGCTCCAGCTCGGTTGTACATGTTCACTAGTGACTTGGTAACAGAGAGGGAAATACCCAAACTTGGGTACTCATATCATCACTAACCTGTGAAAGTCGTCTTACGGAGCCTTCAACGATACCGCAAAGAGGCCGCAAGTTGTACCGATATCAGAGTCTCAGCAAACGGCGTTAAGCGACAAAAGCAGCCTTTGCATAAGGTAGAAACTGGCCATCATAGCATGTCAATTCGGAGCCTTTGGTAAAGAACACCAGTGCTCTCCAAAGGCATCACATCTTCATGAACTTCCAGCCATGCATAGCCATCTTCAAACATGCTCGAGCAAGCAAATCAGACAACCTCCGCAGTCTCACCTGTTCGACATATCATCATCATCATCAAAGCCACACACGCAACATCATCGCCCATGATGTAAGTCCAGGGTACGTGCCAAATTCCACGCCATATCCAACGAGCTGGCCTCTTCTCTTTCGTAAAACCTTCCCAGCAAACCCGTTCGCCAAAAGCTCAGTCCCAGCCTCTCCTCCCGTCGTTTATGAACTTTCCAAAAACTCATCAGTGTTGAAGCCTGTTTTTTTTTTTTTCCCTTCTCGTAATGCATGTTCCATCTTGCTTGCATTCTCATACAGACTTGATGTGTCTCACGATCTGCTCGGCAAAGGCGCATCTCTTGACCTCGCCGTGTCGCTATTACCACTCATCGCATCCCTATTGTCATGACTAGTTACTTCGCGGTATTCTCACGCTGCTGCTTATGGTCTGTACGCTGGTCTCCGTATACCGCTTGCAACCAAGGCAGCAACGAAGCAAGCCACGACATCGAGAGCTACAAAACATGGGGGTTTAATGGTTAAATATTAGCTGCAAGGACAAATTCTGCAGCTCCTGCGTCATCTCAAATGCTCTGGCAGTACCGGAAGAACTCAGGAAAAAAAGTTAGCCAAATCCTAGTAGCAGGCCACTGGCGTTTCAACTACACAACACATAGTTGGGCCTCGAGTGTCAAACACTGACACCGACAGCAGTTTTCTTGACAGAAATATCTTGCCTCTTCTTGACCAGAGATCGCACTAGTATCTGTTTTACAAAGGGATCACCTGGCCTGGGGAAAAAAAATAATGACGAATACATATTGATTGACAGAGGCCACTGAGCCTCACTATCTCGCACCCAGTTTCTCATTGACAATTTCTCGTTCAATGCAACAGCAGCCGTACAAAACCAAGCAATCCGCACAGAAGATCCCGTGACCTCCCGACTCTCGAGGACTCTTGCCCTGTTATGGACCAAGGCCAGCATCCCAACCTACTATTCCAAATTTTCACACCCTGAAAAGTCCTGTGTCGTCGGAGCACTTCCCGTCTCCGAAAACGAATCATAGCCCCTCAACACATCATCGCCCAGTCTCGCGATGCAGCTGCGCCGCAACAAACTCATTTCGCGGAAAGCGGAGAGCGAGGCAAAAGGCGAGGGAAGTGTGGGTGGGGATGTGCTGCGCAAGCGAGTCAACCTAAACAGTTTGTTGGGTCTCATTAGGGGCTCGTGAAATGACTTCCTCTAGCTGCTCTCCGAGGAAACTTTGAAGCCTCGAGCCCGCGGCCGATCGTTATCCGACGGTAAAGAACACACGCTTATGAGTCCTGCCCTTACGAAGATAGCATTCGCTGAACGCTTGTCCCAATATTATAACCATGCAATGTAATTTCAGCTCTTGCTTCAGACTCATCCTTAGACTCAGAGACTCCGTTTCGAACAATGTCGCTGACGATAACTTCATTTTGAAGACACCTCGGATTCATTTGGTCCTGTCTTATGCGAAAATGAGAATGCTAGAAGAGGCAGCGACGGGTTATGCTGCTGGGCATAAGATGTATAACGGTACCCAGAAACGTGTTCGAGGGCGACGTGTTGGGCATTAGCGTACGATTCAGACTCAAGGCCTGGCAGGGGTAGAAAGGCATTCCGGCTCCCCGGCACCTGGCCATTAGAAAACCGAACAATTACACTTCTTACTCGGGATTTGCAGCCAACTGCCATCACCTCCCTAACAGAGCAGGATCGTCTCGGTGCTGACGTTACTTCGGCTCCAAATTACCGAATGGCCGATTGACACCCTGGACGAGACGGTTTGAACCACTGTTGGGTCCATCCTTCAATTCAGTTGAAATAAGGGGCATCGCCAATATCGTTCCTTCGGGTGGGCATTGACTAATCCGTAACCCGGACCGCATTCACTTAGAGTTCCGTATTTGGGGGCGATACGCTGGCCGCGGCAACGTTGGGAGTGATGCTGGATCGATCACGACGGTTCTGAGGAACCGTAGTGATAGACCCCTGGGCCCGCCCCATATGTGAGGTTTCCTTCCCGTCATGCATAACCGGAATATGTAACTCGGTTCCGCGTGTCACATAGGTCACGTGGAAGAAGGTGGACGTAAATTCGCCAGCGGTCATTAGCTGATTAGCAGCCGTTGGATCATGGGTTGCGCAGACCTGCGGATCTTCCGATGCTTCCAGATGCTTCAAGATCAGTCAACCCCGACCTGGGCCCTGGTAGGATTAGCGTTGCCCCGCCGAGTAGCTTTCGTTGCGAAATATGTTGAATTAATGCATCTTGCATAACGTGGATCGTGTCGCAGTGTTGCCTTGCCATCCTGCGAATGAAGAAGCGTGTACTCCGTTTGCGTAGAGACCAGGTCAAATGCGCCGCAAGTCTGCTGTAACCGCAATCCGACAACCATGTCTTAGGGCGAGTATGTGTTTGGGTAGCAATATTGTCTTTCGGGCTTCCGCACAGAGAAATAATCTGGAACATTGAGCAAACCCATAGACTGGGGCCGCCGCTGGGCGGGCAGGTGGGCTGAAGCTCTAATAAAAGAAGAACATGGACTTCATAAACGCGCCAGTGGGGGATTTGGCCTGAACGGTGATGAGGGTACCTTGAACAAGACGATGGGCAGGCACTTGCTTGTGACCCAGCTAGAATGGGACATCCGGCAAGGGTTTCGGGAGGGATGGCCGAAAGGCAAGCTGCCTAACAACGGCCGTGGAATGTTGAACAGGGCAAGTCTCCAACATGCAGGATTTCCATGCTGGACGGCTTGAATAATAATGAGTTATTTAGGAACTTGGGAGGGACATTCATTTACACGGAATCGCGTTCTGCATGTCTGAGTTGGGTGAATAAGGTAGGTACAGCGCTTACAAACGCGACACAACTTAGCCCGATTGTTGAAGTACTCTTAGCCAGTTATCTGAAAGCCAAAGGAGGTACCTTCGAGCGAAGAGGAGGCCGTAATTTGACTTATGGCTATGATGGCGTATACTTTATCAGTATCATCACATTGAGGCAATCCAATATGTGCCCGCAGGCCTCGATTAACCAACCATTGGGGGAACAGCTACGAGCTTTCCTTTTGTCAAAGCCACCATCTCTCAACGGCAAACACCATTGGGTGGGAGTTGAGGAGCCATCTTACAGGAGGGTGTTCTATTCGCTGTTGGGACGGCCAATTGGCGATATAGTCCAGCCATCAGTGACCGTTTTGGATGGAGCTGGTGACCCAGGCCGGGACACCCTCATAGCGAGGCAATCACCTAAGTGAAATTGCTGTGCTGAGCCCAGCTGTTCAAGGAGGAATTTCGGTCTTCGATTCTGGATGTCAAGCCGGGATAGATTGATCGAGAATCAATAGTCCTGCCATTTGGGTGTTGCAAGCAATGGTTGCAAATGCAAAGCGTAATGAGAGTGGTCCGTCAACCAGCGAGTCGGGGTGGCTCCGGAGACATTGCTGCGGCGGCGCACCGGTCGGTGGGTAAGATTAAGCTCCATCTCCATCTCGCATCTCGTGAGCGAACAGGGATGCTGGACGGGGATGCGGAGCATGGGACGCAAGGGTACGGCGGATTGTGAAAAGGCGAGTGCCGCGACGTGGCGCGTGGGCGACTTGTGCGATGGCGAATCCCAGTTTTCCCTCCCGCAATTCGGCGCACAGCTCAAGCTGCGGGAAGCTCAGGCCAGGCTTTAACACGTATGGATCGTGATTTAGATGCGGTTGGTTTACAGAAAATGATATCTGCAGTCAGCCAGATGGCTGAGGCAGGCTTGCGGCTACCAGTACTGGAAGCAAGCGGAGAGGTGAAAAATTGCAGCGCTAGCTGCCTTGACCCCGGTCACTACATGGTCGAGTTACTAGCAGCAGTGGCACCGTATACTCACTCCCTTCCAGTCGCCATGGCACCAGCCAGGGGGTTAGAATAGGGGTTCATGACCCCTACATGGTAAAACATTACCAAAGGAATCGAGAGCGATGGTATGGAACTTTCGAAGTAGTGGAGCAGAGCAAGCGTCTCCGGGCTTGTATCCGTTCGTCGATCTCGTTCTGGCTCGGGTGTTTCCTGAGGCCGTCAGGATGGTCAAATCACCGAGCGGCCACTTCTGCCTTGGTGTTGACGACCGCTAGGGGCATCTTGGGGAACGGCCAATGCTAGGCGTGTAGATCTGGGTCCAGCGTGACGGCCCGAAGACGTCAGGGCTTCTGGGACGAGGAGAACCCAGACTGAGAGGTTGTGGGTGGCGGCGACACCCATGAAATGTCGCTGCCTTCTTTGCTTGTTCATAATTGCTTTTGAGTGTGACATTGACAGCGACCACGTCCCCAGCAGCCCAGGCGCTTGGTTTAGCCTGTAGTATCACCAAACAGTGAGGCGAGGGAACACATAAGAGGGATCTCGGCGATCAGTATCAACCCAAAGGAACCTGCTGCGTGACCATCGTCCTGCGCCTTCGATTCTTTGAGGAGAAATTTCAGAGGCCACGTAGGAGTGGCATCCAACAGAGTAACGTGGTTTGCAGGAGAACACAAAAATAAGTTAGTGGGATCCGCCGGCTTCGTCCGTCCGACGTCAAAGGCCCCCGTTCCCATCAGATGTCATGTCAGGGGTTTTGTAGAGCAGAAGACGATGGAATTGTTCGTATGGGATTCTAGGGGATAGACGTGGTGCAAGGTGAACAAGGGCTGTAGAAATCCCAAGACGGAAAAGGAACAGGAACGGGGACAAAGACCCCTGGACCAGCGTGCCACGCGTATTTGATTCCGCAACCAAGGTGCTGGATCGCCAATGGCGATGGCGGATGATACGGTACTGCGTCGATGGGCAGTGCCAGGGCAGGCAGGGCATCACATCAAGACTCTGTCTGACGGACGTGCCGGCGTCTTCTCACTTTTGGTGAAACCGAACGGCGCGAGCGGTGCGGAGTCATATTGCTGCCGGCGTCCTTCCATTTTGCGCTTCTTTTATCACAAAAAAAGAAGCGACCCTTTGCCGAAAATGGACAGATACAGGGAGCAAAGGCGGGCTTGAATCCACAGAGGGCGCTTCAGTCCGCAAGGAGGTCACACTGAGTTTGCTTCTTGGAGAGGCCTGTCCATGTAACATCGTACGGATACTCGATGTACTCTAATGTATCCAGGGTTCTTGGGTAATGTCTCATCGGCTAGGCTCAGATGTGGTGTCTTCGTATGGCGCAGGAATGGATGCACATGCATGTTTGATGTGAATGTTGTGATTGCTTAGGTACTGCTGGGCGTGTGCAGGGGGAAAAAACCAACCAAGAGGGTTGGCGTGCCGCAAGACAGTTCGATATATGGAGTACGTGATGAGGCGTTGGGAGGCGTAAAATGCAGCCAAGAATCCGAGTATGTTCGCTGCAGCCAGCAGTGGCTGAAGTTGAGAAAACAATGCAGGTCAGCTACCGATGCCAGCAACTGCAATGTCAGAGACGGAGTGAGATATAATGAAGAAAGTGAAGCGAGTGGGTATCATAGTATCCATATAAAGTGATTGATCAGATGGAAAGGTTTAATTCTGGGTAAGGAGAGAAAAAGAAAAGAAAAAATACTGTAAGGGAGGGAGAGAAAAAAAAAAAAAGGAGAGAATATTATCAAGGCGACACAATGAGCAATGCAGCGACCGCCAGACAGTCTACTAAGGCAAGGAAGGAAGGCAGCATGGAATGGATGTCTCGCACCTGCTGCTACTGCTGCTGCTGCTGCTGCTGCTGCGCTGCCGCGCTGCCATTACTGTTGCTATTGCTGTTGCTGCCGACCCTGGTGGATCGGGATTGGTGCGTTGAGAGTACCGACGCAATGTGGAGAGGCTCGGCATTTATCGATCTACGATTGGTCAGTTTACAAATATCTGGGGCCTTGGTACCTCCATTTCTGCACAACACAACTTTGGCCATGCAGGCACAGTCACGACAAACTTGCTTGGGCGGCGTTTCATTGGCTGTTGGTTAGAAAATACAGTGTTTTGCTGACTGTGTCGGAAACATTGGAACACAGCATGCAATCAAAGTCAGTTTCGCTGGCGCGCTCAAACCGCAAAGCTGTTTCCGACTGGGAAACTCTGCGACCCTGACGCTGGTTGGAAACCATGATGAAAAATGAATGGGTACGGTGTTCCTGCTTGATACTCGTTTCTTCTCAAACCTAACAACAGACTTGATGGTTTCCAGGGGATCATGATGACCACCCCCTCCATTACAGTGTGTGTGTGTGTAGTAGTGTACTAGTATTTATGTTCATCTGAAGGCATTAGATAAAATGCGCTAGCGGTGTCACGGCGGCGGCATTGTGTTCTCGAAGAAACTACTGTTCGTGGTGTTCTTAGGGGACCTAGCGCATGGGTGGAGGCAAGGTGCTACTGTTTTGTGCTATGCTGTGCTGTGCACCATGTTGGGGGAGGGGTGAACCATGGTGCTAGAAACACAACCTGAGGGGAGTGAATGCAGGTTTCTGACCAACAGTCTAGCGATTGCCCGTTGGATAGCGATCGCACTGTACTGAGCTAGTCATGGATGCACAGCACTAATGCCAGCCCAAAGATGTTGTGTGGATTATTTTGTGCGTGTTTCCCAGCAACGGAGCGATACTGTGACGGGAGATGCCCCCGCCGTCGACATGATCGGTGAAAGTGCAGCAGTGATAATGACAGGCAGGAACAGACAGGGCGTACTCTTTCTTTTCTTATTTGCCTGGCGTTTCTTAGCTTGGTGCCAGTGCACAGGAAACAGCCAGTGACAACCGGCGCCGTCCAGCTGACACTGTGTTAGCGCGATGTCTGTCCTCGGCCTGGCAGCCGTAGTCCCCGTGCCACCTTCCCGTCCCTCCCTCCGCCGTGGCCAGTTGTTGTCCATGGTGTAAAGGTGCAAGTGCAATACAAGTGCAGTGCAAGCACATCCCACATCCCACTTTCCCCGCTAAACATGAACGTTGACGTTTTCATCGACGGGAAGGAACTTAATACAGGATCGTCGTTGCCTCAGCAAAGGAGAGGGAGGCACAGGCAATGACATAGGCACTGATGAGGTAAGAGAGAAAACAGCAGAAGGTCCCTTATTTCACCTGATTACATTGAAAAGTGCTTTCCCGTTTTAGAGGGACTAAACCGACGAATAGGAGGGAGTTGGAGGCCCCCTCATCTGTATTCGTGCCTTCCTCCACTGAGTTTGAGGGCAACTGTATATGAGGACAAGAGGGACATGAGAGACATGAGGTAATGTCAACCCGGCCCTAAAGGCAAGGGCCGCCCCTCACCTGTTGTTTGCCCTTCCAGTCCAACAGTTTGGTGATATCCACTTTTAATCTGGCTGCCAGCATAAGGCGATACCTAAAATGCCGCCCACTCGTGTCGACTTTGATGATGGATGATTTCGTGTCATGTCACCACCGTTTATTTAACTTGCCCCTTTTCTCCTTCGTCTTTTCCCCTATAGGAGGGACCACTCCTAGGTTCATTGCTATTTGTTTCCCCCTTGTGAAGGGTGAAGCTCAAATATCCGTCGAGGATCCCCGTCCCGCTGTGGGCTTGCTCCAGCGGCGGTGTCCGTGATCCATCACTCCATCGTCGTATCCTACCACAATTTTGCGACCTAGCGGGCAGGTGGTTGCGTTGACCGAGAACAAAAAGAAGAGGTCAAGGGAAGGGAAGAAAAAAAAAAAAAAAAGAGGAACAAGAAAAAATCTGGAGAGGTGGACCCAATTTTATATATAGGGATTACCTACTTTACGGGTACACTTCTGGAGACGTTCCCTGCACTGGCCTGGGCCTTTTTACATGGGATCCGACATGGGCGTCGACATGGGCCTGGCATGGCATTTTGCCTAGTTGCGGTAGCTTTCTCACGGGGGCCCGTCCGCATCATTACTCTGCCTTGCAGCACCGGTGATGAGGAGGTCCATGGGTACAGACCGTTCTTTTACACTTTGATTACCGGCCACATAGCAAAACTCGCACGCGACAAGACGACGCGAGGCGAGGCGAGACGAGACGAGACCAGACGGCCCTGGCCTAATTGCCCCCTCATCCACATCATGTCGTTCCCAGCCAAGGTATCCGCACAGCGAAAAGGGTAAGGTAGGTACTCTTACAGTCTGCCTTATCTCACCGCACACGGGTATTCCCTGGGGTTTTGATATTGGGGTCGATACTTCGGTACCCTCCAGGGGTGCTAGCCTTTACAGCAGCACGGGGCGACAGCAACCGACAGCGGCCAGTTGAGAATCTAAAGCAGTCAGGTATTGTCATAGCCAGAGACGAGAGTCAATGCCAAGGTCAACTCACGGCCGTTGTCTCGCATCAAAGAAGGCTCTCTCGACACAAGGTCGGGGCCGATAAACGCAACAGGAGACTCTGGACGCGCAGATACGACGTACTGGCTGGCGCAAAACCATGCATTCCCGCCGTTGGGTGCAGCAGGGTTGCGAGCGGCCAACCTAGTTGGGAAGACAACTTCATCACACTCGGTGCTCCTTCATCTTGGAAGATGTTTGTTCGTCGCTATCCACGTATAAGAACTCAACAGAGACGGTAACGGATCCAGTACAGCACAGTTATACACGTCGCGTATACATGACGATGGCGACCATAATTGCATCTTCAGGTCAACGGCGCCCCATATTCACTAAGGCTACCACAAGTCCGCTCCCAACCCGGCTCCGGAGCCAGGCCGCAAAGCTAAGGCTAAAAGGCTAAGCCAGAGCCAAATCTGGCCAGTCAACAAGTCCATAGCAACAATAACAACAACAGAGACCCTGACTGAGGTGGACTGTGCAATCCCACTGGTCGTCGACTCCTGGTCTCCTGGACCCCCAATTCCTAATATTTTCCAATATTCTTTTACCAACTGGAGGCCGGACCCCTTGCGGTAGGTATTCGCCAGACCAGAAGAACCCTGCCAAGTTCATCAGGCCAGTCGTTCGTTTGTCTGCAGCCCGTTCACCAACGCCCAGACCGGAAGTAATAATATCATGATACCTGTTGCTACTGTGCCTCAAAACGACGCATTTTGCGTATAGGCATCCGTGCCTCATCCAGGGTGCCTTACAATGCACAGACCTGGGACGGTGCGAGGTCTGGCGGGAGTGACACACACAAGTTCCCGCTGCCAGTGCTGTCGTGGCTGCTGTCTCTTGTGGCCGTGTGTATGTGTGTATGTGTCATCCAGATGTACGCTGTTGTTGCTGCTGTTCTGCAGCGTACCCTACAATGAATGAATGCCATGCAGTACATCTTGGGAGTTTCTGCCTCAGGAGGATGCATACCTCGCTCCAATACTTCGTTTATTGATGGGTCCTGACAAAAGAGCTACGGGGCAGTCATTACTGGCCCTGGACGGCCCGCCTTCACTGTACTTACCGCTATAATCTAGCACCTGGCTACAGCATCCATCCCCTGTGGCTCTCCCTCTTTCCCTCCCCCCTATTGAAGAAGTAGTAGTAGTTCCTTCCTAGCTCCTTCAGTGTCGGTCAACCTCCCCCCTCACCCTCGTCGTTGTCCCCCGTCCGTCTCCTTCCCCGTCCCCGTCCTGGCCCTGGTCCTGGTCGCTCTTTACACTAGCCCTGTCACTGAAGTGAGTGAGAGTGTCCTTTCTTTCCTTCCATTTCCCTTCGCTGGCCACCCCCCCCTAGTCTCCGGTGCTTCCCTCCCAGAAAGAAGTCCACCGTCTTTCTCATCCTGCCCTGTCTTACCGTCTGCATCCCGCCCCTTCCTCGCCTTCTGCCGTCGCCACACCCTCCTCCCTCGTCCCCGTTGGCTGATCCATCTCCAAGGTGGGGCCCTTCATCAGCTGCGTCCACTGTCCACTTCTTCTATCGTCGTGGACAGGAAGGGAAAAAAAAAAGAAAAAAAAAGAAGCTCCCCTTTTTAGCCTCCTCACTTCAGCTTCTTTTTTTGCTGCAACATTTTTTTCCCTCCTCTATTGCCCTTTCCCTTCCTTCTTCAACCTCGTCCTCCCCGTCCTCTTGCCCTCCTCTTATTGAGCATTTTCAGCCTCAACAACGGGTGTCCCTCCCGCCTGTAATCACCCATTATCTTCCCCCCCTCCACCCCTCCCCCCCAAAAATTATACCACTACCACCCTTTCACCTTTTTCAGGTGCATCCAAATCGCGTGTGTCTGCGACTGCGACTGCAACTGCATCTGTCCTCTGCTGGCACTGGCACTGGCACTGCAACTGGCAAAAGAAGAAAAGAAAAAAATACCACTACTGCGTCTTCGGCGGAGAAACGAGCGAGCGAAAACGCACCAGCCCATCTGCGCCCATCCCGCAGCCCGCCACATACCACACTTCCAAATCCCTCCACGCCCTCGCCCACGCCCCTACATAACATCCACCACGGCACCTTTTCCTATCCCCGTTCTGCCCTGTCACAGCGTGCGACTTCCGGCTGCTTGCATCTCTCCCATTTTTTGACCCAACTTGGGGGGCCCTGCACCACCTTCCAAGCCGACGAAGCGATTCGAACGAAACGAACGGCCGCCCTGAAGAATTTTGTTGCGACTCTTTTTGTTGCATGCCTTGCGTCTTTGGTGACTTTTTCATCCTCGTCGCCGCAATAGCAGAAGAAGAGGGATAAAAATTTCCCCAGGCATTTGTCCACCTCGACACTATCTCGCTTGAGGGCTTTGCATCTACCGCTGCCCCTTGCCATCCTGCGCCCTTCCTCCACATCCGCGCAATTTTCTCCCTTTCCACTTTCCAAGGTACGAGCCGGTTACTGGATCGCACCCCCAGTAACTGCCACCACGTGGATCAGAGCTCGATTACGAAAACAATGAGCCAGCAACAACACGACATGTATCTCGACTATTCAACCCCCGCCAATCGCTCTCCGAGCTCTTCGAGAGCCTACGCGGGCGGCTTCCAGTCGGGTCTCTCCTTACCCCGCCAGGCCCAGCGACCTTTTGACAACGGTTTGGGCTCTTCTGCTCTATTCCCCTCCGACCGTCTTGGTTACAACCCGAGAGCGATGGATCAAATGTCTGCCAATGGAATGCCGGGAGGTTATATGCTGGACAACAGCCAGGCTTGGAACTACAATGCTGGCGGTGTCGCCACTGTCAACGGTGCCATCAACGGTGCCAATAGACAGAGGAGTGTCAACCGCCGAGCAGCCCTTCCTACGGTAAGTTTTTTTTTTCCCCTTGTGTAGTTCTCTTACTGCCACTTCATGCCTGGCCATCGAACGTTTGTTTTCTGACAGAATTTTAGAACTGGACCGATCAGAGTCTTGGTGGTATGCATGGCTCCTACGGCTCCAGCCTCAACAGCGGCATGTCGAACGGTTTGCGGTACGATGGTCAGGGCGATATGCGACCCAGCTCGCAGACTGAGGAGCAGCTCATTCCTACCGCAATCGTCATCAAGAACATTCCCTTCGCTGTTCGCAAGGAAACGCTTGCCGCCGTTATGATGGACATGCACCTTCCTCAGCCCTACGCCTTCAACTACCACTTCGACAATGGCGTGTTCCGCGGTTTGGCCTTTGCCAACTTTCAGTCACCCGAAGATACCAAGATTGTTATTGATGCCATGAACGGCATGGAGGTTCACGGCCGAAAGCTGAGAGTCGAGTACAAGAAGATGCTGCCAGAGGCCGAGCGTGAGCGCATCGAGCGCGAGAAGAGGGAGAGACGTGGTCAACTTGAGGAGCAGCACCGCGCCCCTATGCTGCACCAGCAACCTTCTCTCCAGACCCTGAACAGCATTTCCAGCAACTCAAACCGCAGCGCCCTTGGTATGTGATGAGATACTTATCGCGGGAGATCCCCATGACTGACATGTCTAGGAGACGTGAACCTGAACGACCCCGAGACACTGGAGTTCTATACCGAGCTTACCTTGTTCAAGCGTGACACCTCCAGAGAAATTCTCATCTTCCCTGCCACCGTTGCGCCTGAGCAGCGTCGCCAGATCCATATCCTGGCTCACCACATGGGACTCGAGCATAACTCCGTTGGAGAAGCCGACTCACGACAAATTCATGTCGTCAAGCGCCAGCTGCCGTCGCCCACTACTCAGAACCACTTGCCGGCCGTTGGTCTGGACTACCACAAGAAGGGTCTTAGCAGGGCCGCTACGTTTGACTTCGCGGCGGACCGTGAGGCTCGCAGCGCCAGTACCAACTACTCTCACGCCATTGGCCGCCAGGGTCCGACTCTCGAGCTTCCTGGAAGCCCTGACGGCAACGGTCTGGCCAACCTCCGGGCTGCCAAAAGTTTCGCCGACCTGCGATCCTTCAGCCCCAGTCCGTCTGCTTCCTCTTCGAGCTATTTGACGGCGATGAACGGCATTGGCAACATCCCCCAGTCGGGCAACTCGAACAACCGCTTCGGCGAGTACAACAATGGTGTGAACCAAGCCGGCGCCCTTGCCACTCCCAACTTGACGCCGACTTCGGGCACCGTTGGTACCCCAGGTACCGACAGCAGTCTGCTCAGTTCTCTTGGGGGATTGAACCTCGGCTCCTTTGAGTCCTCGGCCCACACCCAGGCGCGCAGCACACCTGGTGCTATTGGCAGCCAGCGTCCTGGCGCCAACGGAGCCAGCCGTAACGCTCCTGAGAGACAACCCAGAGGCCCCGAGTGGGAAGCCTCTGCTGGCTTCAGCGGACGCAACCGCTCCAACGGCCACATGCAGCGTGGTAGCGGTGAGTTCCCAAATCCGCGTTGTTGACACTGACCTGGAGGCTAAACAACTGGCAGACTCTTCCGACAACGCACCCCGTACTGGCAGTGCCTCTCGATTCCACTAGACAAGAAACCTAATTTCCTCGCCGAGAGTGCCACGACAACCATTACCATGAGGACACGATTCATGACTCGCGACGCATAGAGATTACAAACGACATTCGACGAGTTCACCAAGCAAACCCCCACCCCCTTAGCTCGGTAATCGGCAACTACTGTGTTTTTCTTGCCATTGCTTTTCATTATGGACACTCTCCCACCATACTGCTTATAATGATGATTTGTTGGACACGAGCCTTTGGCAGCGTCATGATGTTTCGCTCGGCCGTCTCGGATTTGGTGGATAGAAGATTCCAGTGGCCGCGGCGGCATCCTTAATTGGATTCACGTCACCCGCCCGGCATGGAAACCTCGGCTCGTCGCTGTTTCACGACCAGAGAAGGATGAACGGAAAAGAAACCTGGATACAAGAAAAAAAAAAACTTTGATATGGGCAACCATTTCGACATGGCAAGGCGCCCATGGCGGTCCCCAATACCCCCTCCTGTTTCCCCGCCATATCTCCTTTAATGGCGCGCGGAAGCATATGAACCACCTTTGACGATGAATACGCTGTTACGACCTTTTTATGTCTAGATAGCTGTACCAGCATGCTCGACAAAAACCGATTTTTTTGGATGACGAGACCATGCTTCGGCAACCATGACTATACCCACCTAATATCGCGGTCCGGCATCATTTTCACCATTGACGACCGAGGATGGATGTTGCTCCCCCACCGGGGCTCATGCCACGGCCAAGTTCGGTTGAGCCTTGACCGTTCCCAACTACAAACGCAGGAGCGGGTCATTGAAGAAGAAAAAAAAAAGTTTGATGTGATCATTGGCGTTTGTTTTGCACTAGCATTTCGCTTCGTTCCGGGTCCCATACACTCTTTCCGGGGCTTCTCAGACTTGATTGTGCCCCCATGAGGCTTGCCGCATCGGGATGGCCCTCTGGGATTCCCCCAGGCAGAGTGATCGGCGTTGAGGCTGCATTGGGGCTGTTTGGTCATGTTTTATTTATTTTGGGTCTTTATAGGGACCTTGCGCTAGAGTTTGTCGTCTTCTTTTTTTTTTTTTTCTAGTATTTTTCGTCGGATATTTTTTTTTGCATGCATTTGCGAGCATCGAAGTAGGATGGATGACAGAACGGGAATCTGCAGACGATCATAAGTCGACATTTTAGGAGACACATGAGAAGAGATGAGAGATGGCAAGATGCGAGGACGGCCAGACCTTTGTTTTTGAGTGTAGTGAGTGTGCCTCTGCGCACAGCGATAATACGATGACCAGAGGATGATGATGTATGGAGAGCCGCACACACTGGGCCGCCGTGCCGTTTTGCGCGTTGTTGAATATACTGCGTTTGATTTCAAAGCTTCGGGAGAGTGAATATTATCATGCACTTGGGCCGTTGTTATGGTGTTGTTCTTCAAACATGGTTATTTAGTATTGCCATGTTTTTGGGCGGCTTGTGCCGCCTACAAGAGTCCTTGCAGACAAGGATTTTTACATCTCCAGAGTACAGTCTAAGCAGTGTTGTGTTCACTGTCGATTGCCTCTGGGCCGTGAACATGCGAGTCTGCTGTGCTGTGTCAGAAGGACGGAATAGAAAGGAACCTTTGTGTTCCTGTATATTGTGGTTTATGGTCAAGGGGGGTTGGTTAGATGTGGGTGGCAGGCCTCGCCGGCCCGTCACGTGGGCTGACGGCCGCCACCACTGGTCTTAGCCAGCCTCCACAGCCCTCTAGCCAGTTAGTTAGTTCTTCCAACCAACAACACCACTTTTCCCATTCTGAGCGTTCTGTGCTGGTTTCGCCTACAGGTTATGAGCCTAGCGTTATTCTTTCGGAATAACGTCGTTTTACCTATTATTCTACTTGTCTGTTAATTTTCTATTGATTTACGAATTTTTGCGATTTTATTCGCTTTATTTACCTTTCTATGCGATTTTCTTGCTTTCTTTCCTCTTCGCTGACGAATTTCACTTTCTGACGCGATATTGGCTGCCTAGCGCGCACGAATATCACGTAGCATGCGACCGACTATTATAACCTACTAGTTTTTACGAACACTACGGAATTCTACTATAATAATAGACTTTTTAGTTATAACTATATTATAACTATAACTTTTACTTCGATTTCCTCGTTTTTACGAGAATTTAACTATTTTAGCTTCGGTTTTTCAAACTAGCTTATTAGTTTCTTATATCTTCTATAAGTATTTATTCTTCCCTTCGATTTACTATATTTCTACGGTCGGATCTTATAATTCTACCTATTTCTCGTATTCTTACGTAAGATTCTCCTTCCTATATAATCTAACAGTACGCATAGGTAGCAGCGAAAGTGTTGGAACGGTAGGTAGGAATCTCGTAGATAGTACGATATCCTTATAACAGGGTATTAGAGTAAGGGAACTTGTACTTATGAAGTAGGGCTTTAATAGTAAAGAATGTATAGGCTTATATTGAAGCTGAGTTGGTTGAGGAACTAATAGCTAGCTAAGGGAGAGAATTAGGCTAGTTATATAGTAGTATAACGTCGCCTATAATAGCTAATATAGGAAGCTATAAGCTAGGTTTAGTATACGTAAGTATATACGTCAACTAGCTTATAAAGCAGCTTATAAATCAGACTAGAATCTTCTTTAACTAAATAGACTTTTAGATAAGGTTAAAGAGAGTATTCCATAGGGATCTGAATGTCATATGTTTAAACTAGCAAGCAGCCATTCTTAGCTAGTTACTTTTGTAAGTCCTACTAAGTCTTAGATAAGACTAAATAGGATAAATAAGTAAAATAGAAGTATAATATACTTATACTTCTAACACTATTATATTTACTAATAATGCTAACGGCTATAATAACGTTATAAACCTACTTAACAAGGCATAAACCTGCTATATCGACGTCTAATATAAATAGATTATATAGGAGGTTTATACTATGAAAAGTATTAAACTCCGACTTATCAAAGGCGTTGATATAGCTGCCGATAGACTTACGAAGCTACTAGTTACGGTTAAACATAAGGAATTCGTTCGTTTGTTGGGCATGGCGGAGGGATTGGATTGAGAGGGGGATTTTGAGACTGTGGGACTATTGATATTGAGACTTCGGGATTCGGAGGATTTCATAGCCTCCTATTGGCTAGGTTTAACCGGTAATTAACCGAGTTTTCTAATAGTTGAGAACTCCTCGGATTTGGAGGATTTGGGACTTTTCCTGTATTTCCTATTATTCTACTGCTTTTTCGCTGAGGAGTCTGAGAGGGGGTGTGGGTGGCAGGCCTCGCCGGCCCGTCACGTGGGCTGACGGCCGCCACCACTGGTCTTAGCCAGCCTCCACAGCCCTCTAGCCAGTTAGTTAGTTCTTCCAACCAACAACACCACTTTTCCCATTCTGAGCGTTCTGTGCTGGTTTCGCCCACATTAGATGGTATTCGCTGTTTCTTTGCGTGTTGGATTCATCTTGGTTCATTTATCCCAGATGTATTCTACAGAGGGATTAACCAACATGTGCATCTTTTATGGATTCCGGTTTTGGCTTGCCTTGATTCTCAACTTTTTTTCCCCCCTCTTTGGACAGTTGCCATTGCCAGTCAACTCAGACTCGGTCGCCAATGGCTAGCGATTGCTTGGTATCGACAGGCTATTTGGACAGAAGAGTCGAGAGAGAGAGCGACGACAGAAGCTCAATAATCTCATCGTCCGTGGTATATAATGCAGCAAGGTAGATGATAGGTATACCATGGTCTTGACGGTGCCAGGCGATCTTTTCCTTCTCGTCATCATCGCCATCGCCCTCTGAAACCGACGCTGCCACCCACGCCTGTTGCTACCGCGTTCTAATCTCATGCCACTGGTGTCGACATGCCATGTATTTTATGCTCATTCATGAAGCCGTTCCAGTCCCAGCCAGTGAACCGTACGGAATTCAGTTCGCCACCCAAGCGCTCTATACCTGTCGGTGAGCCAGTCCCGGCATCAGATCCGGGGTTGATGATAATAGAGACAGCCCATTGTAAGGAACAAGGACGGGTAGTTAAAGAGCGGAAAACAAAACAGAATAACTCGATCCCAGTACCCCCCAAAATGCAGAAAGCCACAGCAAAGCGGACAGACGAAAAAATTGTGGCTTCCACCGCCCGTCTCAGCCAACTCCGCTGCCACCGTCTCATGACGGGACGGGGGGAGATGGATGGATGCTACGAGGCGACTTTTCGCCTCGGCCGGTGGCGGATTTGCATGGAAAAGCAAGACAAGCGCGGTAAAACGAGTGGATTGGTCGGTGCTGCTGGTTTTGGGGGATATCTCGAGACCAGTTGAGCAAGGCATGTGTGATGTGTATGTAGTGTGTGTGTGTGTGTGTGTGTGTGTGTCTGACAATGGGCGAGTGAGACCGAGTGTCAAAACGTGGTCCCAGTGAGACTACGGTACAGTACGCCAGTGAAACGATATTCGCCAGCAAGACAGGACCAGAATCATCATGTTATTGAGTGCAAAGACAGCGGGTCGAAGTACATGGTCGTCACAATATCTGAAACTCGAATCAAAAAAAAGTGTACCCCATTACAATTTTTATTCGTCTACCTAAGCCCATCAGCCGGTGCCATATCCGCGTACCTTCTTAGGAACCGAAACAGGAACCCTGAATTGTTGTACAATGTGTGAGTGCCAGACTCGGAGCGAATCTGCGCGGGCCCCGAGTGTGCAGGTGGGCCTTCGTTCCTCGAGAACGAGGCGCTGCCGGCTCCTCTGCGGCCTCCTTTAAGCAATCGTGTTAGCTCGTATACGTCGAGTGCAAAAACCCAGCACGAGACGCAGTATCGCGCGTGCCTCTTCTTGCGAGACGTGTTTTCTTTTATGAGCAGACTTTTTCTCCAACCTCTGGCGCACCTGCCTTGTCGTTCCTGACCAGGATAAGGAAAGCAAGAAAAAAGCATCCCTTCAGACCGAACCTCACACCCACAAACTACCGTCCTGGAAAAGCAAAGACAACCGGGAATATCAACAGTTTGCAAGAAACTTTAACAATGTCGGCGGAGGCTAGGAGCGTTACGCCTCGAGGGCCTTGGCCTTCTTCTTCTGCTCGACCTTGAGGAGAAGCGCGCGGTTGATGTGTGGCAGAACACCACCAAAGGCGATGGTGGCGCGGATCAAGGTGTCGAGCTCCTCGTCACCACGGATGGCGAGCTGGAGGTGGCGGGGTGTGATACGCTTGACCTTGAGGTCCTTGGCGGCGTTCTGTGAGACGTGTTAGCTGGGGTTTTAGGCAGACACCGCGATGAGTCAACGCGGGAGCGCGGACAAGATCTACTTACGCCTGCAAGCTCAAGGACTTCGGCAGTCAGGTACTCGAGCACAGCCGTCACGTAGACGGCTGCCTTGGCACCGACGCGCATCTTGTTCTGGGTGTTGGCCTTGAGGAAACGCTTAACACGACCGCAGGGGAACTGGAAAATACTGTTAGCGGGCTGCGACTGCAGATTGAAGAGATTTGTGGATAGATGCGTCATCCATCTTTGCGCCGTCGATCCCGGGGCCCGACTGTATTGTGCACGCGACCTAAAGCCTGTCCCATCATATCCATCGTGCCATGCCGCGTGTATCAACGAGGGAAACGATCGCGCAAGACGGATACCGAAGATTGTGACCGTAACGCGATGGAATCCGATAGTTGAAGAAAGATTGTGTCGAGCAAGGCAGTGGAACGCGTCGAAATGGGACAGTCGGTCGGTGATCGATATCGGGGCCCGAGGGTCGACGTGCAAAGCCGGCGCATCCATCAAGACGGCGCAAACTTACCTGAAGACCAGCGCGAGCGGAGTGGCTCTGCTGCTTCTTGGGGACCTCGGCGGTAGCCTTGCCTCCGGACGTCTTTCCGCCAGACTTTCCCTTGCCGCCGGCCATTGTTTATTATCGATGCGAAACGCGCGAAAAGATTCGATAAAGTCGGGGGCTGAAATAAAAATCGATGATCCTGTCGGAGTGGGGATGCGCGAATGGAAAATCAAGTTTAAAAAAAGAAGTCTAATCGAAGAAGCTGGTTTCGGGGGTTGGGTGTGAAGTTGGAGGGGTTGTCGAGGGAAGCTTTGGTGGAGGTGGATGGGGATGGCAGAAATTTAGCAAGAAGGCTGACGGCGATTGTTGTTGTTCGTCGGTGACGGCAAGACGGGGAGGACAGGGGGCGAATGGGAGTGAGGGAGCGTTCAGTGCGAGCAAGAAAATCGCAGGGCAGATTCGAGTCGGTGTGGTTGGGTGCTCCGTGTGAGAAGGGGGGGGGGGGGGGGGGGGGGGGGGTCCTCGCTGATGGTCGTGGTGCTGATGCTGCTGGTGCTGGTGCTGGTGCGCTGTGGTATGCGGTAAGGTGCTCTGCTTGAGGTGGTGCCTTGGTGCCTAGGTGCTCTTTGCGGTTCTGAGAAGGTCCACGGCCCAGAGCTTTTTTTTTTTTCCTGCCAGATTGTCCAAGAGTGTCTCTCCTCTGGGGGAGGAGGCAGAGTTTGCTGAGCTTTCGACTTGGGGCTTCTTGATTGGTCGGCCGAAGCTAAGCTGTGGATTGGCTGTGGATGGTCATGTTATGGCGCTAGCGATGAGTGCCCAGATTTCCATGACTGATTGTTATTGCCGGAATGCTGTGTCAGCCGAAGTAAACCCGGCTTGGGGAGACAGAGCAGGCTGATGATGAGTGACTGTGTGTGTGCTGAGTGAGCCAGGCAGAAGAGAGAGCCTGCCGCATAGTGTTCCAGACATGGCCTTGCCACGAATAATTCACCCTAGTCGATAGAGACACATGGTGACTGTAGATAAGCGTTTGTTCAACTCGAACAAACCAAAGGGAAACCCAAGAGGTACCCCGTTGCGGCAAAGAAAGACTTACCTTTTGGCTTACCTTGAAGGTGAGGCTCTGCGACGGATGCCAGCAGGAGCCTCGGCCAAGCCCGCTGCATTGCGAAGCGATGGCCAAAAGAGACCCAGGAGGTGATGATAAATATACTCCATGTCAGTCTGAGACCACATGCAGCCCGACTAGGGCCATGGAGGTGAATGTTGTCATCTCGACCATGATGTTGCTGAGGATGGCCTTTGATGTCGACGCAAAACGCAGACCAAGAGCCGTCCCGCACGAGGCTGAGTATTGTGGCGCGCCAGTCACATGATGTGGCTTGTCCCTAATTAACCGTACATTCCCCAGTTTAACCGTTTGATTATATCAGCAGTGTCATTTGCGGCCCGTTCGGATGGCCCCATATAATCACCAACAGCAACCCCACCAGGGGGGGACCCAGAGATCTGAACTCGGCACTCACGGGTTACTTTGGATCTGTACACTTACTATTCTACTACTATGTGCACTACCCTAACTAGATTGGCATCGGAAGGCCGGCAGCTGGAGCCAAGTGGCACTGCCTCTCTTCCCCCGCCCCGTCTCCCCCGTCCGTCTCCCCCTCTTCCCGGCTTGACTTTGCATGTGCATTGTCACGCGCTGGTTGACAGAGTCCGAAACTCTGCCCAACTCAAAATTGAGTCAGCTGATGCCGTGGATCTGTCCGCAGCAATGACCAGTAAATGGAACCCTCATTGCGGATCACCATGACCCATTGCGATGGTTGGCTAGTCGACTTTCTACCTTGGCCTTACGACATACACGCTGACATGTGGTTCTGTCTGCGGTCACTTTGTGGTCATTCTGTTGAAAGCATTCGCGTTACATCGCGCGTTACGTTTATGTCGTCCTTGGAAACAACAGAAACACAGCTCGCGGCTGTTCGGGGGGTGAAGGTGGGATCCTCTTTGCCCAGACCTACTCGTGTGATGCGCCCGTCGCCGCATCGGCTCACGAAGCTTGACTGTTTATCGGCCTTTCGGTGGTGACGGACGGCGGGGGGGTGCGTGGTCGTGGCTTGTCTTGTGTTGCTCTACTACTACTACTACTACTACCGTAATAGACTGACCGCCGAACAACCCCCCCATGTCGTCATACCCTGACCACAAAAAACAATTTCGCACCACATGTCGACCAAATATGGCGATTTCTCGATCCGATACTAGACGCCGCGCGCTCCGTGTTATCGATTCTCTTCTATTAGAGTGTTACTTTCCGTCATCTTCCATTTAAAAATAAGGGGGCAACAACAAGCTTCCATCTCGGCCGTTGGAACAGACGGGCAGCAGTAGCTAATAGTAGGAATGCGGGGAATGGGCTTCTCGCCCATTCGATAGCTGACAAGCTCGCTTGAAACGTTCCTCGACCATGGCCGGGATGGCTTGACCACATCCGAACCACCATTGCTAAGTTGCAGTTGACAATGGCCTGCACTGGCCTGCAATGACCTGTAAAGGCCCCGGTAACGGGGGGCGGTCCAGAGCTTTTTCGGAGCTACTGCTCTGCTACTCTTAGTACTATACGTATGACATGTGCGCCGACCAGCTGCCAGGCCACATGGGTGACGGGACCCAGGGAGACGCGGAACCCCTAGTATTCGAAACATGCAGCACACCAATCGCCCATGAACATGGAGCCAACGTTGCTAAAGATGGGCATGGAGATGCTTGGCCACGTTTTGACGCCGCCTGAGGCTGATCTGAGCACCCCCTCCATATTTGCTGGTGTGCCATGCCGGAAGGCCTCCTGGCTTGGCGTTGCCTCCCCTACTTACGACGTACGTGGACCTTTTTTTTTTTACCATCTCTCTTAATACAAGGACGTTCCTCTTCGGCTTCGGCTCCTCCTGAAGGAAAAGGAGGGGAGGATTGATGAATTCAACAGGTGGCGTGCCCAAGGGACAACAACCGTGATGGTAAAACAACCTTCTTCGCCTACTCTCCATCATCATCATCTTCATATAATTTTTTCTGTCATATTTTATCTTTTTCCCCCCTTCTTCTCACCGACCTGAGAAAAAACAAAAGTCAAGTTAAGCAAACTGGCGCCCCCCTTACGGCTCAACCCTGCCGCTTGTTGACGCCCGAACGCTTGACGGGAGGACCTCTCACGGACCGGACCCCACCTCGAATCCGAGTAGTCATCGACTTGGCCAGTACTTGAGATCTCCACATTGCATCATACGACCTTGGCGTACCCTCAAAGTCACCGCTGAACTTGTTACGCCGGGCGGTCCAAGACGCACTATAACCACTTAGAAGCCAGTCTGTCTCCAATCTTGGAGCGCCGCCTCTTAGCGGCCCCCAACCTCTTTCATCCCCCCTTACGATCGTTACTTGGCCATCGTCCATTCCAGCCCGTTCGTTGCATTTGCAGCTTCGCCCTAAAAAGGTGAGACCACTTTCGACAGAGTTGGGCGCTTTGCGGTCTGCACTTCTTCTTCTTCTTGCATCGAACCGAACGGAATCCCCCGCCCAAAAAAAAAAAAACATCGAGCCAGAAACCCTGCATCTGCTGGTCCCCTGGTAACCAGGTTTAGACCACAGGCATACGAGAGGGAAAGAAAAGAAGCAAAATAAAGCAAAAATTAGGGACCCTGTCATCAGTCCAAGCCGGCTACCACATCACCATTGATCATCGTCCATCCTCCCGTCCCCTCCGTCCTCCGTGTCCTCCGTCATTCTTCTACTATTACTATTACTCCTGCTCTCCTTATTTTTTTCCCACCCCCTCCCTCCCTTACGTCCTCTCTTGTTCCTGAACCAAAACAATGCGCTACTGGTTTACAGCCACCGAGGCTGCTATCGCGGACGTTGGCTAAGACCAATCAAAACAGGACCATACACACACATATACTCACATACATACACCCAATCCACTCACTCACTGCCTTGCACATCTCATCGCCTCACATACAAACGGACGGACGCTTCAACTTCAAACTCACACTCGCTTTGCTATCAACACTCTTGTCACCTCAACTTCAGCAACATCGCCTCATCTCTTGCCTAGGATTCCTGGCGCGGTCTGTTGACCCGTTTCACATCAGTCTCTCTGCAGCACGCCGGGTTCCAGCCAGTTTCAACCCTCCGTGACGAGGGGATCCCCGGTCGCCAAACCCGCCCGCTCCAGATCCGCCTCTGAAACGGACCACGGCAGCAAACTCCCCGTAAATCACCATCGAGAGCGCGACAGAGAGAGAGAGAAAGAGTCTTCGTCCCGTGCTGGGCACACACTATGGATGCCCTCGAGGTAGTCCGCTCTTTTGGCAGAGGTATCAACCGTGCTGCCCGCGGCGTACAGAATAAGGTGCGCCGTGACGGTCAATCATCATCATCAACAACTGGTGCCCTCCCCACCTCTTCGGCCCCATCTTTATCCACCTCATCCACCAGCGCCGAGGAACCACATGCATCATTCACCGGCCAAGAACCCGATCTCGAGGCTCAGATTCCCGTTCAGACGGCGTCTCATAACCAATACGCCGCTGTCCCTCTCACCTCGCCGCCGCCTTTTGCTGTGACTTCACCGCTTCCACCGACACCACCGCCAGCTCATACCGCTCAACCCCAGCATCTGCTCCCAACTCTAACCCTGGGTCCTTCGGCCCAACACCCCACTCACGATGCATCTCATCACTCAATGCCCCCTCAGTCAGCCGGCTCTACCCTATCGGCTGTTTCTGATACCCAGACCTTGAACAACAACAGCACCACTCATATCCATACGCTCACCGTACCGGGAAATCAGTCGCTGCCCGTCTCGCCGCTGTCGCCCCCTCCGGCCATTGTCCACTCGCCAGCCTCTCCCTCATTCACCCCCTCGGCCATTTCCTTTGCGCCTCAACTCCACCCCAATTCCCCTGTGCCGCAACCTCTCAACCTCTCGGCAGCGGCCTCGCCAGCTCAGTATCTCCCCTCGCCCCTGGACTCGCCTCTACCCCTGGATCTCGAGCAGCAAATATCTGGCAAGGAAAAAGATGGAGCCTCCATCCGGCCCCAGAGCGCCCGGCCCCGCACGTCCCGCTCCCGGCGCGACTCGGTCATTGAGAAGGTCGCCTCCCTCGACCCTCGGACCTCGCGCCGGCGCTCAAAGATCCTCGGCCCCAAGACGGGAAACAGCCTGATGGACCTGCCGCCGGAGCTGCAGCTGCTCATCATCGACCACCTCGAGTTCGGCGAGCTCGAGAACCTGCGCCGCACCTGCCGGTTCTACCGCAACTTTCTCACCAAGCAGACCATCCGCGACCTCTTTGGCGAGCAGTTCCGCCTCGCCCTGCTCGCCCACTGCTACATATGCCTCAAGTACGACCCCACCCGCGGCAGTCTGCTCTGGGCCGACTACAACCACCCGCGGTACCCGCTCGCCAGCAAGTGCGTCGACTGTGCGTACCAGAAGAACGAGCTGTCCGTCGGCAAGAAGGTCGCCTTGGGAAACTACGCCAGCGTGTGGATCTGCCGCTGGTGCGGGTACCCAGTCACCAACGCCTCGGCGCCGAACCAGCCCGAGTTCCACAAGGGGTGTTACGAGCACTACAACAACGTGCTCCTGGTGTACTTCGTCCTCGGATGGATCCAGCTGTCGCTCGGCATCGTCGCCGGCGCGCTGTGCTGGAGGTATTTCAAGGACAAAGTGCTCGTTCTGGCGCCCTCCATCGTAAGTTCCCCCAAGTTTTTTTAGTTTTTTTTTTTTGCCTTGGGTATACGAGGTCTAACAAGCTAACTCGTGAGTAGGTCAACTTTATTCTACTATGGTGGTGTCTGGCTCTACTCATCGTCCGAGGGGAGCACAAGCGGACGTACCACATATCCGGCATCATCGAAGCCACGATACTCGGCCTGTGGTGTATGCCCCTGTACACCCTCGTCGGTCTCAACGAGGAAGGGTTCGCCGGGCTTGAGGACAGGCGCGTGACCGTTACCCTCGTCTTCGTCGTCCTCAACATGTTCTTCCGCCTGCTCAACCTCCTCGGCAACGTCATCCTCACCTTTGAGTGGCGGCACTACGCCCGGAACAAGCCCCGGTCCCCGCCCACCGCAAAGTTTCTCAACCTCGTCCTCGCCGGCCTCGTCTACTGGACCTACCCGCAGAGCATCGAGCAGGAGTACCCCCCTCAGTACCACTTCTTCAACACCGGCCGCCGGCGGATCAAGCGTATCCTCGCCGAGCGGAACCACCAACGACAACAGCAGCAAATGATGATTTATTAAACGAACGCATGAGTTTTTTTTTTTCTTCCACTTTGGCGTACATTTTGTTTTTTGTTCTTTTTTTTTTTTTTTTATCAAAGAGGAGGGAGCGGGGCAACGACGGCGTCGGTTTAGCAACGAGCGTAACGTAACGAGCGGGATGCGTGTGTGTGTGTGTGTGTGTGCATGGGACGACTTTTGAAGGGAAGCCATTGGGGATTTGATTGATTTTTTTTTCCTCCTTTTCTTATTTCTCTACGGCGCATGTTGGAGTGTAGGCATTTAACGGGGGGAGGAAGAGCGCATTTGATTCCCGGGGATCAGCTTGATTTATTTTCTTTTCCCCTTGTTAAAGATACCTACCCACAGCAGCAGCCCTTGTTGGATCTGACAGCACGACAACCGGCGCTGGTACATAATGACACGAGATGTAATGGCGCGACCCGCGTTGCACCCCTTAGTAGCAGCAGAAGCAGAAGCAGAAGCAGCTTTTGGAAGCAAAATGATTGAATGAACTCAACTGCATTTTCTGTCAACTATTCCGGGCCCCGTCTCATCGTACTCTGCCCGCGAAATACACATGTTCCTAAACGTGGAAAGCTCGCTGACCATCGAGCCGCCTATCCAAGCCGAGTACATCCTATCCCGCGGCGCGATCACATTGACTTTTGTTCCCTCCTGAACGTTTCGCCTTGCTTCCTTCTCCAGCCGTTCGCCGTATCCAGGTATCATGGTATTCCCGCCGGCCTCGAGGCGGTCCCCGTCAGCTGGTGAACAAACCCGGGAGAGGTGTATTTTCACTCACCAACAGAATATTCCCCCAAAGCATACCCCGCAACCCTTCGTTAGCCTTCATAACCGTCGAGACAACCCCGTACTGGAACTCGGGCACGTCGAACCCCGTGATGGAGTGGTCGAACAGCAACTCCCCAGCGAGCAACCCAAGCGGGCGTCCGGGGGAAAAAGTCCGACCGTCAGGCAACTCCCACTTCTTTTCCTCGTCAGAAGCGTTCAGCGTCCACTGGACGTACTCGTCCTGGAAATCCGCCGCCACGCGTGCGCGCTCGAACTTTTGCAGACGCGCGTAATCCCTGCCGGAGCCGTTTGAAGAGAACACGACGCCTTCTTCAACGCTGAGAGCGCGCACCAGCCAGTCTTCTACCGCCTGGCCGGCAACGTCGTAACACCACACGCAGTCGCGCAGCTGCTTGAAGTCGTGGACGGTGACGACGTAGGTTCCCGTGTAGCCTGAGTCAACTACGAGGGTGGTGGGGAGGTTGGCAGCATACGCGGAGAGGATGGCGGGGCTGGTGGTGTAGTATGCTGGAGCGTGGAGAGTTTCGAAGACGTAGGTTGCTTGGTGGAGACTTGATACTTGTTAGGAGACGGGGGCATTTCGTTATAGCTAAGAAGAATGTAGGGAGGGGGATCTGGGTGTACCGCTGGCTTTTGGGGGCCTCGACTGCGGGCTCGGTCATGATGATCGGGTGGGAAGACGGAGAGGCGCCTAGCTCGGAGAAGGCGTGCTTCCATATCTTTTCCATGGCTCCCCATGTCTGGATTATCCCGTACGGGTCGGAGGGGCGGTGGATGCGGTGGAGGGAAGGGTTCGGGGGGTCTGGGTCAACTGCGTGGCCAATGTTGTAGACGGACTGTTCATGTCAGTCCTCACGGTGCACGAGAAGAGAGATCAGAGTCTCGTGAGGATTTGTAATGCACGAGAGCAACGTACCTTCCATTCGTCTGTATCATCATTCAGCGGTGTTCTGGTGGGATACTGAATAACGGATGCTGGTTCATGTTAGAGGCGACATGGTAGACATATCCAGGAGGCGGTTACGGAATATTGTCGAGGGCTGTTGATCGCCCCCAAAACCAGCTTTTATAAACCCAGACCTAACTCGGTCAGTTATCGGTCAAGTTATGATACGTTGCAGTAAAATCTTGCCCATTGTCTATCACGATTGCCGGTGTGCTCATCCTGAGTATGTTGGTGCCTGGTGTAAGTCCATACGTCAGGTTGTGGGACTACTTTGAGCTTATATGTTGCAGGTTCAGCTTACGCTCCTGCAGCACTGCCGCATAATCGGGTCCTGCAGGTGCATGCTGCGGCTGGATCTCTGGGCACGTGTTATTAAAACAGCGTACAGCCCAAAAAAGGAAAATCGTGTATTCGTGCTTCCTGGAGTACCCGAGGGATGGCCAAGATCGACCGACGAACTTGCTTGTTTTGATTGTCACTTATAAGGATTTCAGTTTCTAGGTTTTGCTGATGGCTAGACAAGATTTAAATGAGTGGACCTGACCTGCTTTACTATGGCTATGGTTCGTTTAAGATGGGAAATCCGAAGACAGAATGCCCAACAGCTTAGAGAGCTGATATGTAGTCCCAGAATAGTAATATGGTTTCTGAAGATACGAGATCGGGTCTTTGTGGAAGTATTTCCTAATGAATTTTCGAACAGGTTCGAACTCATAATACCGTACAGGCGCGTCACTTGTGGTGGCAAATGACCAGTGGCCATCGGGTGACATCCGTAAAGATTTAACAGCTATCTTTATACAAGGAGTCTTGTATGTATGTACATGGACTGCTGTAAGTATTTAGAGATGTGGGCCGAGAAATCGAATGGAGCTTAGCCTCTATCAGTCAGGTTTATACGCCTCTTCGTCAAAACTCATCCGTTAGGGTGACCTTGTTGGACATAGCCTACCGTCGCTCAAGCAGCCAGGAGAGCGTTGGAAGCGCTGATAGACACACGGTGAAGCCATGTCGGTTTCGATAGGTAGTTGCAAGACCGAGTAGGGTGCTAAGGCAGTTGAGGTAAGCTCAAGCTGCAGCTCGAAGAGCTCCCTGCCAGGTAGATATCGTATCAACTTACCATCAGGTCTTATCGCAAAATAATGCGCCTCTTTTGGTTTCTGATAAATGAATCGCCTCAGGCTACTTGTCGGACAGGGTCAAGAACAGAAATTATGAGGTGAAGAGACAGCGGCCAATTCGAAAGAGCTGCAAATGGAAAACTTTTAGATTGTATATTTAGAGAGGTTGCCTGTAACCCGCAATTACGCCAGCTGTCCGTTCAACGGAAGTTCATCAGGCGGTCCGATTCGAGCACTTTCAATACAATTTGTTAGAAAATTATCATGTCATCTTTTCAAATAACCCGAAGTTAACAACCTTGCAGCCCCTAACACTTCCCTCGAAAAACCGACCCAACTCGCAAATACTTTGAAACAACCATCGAAATCACAGCAGCCAGCATAAATCCTCCCGCAAATATCCAAGTCCCCTGAAACTCCCTCTGAACCTCCGCAGCCGAGTCTCCTCGAGGCTTCTGCGCGGCTCCCCCAATGGGATTTCCAATCAAGGCGCCGAAACTCGCAATCGTGTATCCCATACCCATCCTCGTCCCGTACTCGGACAAGTCGTCCGTCAAGTTCGCGATGGTGGCAGGCGGCAAGGACACCATCCCTCCGGAAACAAAGCCGTACACGATGGATATGGCAATCAAGCCCGGCAAGTTTTGCGCGAAGCGGAAGAGAAAGAGGACGACGGCGGACCCGAAGCAGCAGGGTATCATGATGCTCATTCCGCCGTGCTTGTCCGCGAGCCAGTTGGGCGCGAGGCGCCCAAAGAGGCTCGCGGCGTTCATGGCGCTGAGGATGTAAAAGGACGTGTCTTCGTCGACGCCTAGCCGGATGGCGTATGCGTCTATGTAGAAGAATGGAACGTACACGGACCCTATCATGAGGGCGAAGGCTATTATCTTGTCAGATCGGCCGTGAAGGTTTATGCGGAAGAAAGACGACTGACCAATGCAAAACGTAACGTAAGGCACGTCATGAAAATGCTTCAAGCGGAAGAGGGCACCACGACGCTTCAGGTTCGGCCTGAGTCTCATAACGGCAATGCAAACTAGCAAACTTGCCGTAACGATAAAGGCAAAGACTCTAACGGCCCAAGAAAACCCGATGGAGGCGATGAGGCGCCTCTCCATGATGGGATACACGATACCCGCTGTTCAAGTCAGCAAACCTTTACCATTGCCGTGTCTTTCATAACGGTAACCACGCACCTAGACTGCTTCCGGTGGCAGCAATACCTGTCGCGACCATCCTCCGCCTCCGAAAGTAAAGCGGGATCACCGCAACACAGGTAAGCCCCAGCAAACCGCTGCCGGTGCCGACACAGAACGCCTGCGCCAACAGGATCTGCCAGTACGTGGTGCACAGGCTGAGCATGAAGAGGCCGAGGGAGGTCATGGTGGTGCCGCAGATCAGGATGAAGCGTAGGTAGCCCGCATCCAGCAGCCAGCCGGCGCATACGCCGATGAGCATCATGAGGAAGATCTGAATGGAGCCGATCCAGGCGATGGTCGAGGGGTTGGTGTCTGGGAGCAGGGTGTTGGAGTAGTAGGCTTGAAAGACGCCGAAGGAGTTGCTGAGGCCCCTGGAAGTTGTTAGTATGGCGGTTCATACTAAAAAGATGTGTACTGGCGGAGCGATGAGAGAATGATCTCCGTGATCTGTCAACTTACCAAGTATTAGCGAACAGAATCCAGCTGCCGAGAACCTGAAGCCATGCAACAGCTCCAGAATCCATGACGAACTCCTTCTGAACCTCCAGCGTAGGTTCCTCATCACTCGCAGGTGACAGTCTTGCCTGGCCTTTCTCTCCATCAGAAGCCATGATGATGCGTGAAGCACCTTCAGAGCTGCTCTTTGGGCTCTCTGCGGCGACCATGTTTCCACAACACTGGTTCCAGTTTCCTTTTCTCCTCTAACCCTCCAAAACACACAAGGAATCACACGGATGAAGGCCAGCGGATCAAGAGGGCATCTTAAATACTGCGAAAATGCGGCATACGGGGCTCGCTAAGTATCCCGCATGAACAATTTGAGCCGAGCATTGCTCTTGGCTCTCCGTGCGGCTTACAGCGTTGTTATTGTACAAAAGTCCCCAAGACTGTGGACTTGGGCCAGCACGTTTTTCCCACAACCAACGATAAAACTCCGCGCCATGCAGCGGCCATGCCAATCCGTCAATGGGGCCGTCGCCTTTCCCGTGTCTTACATGGGGTTTTGGGTTCAGGGTGTAAGTGGGCAGGCACCAGGCGCTTTAAGGCGTGCTTCCAAGGTCCACTGTCTATCCCTACCGTTACATTTTCGGAGGGGGAATATTTTGGTATGATGTGTTGTCTCTCGCTGCAGTATTCGTATTCCCAGATGATTTGCATGAGATTTGTTTTTCTTTTGTTGTTTTTGAAGACTCATCCTAAATGCCTGTTTTTAACGACCGAGGTGAACGTTGGCAAAAGCTTCGCGCACAACTAATAATGATCTAGGTGCTTGGCTGATTCGACCGGGGGTAGACCATGCAGATCTCACCGGTGCATGCATCTAGACCCAGGTCGAACGTTGGCAGCAAGGGTCAAACCAAAGAAGCCGCGAGCGTAACTCCCCGAAGCCGAAATGTTCTTGGATACAAATAGCGGTTTTCAGGAGATTGGTGATCCAAAGCTGGCGTAGCATAATGTTTAAATTATCCACATAAAAGGGATGTAGATATTTTTAAGTATAGCAACACTTTGAATCGAAGGTCAAGGACGAAAGTAAACAAACTCTCCTGGGGCTTCAAATCCGCCGTCTGTTGGTCTACTTGTATTCGGCGCTGTCGGCTTCGGCTCCGGCTCCGGCTTAAGGGCAGGTTTTAAGGTTACATCGTAAGGAACCAGCCCAAAAACGATGTGCGAGCAAACCCAAATTAGCACTATTGTGAAGTGGATCTACTCAACAAACAGAACAACATAAAAAAGAAGAAAAAGAAATGCCCGTAAGATTGTTCTAATGTCAATCGCGGTGAGGATTTGAGCCTCACGCGGGGGTCGAACCCGCAACCTTGAGATTAAGAGTCTCACGCTCTACCGATTGAGCTAGCAAGGCGGGCTTGAATTGTTGAAGTCCGCCGACGAATTTTGCGCCTAAGCGCCCTCCACGCCGAGGAGGTCCGCCTGCTTTTCTCATCTTTCCATCGTTCAACCCAAAGTTGTTCTGTCTTATCCCTTCAACATCTTTCCAATGGCCTCGTTCAAACTTTCTTCCCCTCGCTGAACCCCAGATCCCTCAGCCACTTCCGCCGCCGCAATCCCGCCTGGCAAAAAACTCCTCGTCATCTCCACGAATAAACCAGACATGGGGGGCTGGAAGGCCTGAGCAAAGAATTCCTCCAGCTGATCATCCTCAACTAACTTGACTTCGACTGTCTTTCCTATGCTCTCTTCGAATGCCTTCTTAACATCATTCGTCGAGTAAGCATCGGGTCCGTGAAGCTCGAATATGTAAGGACTTTTGCGCAACGCAGACCCGGCCGCGAGGGCCTGCGCGGCACATGCTTTTCCGATATCACTTACAGCCACCTACACACAAGAAAATAAGCCAGTGAACACAGATGTACAGCGTGATTCTTACCATGGGTATTTTATAATCTGCAGGACATATTACGGAGTAGAAAAACGGCGACTCGGTCTTCACCGTCTCAAGCGCCGTCGCCCAGTTCTCCATGAAGTATGCGCACCGGATAAACACCACCTCGGGCGCTGCGCCAACAAGAGCTTGCTCGGCTTCGTAATTCGTTCTCAACTCGCCCTGTGGATTCACTCACTCATCAGCAGAAGCGACACGTCCGTAGTCCCGGCGTGCAAAGCCGAACCGCCTGGCGGTCCCCCCAGCTTACCGTGCCATGCTCAAACTGAGCCCCTATACTAGACACATAGACAAGCCGCTTGACTGAGTCGCCCGCTCTCCCAATAGCATATTTCACATTCGCCGCCATCTCCCGCGCTCTGGAGATTGGCCTCGACTCGGAAAACTGCGGGGGCGTGATGGTGACCACGACATCTGCGCCGGCAAAGCTGAGGCTTCCAACATCGGCGACGTCTCCCTTGACAGCTCTGAACCGGGGCTGCTCCTTGAAGTCGGATGGCGCCTTGGCCGGGTCCCGGTAAACGCCGGTTATTATAGGTTCGGACGCGGCGTCCAACAGCGCCCGGATCGTGGATTGCCCGGTTTTGGACGACGCTGGGACGACGACAATCTGCATCGCGGATACTTGGTTTGCAGAACAAAAAAAGTTGCAATGTCGTGAGAACAGTGCTGTGGCCTATCGTCGGCCCTGCAGTACAATGATGCCCATTATAGCCTTCTAGCCCTTATCGACGGCCAAGTAAAGAGATGGCCGGCTACCTTCAAGTGACATCATGCGAGAAGGCCTAGAAGTGGTCTGTTTATCGGCCCCGCATCACGTTCCGCTGATGCGTCAGTGGCTGGCATGTTTCACGCTTAAAGCTTCGCACCAAGGTTACCTTGTAAGTCTGGCTTTGCCCTGTTATGTCAGCTGAGTCTAGGCCTGGCGCCAAAGGCTTTGGGGAACGGCGAGAACGGGAAGATTTCCAGCCCGCATCTGCCTAGCGCGTTAGCATCCAGCGTCGTTCACAGATCTTGACCTATTGGGGGCGGAGAGTTTGCGGCAGAAGGTCCGAAGACTTCTTCTGGTTGGATGTAGAGAAGGCGGAAAGAAAGGTTATTTTCTGGCCTTCACAGTGCCTGATTTAGTTAGCTTTCCCCATGTAAGTGCAGCGCTGTGGGAAAAGCTTAGGTTAGGCTTCACTCATATGGCCTCCAATGAACGGGTCGCCCTTTTTGATAAGATGCTGACATGGTGGGCGGTTTTGACGCCCTCATATACGACAGAAACCGCTTCCTCAGTGGTTCTTCCTGTCATAGCTGTTGATATGAAACGGTAACTACGATTAGGCAGGTTCCGTAGACCCAATCGCTTTCTGGTGCCATTCCCTAGACATAGTTGATCTTCCTCGCGGGTTGAGGCAGGCTTGAGAAGCCCCTCTTCTCGGTGTAACTCTGTATAGCCAGCGGCGGCAACGTTCAAGGTGGCTCTGTTTCATCATCGACGGGAAGTTATGCTTGTTACTTATAAGAGTTATTCTTATGGTGTATGTGCGATGCATAGGTTGCACACGAAATGATTGCTTCCTAGTAACCTCGACCTGGAATACGCAATGGTACCGAACCGGCATGATAACAAGCACAAACTTGGAATAACCTCATCCTCAAACCTAATGGAACTCAAAAACTACCTTTGGAGGGCCCTCGTTCCGCTTCATTTTATCGGTAACCTTCCCCCACATCAGCTCCTCATCATTGACGTAGCAACTTCCCACCAAGAGATAGTGATCTGCTCTTGGTCGCACAATGAACGGCATACGCCCGCCGAAGAGTACCACGACTTCATCTCCGGGTTGCATCATCTTAGGCCCAAGTCCCACACGTCCATCCCGCGTCACGAAGGCGCGCCGGTGGTTAGCGTACGTTGTAACACCGGATAAGAAACTGGTGACCTTGTTGTCGAGCTCCGGGTTGTTGAATGTTGCTTGTGTATCCCCAGACTCTTTTATCAGGGCAAGAAAGGCGAGGAACGTAGCGGCAATATCCTCCACCCGCGAGGCTCCCTCGATTCCCACAAAAGGCTTGACTACGCTCACATCAAAAAGAGGATTAAGCCCGCCGTGCTGCTGCGTCAAGATGAAGCTAAGCCCTACTGATGCGCCCAGAAAGCCGGCCAAGACGGCCTTGCAGTACGCTACATCGAGGAGACCGCCGTTGCGGTATTGTATCCCTCGTCTGGGCATGATGAACGTGTCAAAAAGTGTCGCCCAGCCCTTGGCGACAGCAGCCATTACGGCCTCGCGCCCCGACAGAAACTCGAGCACCTCGGTTGTTTTGTGCACGACATCGAAGCGGTAACCGCCCGCAGATAGTACGCGCGGCCTTTCCGGCTCATCTCGAAGGGGGATATCATATAATTCCGCCACATACGGTTTACGCCCCTTCCAGAAGCCGGCCATGTAGGCCCCTTTGAAGACAAAGCAGGTCCTCCTGTCGAACCATTTGGGGACCCAGGATGGCCACTCTCCGGCACCTGGTTCCTCGACATGCGCGACATGATCGAGAACATCCAGAAACCGCGGCTGCTTACGCAAGAGGAATCTCGTCAAATCGCTGTACACCATCACCGTTTCCCTCTTGTAGTCCGGCTTGAGCGCCTTCGGTCTCCCAAAAGACTGGTCAGGCGTATATTCATTTACAAAATCAGTGATCCGAGTTAATCCTCGACGAAGCAGCCGGACACTCCAGCTGGCATTGTTGCCCGACAGCTGTGTAAATGCCAGTACGGGATTCAGTCCCTCATCACAGATTCCAAAGAGAGAGAAAACTTTGTCTCGGTCGTCGGTCGCTTGCAGTGTCCGCGTGAGGTCCAAAGTGTCGAGAAATTTGCCAATCGAACCTTCTACTTCAGGGTTGCTCGACACGTTGTTCGGCTGGCGGACCATCAAAACCTTGCTCCATAATTCCCACGGCTTGTCAAACGCAATCTCCCCTTTGCCCTGAATATACATGAGCATGGAAGCAATCAAGTCGAAGAAGGACACCTCCTCATCTTCAATCTTAGCGATGGCCCAAGTGGAGGCCACGACCTCTTGCACACACCAGCAGCGGGTAAAGTATGGTCGTTGGAACACCTCATCCAGGTGTGTTAGCCAGGTTTCTGGTAGATCTTCAACCATGCTGTTTACCACGGCTTGGATAGTATCAGGGTCAGAGGGGGCGTTAGTCAAGCCATTTGTCGGGAATGTGAATTCTCTGATTCTAGCTAACCTCTCCGCCGCTAGGAACGCTTCATGGGTTCCGACCGTCTTGAGGCCCAGCCAGACGATGACGCGAGTAGCGTGCTTATAGACCAGCCGCATGTACTGGACTTGACGAGCGCGTTCGTCCAGGTTTGACTGATCGATGCACAGCGCATCGATCCATAGACGGCGAGACAGATTTGGCAGTCTCAGTGAGCGTAAGGCATCTTCGAGGTTCGGCTTGATGAGTAAGGGATGACCCTCGAGCCATATATAGTCCCTAGACTCATCGGTGGGTTTCCCCCAGGTGTAGGACAAGGCTTCATAAGGAGGGGCCTGTTCGATATTGACGAGTTCCAAATGTGCCTCAAAGGGATCCTCAGCTGACCCAGGCCTTAGGAGAAGCAGCCGTGTGAAAGGCGGCGTACGTTCTTGCTCCGAGGGTGTTGGAAGAGGCTGGTAACGGTATGAGCCACCTTGATTCATTTTCGCACTGATTTCATGATTGAAACCGCTGTTGAATCGGTGCCGAGTCTCTCAAACGGTGTGATAGTGTTGCGCCTCTTTACCAAAGATGTACGAGAGGCAGACGCGACGACACCCTGTCACGTGCGGTCTCTTGATGCAGTCTACACCGAATGTCAGAGACGGGTATGGTTTGTCCGAGGCTGCAGGGGTCGCGACGAATTGCCAGTCATCCTACCACACCAAAAAGGAGTCATCCGCGCTAAGCTTGCAGGCAGCAAACGCTGCTGCAATTAGCGGTTCGGGAAGCTGCCAAGCAATCTTTGCAAAAGGGCAGGTTTATACCATCATGCTAGATGATTAGTCCAAGTCTACAAGCAACGACAACCGTGGGGTGTTGGATTCCATTCCCAACACGTAACCTCGGCCTGAACACGACCGCCTAACGCCTGGATGTTTTTTTGCTTCCGATTGTGGGTATCATTACACTAAAAAGCAAGAAATACAGTAGTGATGCTATCCATCACCCTGCGTCTTCTCGTTCGTAAACATCGTAACCCTGGTTTTCCTGGTCGTAGTAGGTCTTTGGCTACTGGAAGTGCAAGCCAGAGGCAAGACCCATACACCGTTTACCGAATCTCCGGCTCCTTCATGAAATCAGGGACAGGAAGGCCTGCTTCCAGGACTGAAATATCCCAGGGGTCAGCTGGCTCTTCCGCCGACTCTTCATTGGAAGTATCCTATAACACTTGTTAATCATGCAACAAGCAACTCCACGAACAAGACTCACTACTGCGACGGCGACTCTGTCCACCTCCCGGTCAAGGTTAACACCAGCACCATCGGTGTCCGCCGCGTAAATCTTAATGGAACGGAGATGTGTGTCCTTTCCATTCTGGTGGTTCTCGAGTATCTGCATTTGGAACACATACGAAACCAGGGTGTTGCCGTCAGGGCCGCCACCCGAGCCGGCGATGGGAACTTGCTGCCACCCAACAGGTGCAGAGAGCTCCATCTGCGCGAACTGAATGAGGTTGTTCTCGCTGGTACCTGACTTGAAGATGATTTTGGTTGGCGTGTAAGACTCATCCTCGTTATAGTCAACATAGAAGCGGATCTCCCTGATCCCAACGCGTTTGATAAAGTAAACGGTCAATTTGTGAGGCTGAGGGCCGTCGGACCTGCCAATGGTTAGCGATGCAGTCCATCTACCGCTTGTACCGAGGGAACACACTGCCAATAAGTCTTTAAGCTGTCGTTGCGCAGTTGGTCGACGCCGTTGCCTTGTTTGTGGCTGCTGACGGTGAATTTGCCCAGATTAGAGATTTCCTTCAGGCCGGCTGCGAGGGGGTCGAATTCAGCTTCCTCTTGCTGGTCGCCGGCATTGTTATCGCCGTCCTCGACGCTGGTATCCTCTGCTGAGATGTCGCCAAGCTCTTCAAGCGGTGCGCTACCCGGATCTTCCTCATCAGAGTACTCGGGAATCTGGGCGTTTCGTAGGTATTCTTCCATGTTTGCATCTGCTCTCATAGCAGCCCAATTGACTCGTTGAGGGGGAAATGCTTCGCCGTCATCAGAGACGTCGTCATCTGGATGCGAACCACCTGAATTGGCCGATGAGTCAGCAGGCAGAAAGATGAGCAGACAGACAAATGCGTAAGTTGAAACAATTCAGCTCCTTGACCAGGTTTTTGCCTGTCAGATCGTCTGAAGTCGACAGAAGGGGCCACAATAAATCTTTGGTGGACAGTTCCCCTGTACTATCCTGAATCTTCTTTCAAAGAAAAAAAAAATAAATCAAATGAAAGAACCAAGGAAGACCATCTGTTTTGTTTAGGCACGCAGGCGCCAACGGTGCGGCCGCATAATAGGACAAAGAATCGACGCTAGCCTCTGGCACCAGAAGCGAAGCGGCAGCCTCGACCACGCACGCTGAGGTAAGTGGCGAAATACTGCGTAAAATAACACCAGTGCCTTCCTACTTAGCCCAAGTACTCATAAATTCCTCGATTGTGTCTTACTTCGTATAGGTATGATGCGAGTAGACTTTACCTACTGACTGAGTAGGTGTGCGGGTTGTTGGAATGTTTTTTCCCCCACCAATTGCTGAATATCAGAGTGATCAAAGAAAAAGATTCGACGGTAACCAATTCATTACCTTTGATATAAGAAAAATTGTAAACCTACCATTCGGGCCATGATTTCGAGTGGCTCTGCGGTCATAATAGTCATTCATCCAGTCTTCCGTCTGTTCAGATTCTAGGTTTAGTGCATGGCGTCCATTCCTGAGCTCTTCGCCAGCACGTGGAGAAGAAGCGTGCAGATTAGGCCTATTCAGAGTGGCATGCACATTTGCCCGCCTATGGTTGTTCATAATGCCAGCCCTCGGTTTGGCCTGTCGATTGACGCTTTTGATGGGGTGTTAGGCGCGATCCTTTAAGAGAAGGCCCTAGTGTTGCTGGTGAAGCGCTCATCGCGCGGTATCACGTGGATTCCATGTAAGTCACGTGTCTCGCTTGTCGGTGTGGCATTCTCACCGAACACCATCGTCGACTTACCCTGGCTATTCGGCGGAGGGCATTGGCAAGCAGCAAATGCTACGCATTGCCACCTCTCTCAGAAATAGTTCAAATATGGCGGTGGGTTACATGCATCGACTTGTCAGATGGATAGACAAAGCTTATCCAGTGCCACCGACTCCGACCCGATTGCAACATCCTTGTCCCAAATGTTGTATGACTTTGTCTATGTTTTAGAGGGGTTCCTATTTCCCCCCCTCTCGGACTATCCAAGAAAGCTTTAGTTCGATTCCAAGCGATTGGTGGAGGTTGCGTTGACAACCTAGGTGCAGTTCAGCTGAAAACCCTCTTTGCTTTTGGCATGGCCCAGGCCCAACATTACCCCGACTCAGTGTAAGCAATCTATATCAGCCTCCCAAAGCCAAAGGAATCTCCTTCCAATTTGGTCCTCAAATATCTCGCGGCTAATGCATACCACCTCTAAACTAGCAGCGGCAGGCCACCTTAGATTGTCCCCCTGTAAGCGCTCTACGGGCCAGGCATTGCTTCTATGGCTCGGAGCTCTTGCTCAATTTACCCAGTCAACTGCAAGCCGGCCAATCGCAACATACCATATCCCTTAGAAGGACCTCAATAGATGTCTACACCGGTCTAGACGCCAGGGACTTCTGGCATCAGGCCCTGGCCTCTAACGTGGCAAGGCACATTTCCGTCTTTGAAATATGCTCAAAATAGTTTCTTTACGGAAATCGGATATCAGCCCGGAAGCCTTCCAACCTGCCTGCAGTCGGAGTCGTTCGCCCTTGAGGAAGAAATTGAGGAGTATTGGGTACCGAAGCAGGAGTTATCGCATGTTCGGTTCAGATGAGCTGGTCTGTCTAGAATCTAAGAATCTATAAAAAGGGCTTCTTTCCCGTGTGGAGAGACAGATAAACCAGCAAGCCAAATAGTTCATTATTACTTTACCTAAATACTTGACCAAACATCACAATGAAGGTCTCTGCTATCGTATCCGCCCTCTTCTTCACCGCTGCTCTTGCAGACATCGGAGACTATTGCAAGGACAGCAAGGTACGATAACTGGCATCCCGAACAAAAGCGAAGCCGGCCTCGCGTATCTTCTTTCTGGATGTCAACTAACTTTGTGATGCTTCAGGGCAATATCGGCACCTGCCAACTGACCAGCAAGTGTAACAAGTTGGATGGCACCATTGTGAAGAACCTGTGCCCCAACGACCCGGACAACGTCAGGTGCTGCTTCTATCCTTCATGCAACGGCAACGGCATCTGCAAGAAAGATACCCTTTCCTGCGCTGGTGCATACTCCACGTAAGCTTCACACCCCTGCCTTTTATGTAGATTAGTCGTGCTGATTGGGATCCCCCTCGTAGCGGTGACTGCCCTGGACCTAAGGGCTACAGAGTAAGTGACAAGAGTTGTCTGTCCTTGATGAAAAGTCGATAATCTAACATGGAGCAGTGCTGCAACAAGGAATTGAAGCCACCCATTTGTGGCCGGGGAGAGAACGACCGTCGCTGCATCGTTCCTTGAGGGATGGGTTTTACATTGATGAGGCTAGTTAGAAGACGTCGCAGAGGATCGGCAATTGTCATATTCGAGAACAATAAGAATGAATTGATTGCTACCTAAAAGAAAAAAACCGGTAATACTAGGTGAAGCGATGACTTCTGGCTGCCAGAGTGAACCACTATGGGGCGCTTAAGTCTAAGCATCCACCAAATACTAGCCCTCGCCACCAGGCGTTATATATTCAGCTATCATGTCGTGAGACGGGCTAGCCAAGGACATACATAGGCCATGTCATGCATTGATACAGGTGTAGATGGTTAAGCATGTGAGCCACGTTTGTGGACCTCGACCTCCATGGTGTAATGGACGTCGCGGTGAGTATTGGGTTCTGCTCCGAAGAGCTATTCATCTTCCTCGAAACCAAAATTGAAAGATACCATGGGAGAGCGTGGTATATCTCAGAGTGTAGTCGAGGGTCGAGCGCTCATTGCGCTGCAGTGTCACGGGAACGATCGTGGTGGAACACGTCGGTCAACGAGCAATTACATTGCATTTTTCCTGCCAGTAAAAGAGAAACTATGCCCATCCAATGATCAGACCATATAAAAACCCCCTAGGTCCATCCCATAACGCCGGCCAGAGATCAAGGTATCATACAGCGCATTGAACAAGATGTTGATCCACATGAGGCCCAAGTGCCGTCTATGAATAAGAAATGCGACGCCGCTTGGTCTCTTTCTAAGCACCAAGAGAGCTGCGCTTCTTCTTCAGCTTCTTCTCCTTCTTGGGCGTCTCATCATCCTCGTGCTTGCGCTTCTTCTTGTCGGCCTTGACTGGTGTCTCGTCGGCCGCCTCGCCGTCCTTGCGCAGCTTCTTCAGCTCCTTCTTGCTGAAGACAACGGGCGTACCGTCCTCGCCGAGCTCGACGTCGCCACGCTCAAACTTGCGCTTGAACTTGGAAACGCTGATGCCAGCAGCCTCGGCGTAGCGCTCGTAGTCCTTTTCGCTGAGCTTCGCGGGCGTTTCCTTGACGCTCTTGCTCTGCTTAACTGGGGTCTCAGCCGCAGCGATGGAGACGCGCTTCTTCTCCTTCTTCTCCTTCTTCTTGTCCTTTTTGCTCTTCTTCTCCTCTTCGCTGGCATCCTCCATTTCCTCATCCTCGTCCTCCTCGTCGCTGTCGGCGTCCTTCATCTCCTCGTCGACAACCTGGATCAGCTTCTTCTTGCCGTTGACCTCAGCATCCTCAACGCCATCAGCATCAGCGTTGTACTTGCGGGACTCCTTCACGCTGAAGCCACCAGGAGTGGTGAGCTGACCGTCAGGGCCAACGCTGACACCCTTGGGTAGGAGAGGCTTGCCTTCCAATTTGCGGAGCAGGTTCTCAAGCTTAATGCGGCTGGTAAGACCGAGGATGCTTCTCTCCTCCTCGTCATCCTGGTCCTCGGTGTCGCCGAGAGCGTCGACACGGAGACCGAGGGCAGTCTTGGCGGCGAGCGAACGGGCAATCTTTCCCTTGTTCTTGCCGGTGGCTTGACCGACGAGAGAGGAGTGGTAGATGATACCGTACTTGGGAGTGTCGTGCTTAGTCTTGAGCGCACGGAACAGGGCCTTCTCGGCACCGAAGATCTGGATGGTGGAGGAGGGGGCCTTGGCCAAGCTGATGAGAGAGCCGGCGTGGGCAATCAGGCGGGCACCGACAAGGTAGCCAACCAGAGCAGTCAGGTTAGGGGCGAGAGCGCGCATACGAGACTCCAGGTAGTTGGAGAGCTCGGCACGGTACTCAGAGTAGTTGATGGTCTGCTGGGCCAGGAGCTGGATGTTCTCCAAATCCTCAGGAGTGATCTCAGTACCCATGGAAATCTCTGCAGCGGTCTTCACAGGGCCCTCAAGTTCTTCAGGAAGGATGTCGGAGAGATCGGCCTCAGCGAAGTTGGAACGCATGCCGACAGCAACGACGAGACGAGCGTAGACAAGGTTGTCGTTAAGGATCTTGGCCAACTCGGGGAAGTGCCAGCCGTACCACTCCTTCGTGCGCATGGCGTAAACGTTCAGCTCTTTGTCAAGGTCGTCGACCAGCTTGATAGCCTGGACAACCATCGCGTCGACCTTGTCGGCGGAGAACTTGAGCTTGTGGCGGGAGATCGAGTGGGACAGACCAAGGGCCATGCGGTCCATGGTCTCGGTGGTGAGGCCGGGGATCAGAGACGAGACGTTCTCGCGGACGGCACGGAACAAGTCCATAGTGGCGGCGTCAGAGACGGCCTGAATGTTCAACTCGGGAAGCTTTCCAATCGCAGCGCCGAGCTTGATGTCGGCAACGGCGAGGGAGGCCTTCTTCTCGTCCTTGATCTCCTTCAGCAGGTTGGCGAGCAGAGGAGGGACGCGGCCCTCCTTGAGGCCAGCAGCTTCCTCAACGGCGACGGCGGAGCTGTCGAACTTGACGAAAGACTTGAGCTTGAGCCTTTGCAATTGTCAGTTTCATTGTATACCACAAAGCTTGCAACCTCCTTCACAGTGTCGCCTCAAAAGTCTGCACCTTGAGGCGCGCCTTGTGCGTTCCGCAAAGATCGGTGGCCATTGAGGCTCGTGGACGCGACTTACATCTCGTTGATCTTCTCCGAAGAGGTAGGACCAGAAGTGAGCTCATCGCGCTTCAACAGCTTCTTGTCGGCAGCCTTGAACAGACCGTAGCTGTGTCTTGTGTTAGCCCAAAAAAATTCCAACGGTTTTTTATTCTTTTCAAGAGGTGACATACCCTGCCGGCGTTTCGGCGAGAACGAAGAGAGACATGTTGAAATACTGTCAAGTCTCTTCAAAACAAGCCAGGCGAGTCCCTCGATTTATTTCCTCCGCGCGTGGGTGTAGATGTTGTTGTCGGCGGAGGCAGTCTCGTAGTGCGAGTTGATGGTTTGGAAATATTTTTTTTCTGAACCAAGCTCCACCAATTTTTTTCGACGCTGCGGACCTTGGGAAGGCCCCCACACCAATTGGCAAGTGGGATGCCTCGGAGCGCGTAAAATCTTTTTTGCCGAAGGCCACTTGTGGTGGGTCTGTGCGCGCCACTGGACTGGGGCTTTCGTAATGATGGGGGGACTTGGACTTGGACGCCTGGCTGGGACCTGGCAGCTGTGGTGCAGTGTTTGGTTTGAGCGAGCCTTAATATCGACGACCGCAGCTACCTCCGTTTGCGCCTCCACAACATCGGCGTCACCTCCCCAGCTCCCCAGAATCGAGCATCAGTAATTTCGTCAAAATGGAGGGTCTTTTCTTCAACGTCAACAGTGGGTGAGTCGCTGGAAACACCCGTGATGCGGATGCCGTCATTGCTGATCATGCTTGCAGCTACATCGAGGGCATTGTCCGCGGCTACAGGAATGGCCTCCTTACAGGCTCCAACTATAGCAACCTGACGCAGTGCGAGACTATCGATGGTCAGTGTCTTCTTTCGCCTCGATGCGATGCCCCTTTCTAATCATGACACAGATCTCAAGCTGCAGCTCGGCCCTGCCTATGGCGATTTCCTCGGCAACCTGCCTCCCAACCCCTCGACATCCGCCCTCGCCGCCAAAACGACCGACAAACTCGTCTCTGAGTTTCGCTATGTTCGTGCCAACGCCGTCGGATCTTTGGCCAAGTTCATGGACTACGTCACATACGGATACATGATCGACAATGTCGCTCTCCTGATTACTGGTACCCTCCACGAGCGTGACACCCGCGAACTGCTTGAGAGATGCCACCCCCTCGGCTGGTTCGAGACGATGCCCGTACTCTGTGTTGCTACGAACATTGAGGAGCTTTACAACAGCGTGTTGATCGAGACGCCTCTCGCTCCTTACTTTAAGGGCAGTCTTAGCCATCAGGACTTGGATGAGCTCAACATCGAGATTGTGCGCAACACTCTGTACAAGAACTACCTGGAGGACTTTTACAACTTTGTCAACACTCACCCTGAGATGGCCGGCTCCCCTACTGCGGAGATCATGTCTGAGATCCTTGAGTTCGAGGCTGACCGCCGTGCGATCAATATCACTCTTAACTCATTCGGCACGGAATTGAATAAGAATGACCGTAAGAAGCTTTACCCCAACTTTGGCAGGCTGTACCCGGAGGGAACCTTGATGCTCTCTAGAGCGGAGGACTTTGAGGGCGTCCGTCTGGCTGTTGACGGTGTGGCGGACTACAAGAGCTTCTTTGAGGCCGCCGGCCTTGGTGGTGGCCTTTCAGGACCCGGTAACCAGGGCGGTGGTACCAGCTCCGACGGCAGAAGCTTGGAAGATATGTTCTACCAAAAGGAAATGGAGATCTCCAAGAATGCCTTCACGAGACAATTTACTTTCGCCATTGTCTATGCTTGGGTGAGGCTTCGTGAGCAGGTAAGATACATACGCTACCACAGCAGCTGGAACAAGCTAACACGTCATGTCAGGAAATCCGCAACATCACTTGGATCGCTGAATGCATAGCCCAAAACCAGAAGGATCGGATTGGCAACTACATCAGCGTCTTCTGATTTTCATTGTTTCAGTCCTGTTCTGTTAGTTTTGTAGAATACCAGTTTTATCGTTCCATGGCAGGTCACAACGGCGCAAGGAGGTAGTTCAAGTTCATGACGGGGAGATCAGCATCTTTACCGATCGCTATATTGTACATAGAGGACAATTACAATTCTGAGTTTTACAAGGTTCTTCTCTCCTTAGAAGCTGATCTGCTCTTTCCAGGTCGCCGGCGACAGGCCCAGCTTCTCGAGCATACTCGTCCACCGCTCGCTGCCTCTCTCCTTCTTCTCCATGTACTTCATCAACCTCTGCCGCCGGTGGCAGAGCACTCTCAGATTCCTCTTGTTGTGCTTGTCCTTGTAGCCGCGGTTCTGGCCAAGCTCGCGCGCCAACTTCCTGATCTTGGCCGTCAGGATCGCAATCTGCACCTCTGAGCTTCCAGTATCAGGACCAGCTCTCTCAGGCTTCGGGGGAGCGTTGGGATCCGCCATGGCGGACTTGGGCTTCTGCTTCAGAACCTTGTCGGTGTTGTGGCGTCCAAACTCCTCCACGCATCTTTTGATATTGGTGTGCAAAAGGATCTTGGAGTTGGCGTTGTTCAGGGACAAAATACGGTTCAGAGCCTCTACAGCCTTGGCGTGATCTTCGTCATGCTTCTTCTCAGCCAGCTCCTCCGCCACAGGGTCTGCAAGTTCGGGGTTCTCGTTCTTGACCGGCTTCGTCAGGACATATGCCTTCTGTATAACATGCTCCAACTCCTCACGGGTGACGAGATGGTTCAGAAGACCAGGAGAAGTGGGGAGAGGACGTCCTTCGGCGACGATGTTTCCATTGTCGTCTTTAATTTGAGGGGTCTTGGGCGCCTGGCCGGCAGAATCGAACGACTCGACAAAGGGAGTTGGAATACCGTGGACCGGGTCGCCCCAGCTGGCGTCCCTTTCCGCCTGGATCTTACTCTGCGTCTTCTCGTTGGCGGCCTTGCGCTGTTGCGCTTGTTGCCATCGGTAGGGGTCCTGCTTCGCCTTGCGCCTCTTCTCCCGCTGGGAGAGGTTGGCGGTTTGGACGACGGGGAGGAAGCTCGGGGTTGCTGGCCTCACAGCTGGGCGCAGACAGACTAAGTCAAGCAATTAGCCATTAAATTATGTCTTTCACATGTTTAAGTGCAAATAAAGCTTACGGCTAGCGGTGCCTAGCCGTTGGAGGCTCTGTAATCTGGGAGGCATGGCGGCGACAGTTCCCCTTCAACACGATCATCAGCGTGGAGAGAGTCGCCATAAAATTTCCAGACTCGAAAGGTCCCGTCTTGCTATTCCCGAAAACTGGGGCAAATGCTGGAATAGGACTAGCTTTCTGGATCACGTGCAGATGTAGGTACTTGCGTCCCCATTATACACCATTCCGAATCAGGCTAGCGCAATCAGGGCAGCAACCGAACGAGCGCACCTACCCGCGCACACTCTGAATATTGCTTCGAACTTTTTTCTCATGAGAACTTCTTGGTCGATTTCACTCCTCCATCACCACCAAGTCGCCCCTCGTCATCCCCGTGGAAGATCGACCCAAATCGCCCAAGATGGCTCCCGCTAACCTGCCCTCGATCTTCAATGCCACTTCCCAGGACATTGAGATGCTCCTTGCAGCTCAAGCCCACCTGGGAAGCAAGAACCTCCAGACTCACATGGAGCCCTACCTCTGGAAGACCCGTGCCGACGGTGTTAACGTGATCAACGTTGGCAAGACCTGGTAAGAAACGGCCTGGATGAATATTTCCCGCAAGTATTTTTATTTTTGCGCGCGCAATCGCTGACTTTGCGCGACTATAGGGAGAAGATTGTCCTGGCTGCCCGTATCATCGCCGCCATCGACAACCCGGCCGACATCTGCGTTATCTCTGCCCGTCCCTACGGCCAGCGCGCTGTCCTCAAGTTCGCCGCCCACACTGGTGCCGTCGCCATTGCCGGTCGCTTCACCCCTGGTTCCTTCACCAACTACATCACCCGCTCTTTCAAGGAGCCCCGCCTGATTATCGTCACCGACCCCCGCACCGACGCCCAGGCTATCAAGGAGGCCAGCTACGTCAACATTCCCGTCATCGCCCTCTGCGACACCGACTCCCCCACCGAGTACGTCGACGTTGCCATCCCCACCAACAACAAGGGTCGTCACTCCATCGGTCTTGTCTGGTGGATGCTCGCCCGTGAGGTCCTCCGCCTCCGCGGCACCATCTACAACCGCGAGACCCCCTGGGACGTCATGGTCGATCTCTACTTCTGTATGTGCTCTCCCTTCCTCACTCCCGGAGTCGGGGTGGAAATTTGACATAGGCTAATTCAACGCGCTCTTTGCGCGAAACAGACCGCGACCCTGAGGCCGAGGCCGAGGACAAGGTTGAGGAGGAGAAGCTCCCTGGTGTTGAGGAGGAGGGCCCCGTTGCCATCGAGTCTGGCTTCCCCGCCGCTGGTGCTGACTGGGAGGCCGCTCAGGCCCCTGGCTTCACCGGTACCCAGACCAACTGGGACGGTGCTGAGGGTGACTGGGCTGCCGCTGGCGCTGCCGGTACCGCTGGTGACTGGGCCGGCGAGTCCGCCGCCGCCGCTGCTCCCACTGCCGCCAAGGACTCCCAGTGGTAAACTTCCTGAATTCTGGTGTCGGTCAGGCAGGACTATGAGGGGCTCGGAGAAAGCAAACAAAATATCCCACGCGAAAAATCAATTCGTCAAAACACTTGCAAAAAACGGCGGAACAGCAATGGTCATGGAAATGGTAGATACGTCTTCCCGGAGTTTTTTATGATCGCTGGTAGCATCTTGGGCAAAAGGGTCAACTTGGCCGCACTAATGAGGGAAAGATACTCGAACCGAATCCGTGATATAGTCTACTGGATTGTGCATGTATTGGGGGAGAGGGAATGCCCTGTGGGCCAAGAGGGGTGGACTTGATCGTTATCCTGCCATTTGCCCTTGGATGTTTTCCAGTTGAAATCATCATCATTTCCCCGGGGACTCGGGGAGAGGTTAAAGCTTGCATTGCAATACCACAACCGTCACTGGCCTCTCTCTCACCTGCGTCTCTTGATGTGTTGGGAGTTGTGATGTAGCGTACCTTGTCTGCCCCCACGTGAGAAGAGTTCCACTGCCAGCTCAACATGTCGTGAATGATCTAAGCCGTCCTGTCTTCGTGTTTACCTCTCAACGTAGTCCGTCTCTTTCAGAATTAAACGTGAACTTGCTAAACGTTGACTGTTTTGTTGCTGTCTCGTAACGACACAACATCGCACTATCCCTCATCTGTAATACGTAACATTATGGGTAAGGGTGGTTAGGAGTTAGATAGTAGTAGAAGCATTTGACCCCTCGTAGTTGAGGTCTCGTCAGCTACAGGTTCGTCAAACTACTAGACGGACCTTCGTTAGAAAATGTTGTAGGCGGCGCTGGCGCCGACACCTACTACCTACTCTCACAAAAAACAGAGACAGCCGTCCTTGTGACGAGAGAGAGGGAAGAAGCAAAGGGAGTATAGCGCAAGTCGGCGATGTCATCTGTAACGGCGACGCTTGAACAGATCACCGTTCAAGAAACACTGCAAGCTCTCTCTTCATTCACCAAATGGCCTGTCAGCCACTTCTTTGTCAATTCAAACTGACGACCTGGGGTACTACATGTTTTGGAAGGTTAATGATTCATCGCATGTCCGACGTAGTTCGCTTCGTAAGGGTGTAGGGACAACAAAGCGTTAACATAACATGGACATAGCAGCAACATCACGTGGAGGTGGTCCAGAATGGAGACGTCTCATGATATGTCTCTTGATCTACTCGCCTAGAGTATATGTCTAACATGCAAAAGGGGTATTGAACGTTGCCCGAAGATCAAAGCCTCGAGTCCAGGAAGCCCAAAATTTCCCTTTTCTCCCAAAAAGAATCCCATTGTCCACCAACTCCCTATGCTTGCCTAATCGCTCGCTCGCTCGCTCAAATGACGCTGAGTCAGGGTATAGACCACAATATCTATGTGCATCCTCGGCCAGCCGTGGCCCATGCTTCTCCCCTTCGCATCCTCCTCTCTTCCACTTTCGAGCCGTGCATGCTCTCGTGATATCTTGCTGAATTAACAGTACGGGGTATATAGCCACACGCTTAGGGGTACCACCCCAAGCAGGGCTGTGTAGAACGATGATCGCTAAAAGAAGCATCGAAAGAATGTATGGGTCGGGTTATGTGCGTGTTGTACAGGATGGCGGAACAAGGAAACGTGAGCGAAAGTCGTGGTCAATGAGAAGAAGCACATGTACAAAATATGGGTATCTTTCGATGATCATGAATGCCTTAGCGGCTGCGCCGACATAGGCAAAATGTGATTAGTTTGTAAGGGCCAGGAACAGTGCCCAAGTCGGCCTATTCAAGGCGATGAGAGTGTTTGCGTATCTCTTCGTCGCTTAAAGCGCTCATCCAGAGGCAACGCTCGGTAATGCCCTCGACTGGCTGAAATTCGTAAAGAGTGCTGGCCTCCAGTAGCCTTAGCAGCGTCTTGACGATAGTAGCCGAGTATCTGCACCTCTCGAAGTTGACCAAAGGTGCTGTTGTTGGTGAACTAGCAATTTCAGACGGTCGCTGGGCGTTGAACAGAAGATCGTGTGTGTAGATGCCGACAAATGGTATGCACCCAATGTCGGAGCCGCTCTCCATTTCTGCACGCAAGTTGTAAAAGTTACGCGTTGGCGAAATGAGCCTCTCAAGGTCCTGCAGAGTCTTCATATCATAAGGCGGCACCATAGCCCAGGTTGCTGTTAGCCGGGATACTTCCATTGTTGTCAAGGCAATGGCAATCTGACTCATGGTTGCGAAGTTGCGGTATCGACGACAGTGGGCGGCAATGTGAATAAACTTGATGATGCATCGCGCCCGCTCTTCAATGTTCTGGGTCAAGACGATCTCGCTGCAAGCCCACTTGACCATAATGTTGAAGCGGGCGATGACCACTTCGACGCCGTGAGCGTCCGTGTTTCGGAGGAAGTCAACCCACGATCGAGAATCGTTATTGGTAGCGTTCTTCCAACCCATTTCAATAAGCTCCTTCCAGTCAATCTCGTTGAGTGCGTCCTTTTCAATGAGCGTAAACTGCTGAGCCAAGATCTCCGATTCGAATGCAAGGATGAACGGTAGATGGACCGAATATCTCAGCGAGGAGTTACGGTCTTCTTCAAGATGCCGTGGCTGGCCGCGCAGGGCCTCTTTCGTGCCAGTGGGATCCGCGGGTGACGCCAGGTTGTGCCCGGCAGCCGGGGCAGTCGAGGGAGTTGGCGGTAGAGGTTTTTGCTGCTGGAACACTTGGCTCTCGCGGAGGTCGGGAACCATTGCCGCCTCGGGAGACATCCGGAGCGCTTGCACCAGTGTCATTGGGGGCGAAGGAGGGTCTTGGCTGTCCGAGGGGCTGATGGCTGATTCCCTCAAGGGACGCGAGTCAAACTCTAGAACAGATGTGCTGCGTTGTGTCTTTGACGGCTGTAGCTTCGGCGCGAACTCATCCGATTCAAAAATCTCCGCCGAAAGCTCGGAGGAGAGGTCCGAATCCAAGTCCTCCCCATCGCTGTCGTCATCCAAGAAGGACTGCTCGCTCGGCGGGTTCTTTTTGCCATCCGACTTGATCTTTTCCATGCTCTCCGTCTTGCGGACGAACTCGTAGGAAGACGAAAAAGACAGAGCACCTTCATACATTGGTCGCGGTGTTTCGGCTGGCGAAATGTCGTCATCGGGTCCTTGAAGAATGGACATATTGGTCCATTCGCGGTTGCTTGCCTTGCTCAAGCCGTCATCTGTCAGATCTCGTTCCAACAGCGGGATTGAGCTGTACGTCTCCCCGGAATTGTCGGACAAGAATGAGCCTGCTACGGTGGGCGGTCGCTGAGGAACGCCGAGGAAACTTGTATGTGCCTCAGATCCCACTTCTTGATGTTCGTGAGCCACGATGGTGTCGCCAGGAAGTACATGCAAGTGGCGATGTTGTCTACTTTGCTTGTGTACCTCTGACTCGTCCGGCTCGTCTCTACCCACCTCTGCGCCCTTCATTATGTCCGAAAACGGGGCGTTTGTGGGCTCCATGGATAACTTGAATGACTTTTTCTCATATTTGCCTTCTAGTTTGAGCAAAGCAGACTCCACTCCACCGTCGTCATCAACGTCGTCCGGAATCTGGGCGAGCTTTTGCGCTTCCGCCTCAAAAGAAGGACGCATTATCGGTTTGGACGAGTGCGTGCTGAAGAGAGAAAGCTGACGCTTGGCCGAAGATTCTGCCATGGCACCTAGGGAGAAAGTGTCTGCATGGTCATCGTGAGAAAACTCACTCGAAACAACGTCTACAAAAGCGCTGGTATCGTGGTTGGGGCTTTGCAGATACGAGCTCCGCATGGACTCTGAATAGGTTGTAAGGGAGCCAACAGACCGCGACTTACGCAGAGGAAAGGCGTCCAAGTCTCCAGCAGTATTGATAGCTCGCAGATCGCCACCTGGTCGTCGTCTGAGGATACGAAGAGGTTCAGGGACAGGGCTAGGTTCTTCCCCGTCGGAGATCGAGTTCTCTGAATATGTTGTTGCGTCGAAACTCTTCACGGTTGAACGCAGGTCGAAGGCACTGCCAAACGAAGCAGTACGCCGGGGGATCGCAGCAGAATCGAGTGATCGATTTGTCCAGCTCGATTTCTGTCGAGTGTGCCTTTTGGCAAACCTGGTCAGAGTAGGTCTTCCTGAAGTCGGCCCGATGGTGTCTGATGCAGGGCGGTCTGTGTCCAAGGACGGACGCGTGCTTCGATCAAAGCCCAAAGTTGCCAGGTCGGGAACGAAGGGAGGCAGAGGTCCGACAGACATGGACGGTCTAATGACATGATGGTTGAGAAGATGTGAAGACCGTCGAGGAGTGCCTATCAGGTGCCCAGGAGGTGTAGTCGGCGGGGTTGGATCAGCTCCACCTGGCATTAGTGCATCAGCAAATATGTCCATGGAGTCGGTGACTGGAAGTGCCCCATGCATGGCGGGCAAAGTGTAAGGCACCGTGTCGTCGACAATGACGATAGACTTGCTGCCAGTTGTGATGGCCATGTCACTGACGGGTCGAAGTGTATCATTGTCAGGAACGCTGCCAAAGGAGGAAACCATACGACCTGTTGAATTGTCGACCGTGTCCTCGGCGAGAGCGTTATTCAGTGCATCCATAGTAGCGTTAGAATATTCGCGCTGTTCGGCATCCGCTGCAGCATCAGCGGCGGCATCTTCCCGGACAGCTGTTTTGAAGTCCTCCACGGTTGCGGCGCCTAATAGGTCAATCCGGACGGGGGATCGGCTACCATTGTGCTGCGGTCTGGCTTGTGGCACAACAGCGGTACCAGGAAGTCGGTTGGTTGTGGCCCCGCGGGGTCCTATGGGAGAAATATTGATAAAGTTGCCCTGTGTCGGGGAGACACCTTGCCCTTTGGTGCTGAGGGCACGCCGTACACTGCATACCAGCTTCTTCATGCCCTGTCCAGACATGGCTGACGCAGCACCTCTTTGCTCAGGTGGTATTTGAAAGAGAGTTGTCTGTCGCTGAAATTCGCCGTTGACGCTCGGGGACATGATTTCGACGTAAGGTTGGCCGGGTGGCATCAGGTTACCTCGAACAAGACTGCCAGCGAAGGGCAGCGACATCAAAAAGTCTGCGTCATGCAACGCTGTCTTATCCACCGCGTGCTCCTTCTCCCTAAGCGAGTCGGTCAAGCTTCCGTTCCTCTTGTGACCCTGACCCGGTCTCACACGTTTTCCAACCAAAGCTCTCGGCGTCACGGCAACAGGGCCAGCACTAGAATAGGCTGAGCTTGAAGGGGCAACCGGATGTACGCCCAAGGATTGGTTTCCAGTTGGCTGTGTCGTGCGCGAGGTCATGCCCGGGAACGAGCAGGAGATGACGTCTACACTGGCGATGCTTGTGGGCGACGCAGCTTGCCTCCTGTCAATCTCCTGAACATGGTGATTCTCTGGTGTGGCCGGTCTGTCCGCGATCGGTTGCAAGTCCCTAACGTGGCCGGCGCGAGAGACGTCGGCATAAAAACTTGTTTGTTCCTTGTCTTGTATAATCGGGGCAAAGACAGTGTCGAGTTGGGGAGCGGCGTCGTCCCGCTCCCAAAAGGAAGGATCCAAGCCGGCATGTCGATGACCAGCGATGCCACCGGGAGCAATAGGTACACGGGGTCCCAGGGAGGGCTCAAACTCGGGGCCATCCCAGAACTGGGCGCAAACACGCCGCCAGCACTTTTTCAACTCGGCAAGGATCTTGAGTTGGACTTTTCGCCCTTGGGGGTCGGTAAAGAGTTCGTCGACCATGTCATTCAACAGGTTGCAGAACGTTACGCGAAGTCCATACTCGATGACGAAGTCGTCCATGAAGTAGTTCAGGATCCAGTGACGGATGGCGACGAAGGTCCGAACTCGCACAACCATGCCAATCTCGTCGTTTCGACTGATCGCCCAGCTTAGTCGAGCCAACATCATCCTCAGCAGGTCAGCCGGCTCCAAAAAAGAGCGATATGTGAGAAAAAAGTCAGAAATGAGCTCATAGTCGAGGAAGCTGGGCGAGGTGATTTCGGCGACGAGGCGAGGCGGTGTCGCAGCGGTTACGGCGCCTGTGGATGGCGAGTACCGGACTATGGATCTGTCGTCGCATGCTGGCTTGAAGGTCAGAGCATCAAACATTGCCGGTTCGATGACCAGATGGGTCGAGAGATAGGTAGAACGGACTGGGGCGAACCGGGGCGTTGTCATGGAAGCTGGACGGGGTGACATTGCTGGCCCCTTGGGTTCCAAGGGTGGCAGACGTATATGAGGAATCGATATGGGACTAGGCTTTTTGGATGCTATTGATTCGGGCATCCTTGGTGTGAGTTCACCCGTGGGAGTCGGAACAAGGAAAGAAACGTTGCTGGAGCGGGCAAACTCCTCCGTAGGTGCATAACTCGATCCTCTGAAAAAAGGTGTGCCTCTAGCGCTAAATCGCGGGTTGCCCAATTTCCAGTTGGGAATCTCAATGTCTAGGAGAGGAATGTGAGCGGCATCCAAATCTTCCGTGGTCTTCGATCGCTTTTCCTCGCCCGGTCTCGAGATGACAATCTTGAAGCCTTCAGCTTCCGAATTTCTGCTGGTCGCACCATCGTGTGCCGTGGAGTCAGAATGAGCACGTCTATGCTGAGAAGGCCGCGAGGCACGGCTAGAGAAGTAGTGCTTGTTGCTGCTGGCCGTTGGCGGAGTGGCAGCCGTTGCAGGGGTTGCAGGAGTTGGGGGTGTGGCGGTCCACTCGCTAAGGTGAAGGTCGCTCGTGTCCTGCTGTCTCGGCTTTTCAGTCAGGGCATCAAGGCCAGCTGTCCCAGGTGGCGTTATAGGGAAGACAAAGTTTGGCTGAGGAAACCTTTGGTTGGCGGGTCGCACTGTTGGCCTGCTTTGGTGTCAGTACGTTTTCGGACAAGACAGGAGATTGCAATAAGATCTCGTCATTCCTGACGCAGCAGAGGGGACCAAATCGTTGACAGCAATCACCGGAACAAAGATAAACAAAACAAAAAAAACGGGAGCCCACCTCAAGTATATCCGACCATTGTTCCCCACGTTGGCAACGGTGAACTGTCTCCCTTCCCGTCCAGCAGAGCCTCCGTCAGGCGTAATGTCGAATTTGTTGTCGTCGGCCGAGCTGTCGGCTCTCAAGCGGCGGGCAGGAGATTGATTCCATTCCTCCGACTTCTTCTCCGTCACTGGCACCAAAGGCTTCGAGGAAGAGCCTGGCAGGCGCATCTTGCTGGTCCATTTTCCTCCAGCGGTGGTGGCGAAACCCTCCTTTCCTCCGGCCGACTTTGACAGCTTCCCGAACCTCGTACTGCTGAAGATGGGACTTCCCGGACTCAATGGGCTGTGAGGAGGCTGATCTTTGCGAGGCGAGCGAGGAGAACGAGGTGAGTGAGGAGAGGGCACACTGAAGCCGCGTCTGTCTGGCGAGGACAGCGGTTCGGTGGCCTCCATGGCCGGTGTCTCGCGGGTCGTTTACAGCTGCGGGCAGCGGTTATTGCTCGCTGCGGTGACTGATCGCAGATGCATGTGGTCAGCAAACTGGCAAAAACAGGCCCGAATAGAAAGTAGAAGAGTAGGCGAGGCCAGCGGGTATGGAAAAGAGCAGCTGGCAAAGCGAGAATCAAAGCAAGCGGCACGTTTGTTTGTGTCACACACTTTGTCTCCAGAGTCCGGAAGGCCGAGATGGGGGGGTTTGTATATGGAGCTATACTAGAATTCGTCAAGGGGCCTCACGAGCCCGTGGCATCTAGTGTACCGAATGGAGGCGGACGCAGACACAGACGCTCGGAGGAAAAGAAGGACTCGGTGCATGTGTTTGTGTGTGGGTGGGTGGTGGTAGTAAGTGGACGGGTACATACGTTTTGACGCCATAAAGGAGCAAATACTGCAATGGCAAGGACAGACAGAAGAAGTGAATGGCAATTCAGAAGGTACAGAAACCGAGACCCAAGCACCAGTTACAGGCGTCCAACGGGCATATTCCAGGATACCTTAAAATCGAGAGAGGCGAGGATGATTGCGGGAACTGCGCTTCGACGCGAGAATGCGCTCGATCGTATGTACAACGGCGACGGACGTGATCGAGGATAAGGGTCGGGGAACAAATGTGAGGCTCGCAAGTAGGAGGAATTGGGACGGCACGAGAGGTTGCACTGCGTACCAGTACACAACAATGTGGAATGGAAAGGAATGGGCCAGGAATAAGGTAAAGAGAAAGATGAGGTGAGTAACGGGAAATGGGCAGTCCAGGTGAGATAGTTGGTGGTCCGTGGGGCCGGGAGTTGGAACAGAGCTACACTACACTACACAACCTCCCGGTACACGCTACGGTGGTTGTTTATTGTGCAGCAGGCGGTACGTACTGGCTTGCTATACTAAACACTTCTTGTTGTTCCTTGACCCTTGTTCCCTCTTTTTTTGGGCGGGTTCGGTGTCTCTGGCAGGAGATCAAGGACAGGGAAGAAGGAACAGAAGCCAGGGCTTGGGGCTTGAGTTTTGGGCTTCGGGGGGGTTGGTTGGGCGGAATGGAAAATATCTCTTCATTACCTCCGTCGAGAACAGGGTCTTCGTCATATTACTAACAATACGCCTTATTTTTATAAGTACATATGGATACAGATGGATACGCACACAGACCAAGAAGCAATGGGGAAGACCAGAATATCGAAGGGATAGAGAGAGAGACAGAGCCAGAGAGAGAAGCAAGAGCCAGGAGCACCAAACAGGGGAGCAGGGGCAGTAAACGACCTGGATGGAACGGGGGAGAGGGGGCCTAATGGTGGATCCTCCCATCCTTATCGTCCTTTTTTTTTTTTATAAATGTTCAGTCCCCATTCCTTTGCTGTATGGCTAGGTAATGCCGGTGCGGATGAGCGTATGCATGCACACTTAAGCACATACCACATACTTAGTAAGGTAGGTGTGGTAGGGTGTTTTGTGGTTATGTACAAATAAAACACAGTAAAAGCAGGTGCAGGTGCAGGTGCAGGTACAGATGGGCAGAAAGCAGGAGTGAGAGCAGGAACACCGGCGCGTGGTTGCTTGGTTGCTTGGTTGCTTGGTTGCCCAGTGCGCTAGCTCCTACCCCTAGCAGCTGCTAAATTGTACTCGTGAGGCAGTACGTACTCTGCCGTGCAAGCCTTTAGGACCCCACCAGCTAATCTTTCAGAGTTGTGGCTGGTCGGGCCATTGGAAGCTGGCCCATGGATGGGCCGAGCAGGGGCAGCAGCAACGAGGACAACGGGCAGGGGCTAGCCGCATTGGTGTTGAGAGTTTTGCTGGCCGACGTACCGCGCGCACGGTTAGGGCCCCGTAACGTCTAGTCTTGGGTTTTGCAGGGGGCGGCAGGTACGCGATTTACACTGATGATGTACCTTCCTTTCACCATCTGCTCTCCTGCTGTTCCAGCTTCTTCTCGTAGTACGCACCATGGCTGTGGCTGACTGATTGCCCGTCCCGTACCTGCTCATCATATGACTTCCTCGTTTCGTCTCTTCTCTTCTTCTACGGGGATGAATCTGAAATCGGATCCGAGGAAAGACAAACAAAGAATACCTTGGCTTATCCGATCAAAGGCAGCCCCTCCTTCGGGGGAAAAGAAATGTACAACTACCAACACTCTGGATGACGCAAATTATACACATCACTTTACTTACTTCACTTTGCTTTGGATGCACTGCTCGGTGACAGGGTGCACCCACTCACATTGGAAAAAGAAAAAATAAGAAACGACAATGACTGACGGGTGATGGCCATCGCCTCACGCAGGGAGCATTTCCCCTGCCTTGCCTTGGGATACCTGATACCCTTTTCAATTACACCACTGCGCAGGACGGCACAGCATTGCGGAGACGAGTACCCTCAATCGCATCACCCTCTCCGTCATTGTCATCACCCTTTTGCCATGGCCGTCACAGGGTCGGAACCCCCAGTTGATGTCATTTTCTGCATCCAGCCTTCTGGTGATACGAAGCGAGGCCACGACCGACATCCAAGCGAGCCGAGAAGGATGTCACAACCCCAGCACTAGACAGGGCAATCCTCCAGATCCAGTACCTAGCCGATCGAACCTGGGATGCTTCCACTGCTCTCTTCGTTTTTCTACCTTTGTTCTGGCCCGGGCTCGTCATCCCCCTCAACGCCCTTGCTCTCCCGGTCATGTCTCAAGCGAACCGAGGTGCTTTTTCTCCGTGTTTCCCACAAGATCAATCATGGGGCTCCAAAGAGGTATTGAATATCAATTCTGCCCTTGAAAGAGACTGAAACGCACACCACTCAAACATCAAGGACCTTATCGCTCGACCGTAATGGTCCATTCGACGTCCGAGGCCCAATTAATCCACAACACGAAATGGCTATTCACCGCCAAATTTATGCCCGTGTGCTACGACCCTCGCTGGGAGCCGCTTCGAGGCCAAGACACTACCGACACCAATTGATAGTGATGCTTGACCATGCCTAGAGATCCATCCATCTTGATTTCGTACAGAGTACAGATACCGCAAAACAGAGGCGCAGATATCCCCCAATGTCTTACTTCCGTTGGTTGCTTAAGCCCTGTCGAGGGGCGGCAGAGAACTGGTCCGCCCCCAATCACGATGCGCCCAAGACTCGTTGCACGCGGTAGTAGCAGGTCACCCACCGTTTCTCTGCATCTTTCTCTGTCGTACGTACGTAGTGTGTACCCTTCAGTCTGTCCTCACGCCGTCCATCGGCCAATCACCATCGCAACATGTCCCTGTCCGCAAAACCTGTCCGTGTTGCCGGCTGCAAATGACAGGCCATCACCAAAAAGAGTCGGTACGAACACGGGTACCTGAGACGGTTTCGTAGAAACCTGGGAGAACACTATCGGAACACCTTCCTTTCGAGGATCATTAATTAGGGTTGTGTACCCAGAAGCAGATTGAAGAGGGTTGATGGTAGTGAAAAACGAGCCAGTGTCAGGGGATGCTTTCTTCCTCCATCGCATCGCGGATATAATGTTCATACCAAGAGCGCCCTGTCCTGATACCCATAGAACACCTTGACGGAAACAGACAGGCAGGCCTGGACAATGAGGTCGTGCCAATCAATGTCTACGCATGCCTACCAACAGACTTTCCATCCTTCTATCCGTAAAAGTAAACAGAGAGAAACTCTGGAGTTAGAGCCGTGATGTAGAAAGTAAGCTCGTGTGCGCACCATGTGGCCACCTATTAATGAGGTAATATAACCTGGAGATCAGCGAATTCCTTCCCGTTCCTATCCCGGGCTGCCACAGGAGAATGGCTTATGATCACCCGCATCGAACTTCATCCTGGTTGAGGACGAATAAGAGGAATCATAGGTACGCTAGATATGATGGAGCGAAGATCTTGACAAACTCGTCTCTCCTCCATACAAGGCTGACTTCAGCATCCCCCCGCACCTTGACGTTTGCTGTGCTTAGTGTTGAAGCAAAGTCACAAAAGAAGAAGGGGAGAAAAAAAAGCCAAGCTACCCCTCAGGTACCCTGGGCTGTCACACTTGCCCTCCAGCCCTCGTGGCGCAGAGAAAGGCCGAAAGAAGGGATGGAAATGCCCCGCAGACGTGCAGCAACGGGGTCGACTAACAGCCCTTTTCCCTGAATTTCAATCAATGGTGAGTGCAGTCCAGGTGACAACTTGACGCATTGCAGAGCAGCATCCGCACACCAAGACACCCTTAGCTTCGGCCACGTCCAAATCCAACCTCAACTCATCATTGCAATAAGGCCGTGATGCAGCACCTCAACGCTGGAATTTTCTGCATACCACGATGGCTGACGGCACCAGCATATCCCTCATGCCAACAGGGATGAACCAGGGTCGTGGTTGGCGAGGATTAGCGGCAGTGACGCGCTCCGGACACGGTCTGAAGATTGATTCATGGTAATCTTCAGTCAGTCGCTGTGTAGCGGCGTATCAACTGCTGCAACACGTAGTAATAGGGAGCAATACGCGTCTAGTGGTTCAGTGTATGCACTGCCGTTGGTTCTTGGAATCAGTGCCCGCCCCGCTTGCTGGGATTCATTTAATATCAGGCTTTTTAAATGACCAGAGACCAGGATCGGAAATTGTTGCAAGGGTCAACGACAATAGCCACTACCAACACCAACAGCCACGCGAGAGTCTCATCTTCTTTCAGGTCGCCCTGTCTGGGTGTGTGGCCCCTGTTTCTCAGGCAGTTTCTCTTCTTCTTCGTCATCTTCAAGCTTCCCCGGTCTCTGGTCGTCCCAAGTGCGGCAACGGGGGCGGAGCATCAACCCTGCGGCCTTGTGGGCTCTGGCTACGAAGACTGCGTTCTCTGGGCCGACCAGAGAATAGGGCGTAAGGTGGGAGGAATGAAAAAGGGAACAGGCACCAAATTTCTTTGCTCCCCACAAACACCCGCCAGCCAACGCCGAATAAATAAACACTCTACGGGTACTCCATTGTATACTCTGCCTCCCG